CATAAGCCGTGAGTGCTGCCCGCCAGCGACATCAAAAAGTTTGGACACGAGTGACTGTTTGTCCTGCAGCTCTGCAGTGAGGCGAAGGACTTCTTTACGGAGGTCTGCAATAGTGGCACGGTCCCTCTCACGAAGCTCCAATGTGAGGCGACTAATGTCGTTCGTGGTCATTGCAGTGTCACTTTCCATGTCTGTGGTGCGCTCGTGGTAGCCTCCGAGCTAGCGCGTTTCGATTGGGTCTTTGTGTTAAAAGACGTGATGCTCTGGAACCATTGCATTTAAGATAATAAAACACTAGAGTGTACAAAAGACACTAATACACCGTAAAAACGTGTTTAAAAGGCTTTAAAAGGCTTAAAAAGGGTAAACAGAGCAGAGACGTCAAAACGCGTGCTCACTTCAGGACTTTGACAAAGTTATGCATCAGACCCTCCTCTGCACCACTGCTAAAGGCTGCTGTTGCTACAGGTGTCACATGGTCTCTCCGTGGTTTTCTCACAGATTGTGCAGAGCAGGTCAGCACCGTTGACTTCACATGTTCAGTCTCCGAGTCATTCCTTTAAGACTGCCGAAAGCATTTTCAACAACCACGCGCACTGTGCGGATTTTTTTATTAAATACTTGCTGTTAGTCTGTCCCTCGCCCAGTGTCCTGAAAAGGTTTTAGGAGCCAATTCTGCAGGAGGTAAGCAGAGGAGGAGGTAATAGCAGCTATCACCGATATTATAATAAATCCATGCACCGCACCAATGTTACTGGCTACACGTCGTGCGTAAATGACATGGTCTGACAAACCCTCCCACGTTGAAGAGGTACTATTTTTAATGGAAAAGCACCCGAACTCGGCCGTGCTGTACCGTGCTGCACCGTATCGTACCGTTACTGTGGAAAAGCGGCATTACAGGACTGAGACAGGAGTGAGTATGTGCAAGTCAAAACATCAGCTGTTAATGTGACCTCACAGAGAGAGAGAAAGAGAGAGACAGATAGAGAGAGAGAGACACAGAGAAAGAGGTCTGGGGTCTGGAGGCTGCGTCACAAACCTGCTCTGGTTTCCTTCAAGAGACGAGCGTCAGAGCGGTACAGATCCCGGTCTCTGCTCACAAACACAAACACTTATTATAGTTTGAAAGATAAGATCTGAAGCTGGCGAGATGCAGATCCTCACATGGCAAAAGCTCGGGAGCAGCGGCAGTGGACGCTCTGCTCTTTAGGACTTTCTTTGAAGAAAAACAATATGTCTGCCAGCACCACGGTCCGGCTGCGGTCCCACATCATGTCCACGCGGCGGGGCTCTGAAAGCAGAACAAACACTAAAGTAGGACTAAAGGAGATCTAAAGCAGGACTAAATCAGGACTAAATCAGGACTAAATCAGGACTAAATCAGGACTAAAGCAGGACTAAAGCAGGACTAAAGCTGGACTAAAGCTGGACTAAAGCTGGACTAAAGGAAATCTACAGCAGGTCTAAAGCAGGACTAAAGCAGGTCTAAAGCAGGACTAAAGCTGGTCTAAAGCAGGACTAAAGCTGGTCTAAAGCAGGTCTAAGCATGATTAATGCGGGACTAAAGCAGTCACAATCACAACCATGTAAAGTCAATGTTTCTACACTAGCTAGATCCACTACTGTATATACTCAACATTGATGCCCATTTAAACTGTATTTACAAGGAGAGAATTGGGACAATAAATAGCAATGATGTGTTATGTTCACTTGTATGTGTATGCAATAGCAACCCATACTATAACTAAGATGGGAGAACTTTGACTCTGTAATTTGACTTTCAACAACCTGAGTATTTAACCTCCAATGATAATGTGTTGTTTATGCTCCAGTATTGTAACTTTAAACTACTGAGCTTTAATTTATCTTAATATCTAATACATCAATACACATAACACAGAATGACAGATTGCAGCATGCATTGTACGATAGATTCGCATTAACTTACCTGTTCCTGAGATCGATAAGAATCAGTCACAGTTCTCTGGCTTCGTTAAGGCGCCAAAAAGACCACAAATATTAATACAAAACAAAAAACGTGATACATGCGTTTGTTGTGCTGAAAGCACCGAGCATGCGCACTGTGGTTACTGTTTCTTCTTCTTCTTCGGATAATTTCCGGCAGACTAGGTGCCTCTAGGCACATTGCTGCCTCTCTTATCAAAGTCCGTCACTACAAGAAAGTCCAAGTGCGAAATCCTGGCCCCGTCCATAGACTGTATATAATAAGCCCCGTCCCAAATCTGAGGGCCCTCCAGGTGTGAGTGCCCTCACCAGAAAAGTGCCTTCCCATAGTGAAGTGCTCTCCCTCACAGGATATTCTCTCACCCCTGGATCTAGGGAACAATATGCAAATGACGCAGCAAACGTGTTCCACGTCACACGTATTATCAACGTGTCTGATATCACTACAGATAAGATCTGACACAGATATGACTTCATGAAACACAGTATTTATTAAAATGAGACGTTTTTAATTCTATTTCAAATGAAATCTATACTTGAGATCTATACAGCGGACAATCAAAAAACGTCTTTGACGGTTTGATATTGTTTGCAGTGCTGACATAATCCATCCGTGTTTCCCAATTTTCCCGGTTCTCTTTTATTCCCACACACTCCCCACAACCCACAAGAATCCCCCACTCCCCCCAGCTCTGCAACTTTGCGATGAGGTCAGGCCTGGCATTAGCTCCCCCACTCTCCAAACTGAATCTGAACATACAACTGTTTTCTCTTGCTTCGTTTGCTCTAAACACAGAGACATCAGGGAGTCTTTTGAATGGCAGGATGTCCTACTCTGGGACATAAGTGGTTACTGTTTGCATCCAAATTCAGAGTTTAACGCGGGCTCGTTGTCCCTCCTTGGGCTTTAAAGTTCACCTTTTCCCAATCGAGACTGCTTCAGATCTGGTTAACTGGAATAAAGACCTTTGAGGGATGTTTTTACAATTCAAGGGAATTTAATGTCACCAAAGTTATTGTAAATAATAAAGAAGAATAAGGAAGGGTAAGGAAGAAAGAGTTATGTTTTGAATTCTCCCTTCATCACTTTTGTCCAACGCATTTCCGCCTAGGCTGGTTTTGCAAACATTCACCAAAGCCGTACCTTTAACCATATATCTAGTCATAACATGGCATGACATAGCTTTAGTAATAAACTAAATATTAGAAGACTGTGTGAATATATTGTCGAGAGCAAACAAGTAGGGTTACGTCGGAGAAAAACGCACAAATATTTTTCTTGAAAACACTTCTGCCAGGCCTTTGGTTACACTAACATTACACTTTACCACGAACTAGTTTTAAAACAACCCTTCCAACTACACATTCGAGGCTAATTATACCGATAATTTGGTATGTGACGAGTGAGCTGGGCAAAAAAAATACACGCTTTTACTTCATATAATTATCAAACATGTGTAACATTTTCTTTCAATCAATAACAATAATTTTATTTAATTACATGTGTTTTTACCATAAGTTTTTACCCATTTCGTTTCACAGTGACGGAAAATGTACTTTTTAATATAAATTCAACATTAATTATTTCTTATATTTCAAACGTTTACATAGAGATCGAATATAGATTATAACCGTATACGATAACGTTTATTTAACTTTTATTTTCATGATATATGTGTCACGTGATCGGGGTCAAACCCGGAAGGACGCCGATAAGACCATGGATCTATAATGGATTGACGTTTGTGTCAAATAAGTGGCCAATTTGTCACAGATAAATATGTGTCTTTTATGACTTCTACATCTCACTAACCCGTCTTCCACGCGGTGATTTTGTTGTACCTCAAGAGAAGCGAATCTGCTGCACAAGAACTGGTTTGTACTGTGCTCTTGTTATATTTGCGTTATACCAAAACATTTTAGCGTGAAACAGACCTGGTGTTTCTGTAGAACGGCCTTAAACGTGTGTCTTGCCTTCATGAATGATGATTGTCTTCTGTCCCCTTCGTTCTGATGCTCATCTGTAAACATAATAGCCATGACTCCCTTATTGTTAATAGAAACCAGTAACGATCATCTGGTTCTACCAAATTTACTCCACATTGTTAAATATTTAATTATTTTGAGGTCACATAATGACGATCATAACGTATGAGACTTGAACCAATAACCTCTGTCTTCTCCCTCTTCATCCAATTTTATCTTTGCACGGTTTTGGCTCCACACTCGGCAGCAGTCTGAGCAGAGACGCCGTCCCTCTCCACACACACTTCGTCCAGCTCGTCTTGGGGAACCCTGAGTCGTTCCCAGGCCAGGAGGGATTTTAAGGCAAAGGACATTTATTTATAACAAACCCATTCATTCAGAAGCAGACAGTGCACATTTTGGTGTTTTTTGGTTGAGCAAATCAATATGGAAATGTCATATCGGATTATGTGACTGAAGGATAGAACTAGGGTCTAAATCTATGTCCTCTGAGGAATCTCTAACTCTTTATATTAACAATTGTTTCATTTCATTTCATTTCATTTTCAACCCCTTCGTCCATTTCTGGGTCGGGGGGGGTGGCAATGAGAGCTGCCACCCAATGCTCATAGCACCAGTCCCTCGCTGATCTGCAGGGGGTGAGTCCACAGGAAGATGGCTGCTCCATCAGTTGAGAAACAGCCTTGATCTTTCAGCGGGGGGCTTCAGGCAACGTGGGGTTAAGTGTCTTGCCCAAGGACACAACGACAGCAGTCATCAGTGGGAGCAGTTGGAGTAGGTCCCATGGTGGGAATTGAACTCACGACCTCCAGGCCCAAAGGCCAATGCTCTACCAACTGAGCTACTGTCGCCCCATATTAACAATTGTCATAAATAAATGTTATTACAATTGTTTGTCCCTTTTGAGGATTTGAATGTTTGTGTTGTTGATTTGTCTTTCCTTTAGGCGCATGTCGTCGCCCAGGTCCTGCTGCTCCTGCTCATCTCCCAGCTCCTGCTGCTGGTTCTGCTGATGGACCCCAGCTCCTGATGGACCTTGTCTCCTGATGGAGCAGAGATGTCCTCCTCTCAGAACCTCTCAGAACCAGTCGTGCGTTTGGGAGTCTGAGGACACGCTCTCGCTGCTGGTAAGCGCCTCTGCTGTTGTGTCGATGGGCAGGACACTGTTGTAGGATCTAGAACACTCTAGAACACTGTAATATGTAGAGACTATACATAGAAATTGTAGGTTGTTTTATATATAGAACTATAATGATGCATTAACAAGACCTATTCTGCAATACAAACTGTTATTCCTTGTTCCCACTATTCCTCATCAGCTAGAGCTAGTTTTTTTATTTTTTATTTTTAAAGATATTACATGTAAAGTGATAGGAGCCAGACATCCAGTGAATGTTTAAAACAATTAAGTTCATTTCAATGTATTTTTATATAGCCATAAATCACAACACTAGTTTTCATGGAGGATTTTACACGACCTTTAAATTCTCCAACACAGATCAGAAAATCAAACAGTTACAAGAAATGAAAACACATGGTATTGGTCCATAAGGGGAAGAGGACCAATGTCCTTAAGTGTTAATAAATGTCCGTAATTGTTAAAAACACAGAATTGTCATTGTTTGTAAACAGAGCATGTAGACAGAAGGGGCGGGGGTGTGGTGATGTTGTGTGCTTGATGCGTTCTCTTGGGCTAGCTCTGTGTGCTCAGGTCCCTGGAGGCCTGGGCCGGTCTAGGGCAGCTGGAGGACTACCTCTCAGTGCTGGAGTATGTCCTCTGGGTCTTCACTCCTCTGGCCGTGGTCTTCATCCTGCCCTTCATCATTGTCATCCTCCTTTACTTCTCCATCCTCTTCCTCCACGTCTACAAGGTATTTCAGCTGTTAAAGGAGTCATATCTTCAGAGTAAGAGAACCAGGGGAGTTAGAGTCCAGAGAAATGAGGGAGAGACCAGAAAGAGAGGAGAAAGTGACCAGAGAGAGTGACCAGAGAGAGAGTGACCAGAGAGAGACCAGAGAGAGAGTGACCAGAGAGAGAGAGTGACCAGAGAGAGAGAGTGACCAGAGAGAGAGAGTGACCAGAGAGAGGGAGAGACCAGAGAGAGGGAGAGACCAGAGAGAGGGAGAGACCAGAGAGAGGGAGAGACCAGAGAGAGGGAGAGACCAGAGAGAGGGAGAGACCAGAGAGAGGGAGAGACCAGAGACAGGGGGAGAGACCCAGAGAGAGGGAGTGACCAGAGAGAGAGAGAGAGCGAGAGAGAGCGAGTGACCAGACAGAGAAAGAGACCAGAAAGAGAGAGTGACCGGAGAGAGCGAGAGAGAGAGCAAGAGAGAGAGTGGCCCTTGAGACCTCTCTCTTGCTTATCCATATATTTTCTATTGAAGATATAATTTCACATTTACAAAGATGAAACTGCAGAGTAAATAGTCTCATCACGTTTAATGGACAAAAACTATGTTAAAATTATTATATTCTTGCATCAGTTGTACTTTAAAGCTGGGGTGTGTAACTTTAAAGCTGGGGTGTGTAACATTCAGACCACAATAGAGTTCTGTATTAAACCCGTGTCTCTAGTTCTGGCTCTGAAACAGTTGCTTCTATAACTAGTTTTTACATCAAAGAAAGCATTAAAATCATAAATAATCACAGAACATTAAAAAGAAACAGAACTGTCTTTAACCTGGTTTTAAACATTGTCAGAGAGGAGGCCTGTCTCACATCTTCAGGAATACTGTTCCAGATTTTAGCAGCATGAATCTGAAAAGCAGCCTCCCCATGTTTAGTTCTGACTCTGGGCACTAACAGGAGTCCAGTCCCTGTGCTCCTCAGAGTCCGGGCTGGTTCATATGGTACTAACATGTCACTAATATATTTTGGTGCGAGGACATGGAGAGACTTGTAACAAGCAGAGCTGTTTTAAAGTCTATTCTCTGAGCCACAGGAAGCCAGTGCAGAGACCTGAGAACTGGACTAATGTGGTCATACTTCCTGGTTCTAATCAGGACTCGAGCTGCTGCATTTTGAATGTACTGCAGCTGTTTTACAGCCTGTTTGGACAGACCTGTGAGCAGGCCATTGCAGTAGTCTAACCTACTGGAGACAAATGCATGGATAAGAATCTCCAAGTCTGCTTTAGACACTATGTTTTTGATCCTGGCAATGTTTTTTAGATGATAAAAAGCTGCTGATGTTACTGATTTGATGTGGCTATTAAAATGTAAATCTGAGTCCAGTATTACCCCTAGATTTCTGACATTGTTTGAAGGTTTTAGGGAGAGAGACTGTAGATGACAGATGACGCTCTCTCTTTGTTTCTGGGGACCAAAGACAATCATTTCAGTTTTGTCTGCGTTTAGCTGAAGGAAGTTGTTTTGCATCCACTCACAGATCTGTTGGATACAGTGAAGGAGTGAGTCCACTGGTCCATGTTCTCCTGCAGTCAGTGAGACATAGATCTGAGTGTCGTCTGCATAGTTGTGATAGGCCACTTTGTTTCTGCGTATTAACTGACCTAACGGCAGCATGTAGAGATTGAACAGAAGAGGTCCCAGGATCGACCCCTGTGGTACTCCACAGGTCAGGGCCATATGATCTGAGACACAGTTTCCAATCTCCACAAAGTACTTCTTGTCTTCAAGGTAAGACCTAAACCAACTTAGGGCGGTGCCAGCGACACCAACCCAGTCCTCTAATCTCTGTAAGAGGATCTCATGGTCGACGGTGTAAAAGGCAGCACTCAGATCTAACAAGATTAAGATTGATACTTTGCCTGCGTCAGTGTTCAGCCAGATATCGTTTGTAACCTTGACGAGAGCAGTCTCAGTGCTGTGGTGGGGTCTAAAGCCGGACTGAAACATATCAAATGAGTTGTTGATTATAAGAAATCCAGTAAGGTGTTGGTAGACAACTTTTTCAAGGACTTTCCCCATAAATGGCAGATTTTAGATGGGACGATAGTTGTTAAGTACCGTAGCATCCAGACTGCTCTTTTTTAGCAGGGGCCTGATGACTGCAGTTTTCAGGGCCTTTGGGAATATTCCAGAATTAAGGGACATGTTTACTATCTGTGTGAGTGAAGGACAGACTTCAGAAATCAAGTGGGTAGTACCTCCAGGCTGCATGTGGAGGAGCTCAGACTTGTGATTATCTCTTGGACAATTTTATCATCTACAAGTGCAAAGTGAGTTAGCTCTCCAACAGCCTTTCTGGCTGTTGGATGATTATTTGTGGATTGGAGACAATGGCGTTTTTGATGCCTTGAACCTTGTCATTGAAAAAATTTGCTAACTCATTACATTTACGTTTGGAAGTTAGCTCTAATGGCATTTGAACAGGGGGGTTTGTTAATCTATTAACTGTTGAGAACAGAACACGCAGGTTGTTACTGAAGCCTTCAATCATTTCAGAAAAATACCTTTCTCTCGTACTACGTAGCACCCGGTTAAACTCCCACAACTTATCTTTGAAGATCTCGTAATCAACCTGGAGGTTGGACTTGCGCCACTTCCGCTCGGCCCTCCGGCACTTTCTCTTTTGTGCCCTGACCGAGTCTGCTTTCGCCCACGGCGCCTTCTGCTTATTTTTCACTATTTTAACCTTCACAGGGGCAACGGTATCCAGAACATTCAAAACACTAGAGGTGACAGAGTTAAACAGTTCATCTAAAGTAGAACACGATGCATTCTCAAAGTTTATCATTCCCATAAATAGTTCACTCGTATTTTCATTTATGTGTCTTCTTCGAACAGTTGCAGAGTCCACTGGTGGTTTGTTAGTTAAACACATGTCAAAAAATACACAGAAATGATCCGAAAGAGCAACATCGACCACGTTTACATTTGAAATGTACATTTGAAATGTAAACGTGGTCCCTCGCCTCTAATTCAGTGTTTTCTGACAGAAAAATGAAAAAGAGAGGACCACCCTCACACAGCCAATTAGCTCTCAGCCCAAAGAGTCCAGTAGTGACTCACAGGGGCCTTTGTTGTGCAGAACATGACTTTTTATTCTTATTGGACTTGTGTGTCTCAGAGGAAGAACCAGCTGAGGGAGGCGTATAGCAACAATCTGTGGGACGGAGCGCGGAAAACACTGGCCACGATCTGGGACGGGCACGGGGCCATCTGGCACGGTACTGACCTGCACAGGCAGAACATGCAAACTGGACTGTCATCAGCTGCTGTCCCTGTTGCAGTATTGACCCCTGTCGTATATGAACATACACACACACACACACACAGACGGACGCGCGCACATACACACAGTGACTGACACGCGCACACAGAGGCACACACAGAGACACACACATGCACACACAGAGACATATACGCACAGACAGAGACAGACGCACACACACACACTAAGACTAGAACTTGAGCTCGCTGGGAAACTCTCTGCTCTTTGAAGTGTGTGATGTCACATGAAGGCCTCCATCCTGCAGGGTACGAAGTCCACGGTCTGGAGAAGATCCCAGAGTCTGGTCCGGCTCTCATCGTGTATTACCATGGAGCCATCCCCATCGACTACTACTACTTCCTGGCAAACGTGGTTCTGCAGAAGGGACGCACCTGTCACTCTGTGGCTGACCACTTCCTCTTCAAGATCCCAGGTTACACACACACACAAGACCAGAGACCAGAGAGAGAGAGAGAGAGACCAGAGAGAGAGAGAGAGAGACCAGAGAGAGAGAGAGAGAGACCAAAGAGAGAGACCAGAGAGAGAGAGACCAGAGAGAGACCAGAGAGAGACCAGAGAGAGACCAGAGAGAGACCAGAGAGAGACCAGAGAGAGACCAGCTTCATTCACCAAAACACAGCTCTACGGCTCATTACCTTGTCATTACGTACAGTATTGTCCCTGTGCCGTTAAGAACCTGCTTTGCTTCCGTGTTTTGGTGCCCAGGCTTTAAGCTGCTGCTGGAGGTGTTCAGTGTGATCCACGGGCCCCAGGAGGAGTGTGTGAGGGCCCTCAGGAGCGGACACCTGCTGGGCATCTCTCCCGGCGGAGTGAGGGAAGCTCTGTTCAGCGACGAGACCTACAAGCTGCACTGGGGCAAGAGGAAGGGCTTCGCTCAGGTGGCCATCGACGCACAAGTGGTATGAGGGATTCCTGCTTTAGTCCTGCTGCTTTAGTCCTGCTGCTTTAGTCCTGCTGCTTTAGTCCTTCTGCATTAGTCCTGCTGCTTTAGTCCTGCTGCTTTAGTCCTGCTGCTTTGGTCCTGCTGCATTAGTCCTGCTTTAGTCCTGCTGCTTTAGTCCTGCTGCTTTGGTCCTGCTGCTTTGGTCCTGCTGCTTTAGTCCTGCTGCTTTAGTCCTGCTGCTTTAGTCCTGCTGCTTTGGTCCTGCTGCATTAGTCCTGCTTTAGTCCTGCTGCTTTAGTCCTGCTGCTTTGGTCCTGCTGCTTTGGTCCTGCTGCTTTGGTCCTGCTGCTTTGGTCCTGCTGCTTTGGTCCTGCTGCTTTGGTCCTGCTGCGTTAGTCCTGCTGCGTTAGTCCTGCTGCGTTAGTACTGCTGCTTTAGTCCTGCTGCTTTAGTCCTGCTGCTTTCGTCCTGCTGCTTTCGTCCTGCTTTAGTCCTGCTGCTTTAGACCTGCTTTAGTCCTGCTGCTTTGGTCCTGCTGCTTTAGTCCTGCTGCTTTAGTCCTGCTGCTTTAGTCCTGCTGCTTTAGTCCTGCTGCTTTAGTCCTGCTGCTTTAGTCCTGCTGCATTAGTCCTGCTGCTTTAGTCCTGCTGCTTTAGTCCTGCTTTAGTACTGTACTAATTGTATTCCACTTGTGTGTTTCAGCCTATCATTCCTATGTTCACTCAGAACGTCCGTGAAGGCTTCCGGTCCCTGGGAACTCTGCGTGAGTCTGTCTTGGTCTGGGTCCTGGTCTCGATCCTGGTCTCTAGCCTTGTCTCAAGCCTGGTCTCGAGCCTGGTCTGGGTCCTGGTCTGGGTCCTTGTCCTGATCCCTGTCTTGATCCCTGTCTTGATCCTTGTCTTGATCCTTGTCTTGATCCTGGTCTTGATCCTGGCCCTGGTCCTGGCCCTGGTCCTGGTCTCTGCCCTGGTCCTGGTCTCTCCTCTAACATTGTTCTCGTACAGGTTTCTTCCGGTGGCTGTATGAGCGGTTTCGGCTCCCCGCGGCCCCGGTCTACGGAGGGTTTCCTGTCAAATTCCGGACTTTCCTTGGAGACCCCATTCCATACGACCCCCACATCAGCGCCGCACAGCTGGCTGAGAAGGTGAGTGTGTTTGCAGGTCATTAAAGCTGCAGCAAACTCATCATCTAATGTGCTCTTTCACGAGGACGCTGTGACCGTAAACCGTTAGAGTTGGTATCGGTTTGGCCTTTTGTTTACATGAAGACAATGTTTCCGATGAAAACAGAGAGTGGAACAGAACAGATACGTTGCCCGGCGTAGGCTGTTTCACTGTCATGGGAAGAAAGGGAATTCTCCATTTCCCTGCACGTACATTTGGACATGTGCATGAACCGAGAACAAACGTAAACAACAATGGCGGCGGATGGACTAATGCTACGTGTGCTTTGAACGCTACACAGAGGAGAATTCTACTCCTTTGTCCAAACAAAACCACGTGAAGCTGTTGTTTCAGTTTATATTTTTGCTGCTTTTGTTAAATGCAGAATGATGGTGGTGCTTTCTTTCAGGTCTTTGCAGTGGCCTGAGGAGGATGTTGTTGAGGAAGTGAATATAATAATAATCGCGTGTGTTAATAATAATAATGCATCGGTTTTATATAGCGCTTTTTTGGACACTCAAAGACGCTTCACATGTGTCATTATTCATTCACTCCATACACGGTGGTGATAAACTACTACTGTAGCCATACCTCCGATATGACAATAGAGGGGGGTATTTCTCGCCTCAAATGTTATTAGAAATAACTTTTATGTCCTAATTAAAGCGTATTTTACAGTTTTTACCTTAATCCTGGCTCCTGTGTCCTTCCCTCTCCGAGTTGTGTTGGCAACAGAGCAGCTGCCCTGGGGCACACTGACAGAAGCGAGGCAACCAGTATGCGCCATCGGCCCCTCCGTCCACCACCAACCATTCATACACACACCAGACTCATTCTAGACAATGTGGGTGAAGTGTCTTCCCTAAGGACACAACGGCAGTTTGGCACTTTACAGCCGCAGCCGCCCCACTGTGGCTGGTGTTCCCAGAGGTTAAGTGTCTTGCCAAGGACACAACGACAGTAGTCAGTGGGAAAGTCTTGAGCGGGGCTTGAACCCACAACCTTCTGGCTCAAAGGCCAACGCTCTACCAACTGAACTACTGCCGTTGTATCATAAAGTTCAACTGCCCACTGGTGGCCGGAGTCTAGAACTACATCGTTGTGTAGACGCGGTGCACTTTTAATAAGGCTATTGCTAATGCTGCTAGGCTAATTCTGCTGGATTTTTAAAAGGCCGGTTGTTTTGGTGCTTTCTGCTGGCGTCAGAGCCTGCGCTAGCTTTAGCCAATCAGCGCTGGGTTAACCTCAAGCCCCAGGAGCTGTTCAGGGCCCAACAGAGTACCTCTAGAATGGACGTGGGACTCCTGTGGGTCCTGCGAAAGTTCCGAAAGTACAACATTTCCTCTTATCTTATCTTCCTCCTAATGGCCCTGCGGCTTCTAAGCTAACATGTTTTCAGACAGTATGTTGTGTCTGATTTTTTCATAACGTTTTACTTTAAGACTCTTTCTGTAGGTCAAACTACGAAAATTACGTACACTAGCTTTACGTCAAATATAGATAAACATAGATCCTCTTTTATAATTGGACTGAAGACCCAGGAACTCAGCTTTGCTCCTGACATCACAGTAGGAGGATTCAGCACAGTGTTTGAAACAAGTTTGAAAACAGAGCATTTAGACAGGAGGGGCGGGGGGATGTTCAGGATGTATGTATCTCGTTCAAATGAATGGAGCTTGCGCCGGCTGATGATTTCTAGGGCTGTCAGACGATTAATTTTTTTTAGTTGATTAATTGCACAGAAATGGTGAGTTAACTCACGATTAATCACATTTTTGACATTCTATTTCAAATCCACTCCTATTGTAATGGCACATTGTCATTGAAACCAAATGTACTTAAATCTGTTAGATTTGCTCACAACCAAAATTAGCTGTTAATGAAAGGGAAAATTTACATACCCCAGCTTGAATTCAGCGAAACAACAGCCCCGCGGTGACGCGCGTATTCTTTTAAAACTTGAAATTCCACGAGGGCCTACCTGCTCTGATGCCATCTCACACGCAGCATGAGTAATATCTGAGTGATATTATGGATAAATGGGCGGGTCATTCGGACATGCATTAATGCGTTAATTTATTTTTCACGCGTTAATGAAAAATGTAATTAACGTGAGTTAACGCGATAATTTTGACAGCCCTAGTTTTTTCACAATTTTCTTGTGGCGGGACCACTCGCGGCCATTTTGGATAGCTCCAGTAGAGCACATCTTTTGGCCGATTAGTTAGAACGGTGGAGATAGGCGTGACTATGTCCATTATTTTTTACAGTCTATGCTATGTTCTTGTGTGATTCCAGGTGCAGAAGGAGGTCCAGGCTCTGATCGACCAACACCAGCAGATCCCAGGGAGCATCCTCAGAGCGTTGTGCGAGAGGTTCCACAAACACAGTCCTCCCAGGAAAAGGACTGAAGCAGGATTACAGCCTAACTCTAAAGCAGGACCAAACCAGGACAAGTGTTTCTAAAGCGGGACTAAAGCGGGACTAAAGCGGGACTAGAGCGGGACTAGAGCGGGACTAGAGCGGGACTAGAGCGGGACTAGAGCGGGACTAGAGCGGGACTAGAGCGGGACTAGAGCGGGACTAGAGCGGGACTAGAGCGGGACTAGAGCGGGACTAGAGCGGGACTAGAGCGGGACTAAAGCGGGACTAAAGCGGGACTAAAACGGGACTAAAGCGGGACTCAAAGTTTGGGGCAATATTCCAGTGGATTCTTGTATCTCATGTTAAATTATGTGGTTGTAAAAAATTTTGAAGTCAAGGTTCATCTGTTCGGACCACAAAACTTCCCTCAGTGAAAGATGTTTATGTGAATAATCACCAACAGAGACTGAAGCTGAAGACATATAACATACAGTTCTTTTTGGTGTTTGATTTGACACAATCCTGTGATAATGTGAAGCATGTTTTCAGTTCAAATCCAATAAACTGTAAAGTTTGGAATTGTGTTTTTGAAATGTAGACACACAACTGTGAACAAATGAATCTAAAGATCTGAGTTGGACTAAAGCTGGAATGAAGCATGTCTAGAGCTGGTCTAAAGTGGGACAAAAGCTGATCTAAAACTGGTCTAAAGCAGGTCTAGAGCTGGTCTAAAGTGGGACTAAAGCCTGACTAAAGGAGGTCAAATACTAGTCTACAGTAGGTATAAAACTGGCCTAAAGCAGGATTTAAACTTAGTTACATATGCCATCTTCAAACGCAAGAGAAAGAAGCGCAGACAGACTCAGAGGAAACTCAGTGAACTTTATTGTTTCTTGTGTGTAGCATCAGAAATAAAAATTTACAAAAATCCATTATGTACAAAACCCGGACACGTATTTCTTCTATTTTTTTCAATTAGTTTTTTTTTGTGCTTTATTTTTTACAATAAAACGTCGTCCCACTCATTTGAACACAACACGGCTTCCACACGGATCTGGATATATTTATATTTTCTCTCAAAAATACGACACGACACATGTTTGCTCACGACAGATATGTACACAGGCCTCACCGTCTGTGCTCCGCGACATCACCCAAAAAACAATAGAAAATAAGGCAAATTTAAAACAAAAAAAAACAATTTCTAGTTTAGAACAACTGAAATATCTCTCCTGGTCACTACGGTAAGTGTCAAAAGTCAGATTCTAGTCTTGGTTTAGAGCTACTTTATCTAATTCCTATGATGTTCAGGACACACCACCTCAGTCTAGTCTATCTTTCTGGTCTTTCTCTGGTCTCATTTGTTGCCTCCATGTGTCAAACAGGTGGAGACTTGGTTAACTTAAGTTTCTCTTCTATAAACGACACGAGAAAGGGAAAGTACAGTACCTGCTGGACTACAAACTGCTCCTGTGCATTTTAACGTATTTTCATTGACTTATTTAACAGGAGACTATTGTACATGTTAGTGGTAGAGGAAACCGGAGGAAACCCACGCAGACACAGGGAGAACATGCAAACTCCACAGCGAAAAGGCCCGTCTGGAGGTGGAATTGAAGTACTAACCACAAAAAAATCTAAATAAATGCCTGTGTCTGTGTTCTCTCTGATGGATGATAATCTCCAACCTGAAAAAGCGTATCTTGAAGACGAGAAAAAACACATGATGTGAAAAATAGTGATAGAAGAAACTGCTTTTGAGTCAGGAAGTAGAGACATTAGTTTTGTTTTGGGCTCAATGTTAAGAATTACCTAAAGGACATGGTCGTAATCTGGATAACATCAGCTTTAACATGAGGTATAACATGCTAGACACTTTTAATCTCTAACCATCAGAGCTTGGATTTGAATAGTTTTACAAAGGCGAGGAAGGCTCAGACGTTTGGCACCGAAAACCAAGGCTCCTGATCTTCAAAAGGCATCGTTCAGGCCGGAATCAAAGGCAAATCAAACACACAAAATGTGGAGACACTGGAATAAAAACCTGAACATGTTTGAACAGAAATGACCAAAACACAAGAGCGTGTGGCACTTGAGACCAGAGGCGTGTGGGTAAACGTGAGGAGCTCTATGTTCAGTCACTGCTCACAACACCGAGTCTGATCCGACGGCGGCGTGAGGTTCTTGGCATTTGGAACATTTAGAGAAAGAGAAAAGGTAGTTTCAATTTGAGGGCGGGGTCAAGAGGAAGAGGAGGTGCTACGATAGGGGAGCTCAGGCCCTGTCCACATCGAGACCTTACGCTGTGCTCATGTCCGACCTCAGACATGCTTACACTGTGTTCATGTGTAAGGATGTTCTACCTCAGACATGCTCACACTGTGTTCATGTCCGACCTCAGACATCCTCACACTGGGTTCATGTGTAAGGATGTTCTACCTCAGACATGCCCACACTGTGGTCATGTCCGACCTCAGACATCCTCACACTGGGTTCATGTGTAAGGATGTTCTACCTCAGACATGCTCACACTGTGTTCATGTCCGACCTCAGACATCCTCACACTGTGTTCATGTCCGACCTCAGACATCCTCACACTGGGTTCATGTGTAAGGATGTTCTACCTCAGACATGCTCACACTGTGTTCATGTCCGACCTCAGACATCCTCGCACTGGGTTCATGTCCGACCTCAGACATCCTCACACTGTGTTCATGTGTAAGGATGTTCGACCTCAGACATCCTCACACTGTGTTCATGTGTAAGGATGTTCGACCTCAGACATCCTTACACTGTGTTCATGTGTAAGGATGTTCGACCTCAGACATCCTCACACTGTGTTCATGTCCGACCTCAGACATTCTCACACTGTGTTCATGTCCGACCTCAGACATCCTCACACTGTGTTCATGTCCGACCTCAGACATCCTCACACTGTGTTCATGTCCGACCTCAGACATCCTCACACTGTGTTCATGTCCGACCTCAGACATCCTCACACTGTGTTCATGTCCGACCTCAGACATCCTCACACTGTGTTCATGTCCGACCTCAGACATCCTCACACTGTGTTCATGTCCGACCTCAGACATCCTCACACTGTGTTCATGTCCGACCTCAGACATCCTCACACTGTGGGTATGTCCGACTTCAGACATCCTTACACTGTGTTCATGTCCGACCGCACACATCCTCACACTGTGTTCATGTCCGACCTCAGACATCCTCACACTGTGTTCATGTCCGACCTCAGACATCCTCACACTGTGGGTATGTCCGACTTCAGACATTCTCACACTGTGTTCATGTCCGACCTCAGACATCCTCACACTGTGTTCATGTCCGACCTCAGACATCCTCACACTGTGTTCATGTCCGACCTCAGACATCCTCACACTGTGTTCATGTCCGACCTCAGACATCCTCACACTGTGTTCATGTCCGACCTCAGACATCCTTACACTGTGTTCATGTCCGACCGCACACATCCTCACACTGTGTTCATGTCCGACCTCAGACATCCTCACACTGTGTTCATGTCCGACCTCAGACATCCTCACACTGTGTTCATGTCCGACCTCAGACATCCTCACACTGTGTTCATGTTCGACCTCAGACATCCTCACACTGTGGGTATGTCCGACTTCAGACATCCTCACACTGTGGGTATGTCCGACCTCAGACATCCTCACACTGTGTTCATGTCCGACCCCTTTTCACACTTCTGGTTCTGGGTGACATCACACGGATGCTGCGTTCGTGTGTTTGAGTGTAAATGTAACAGCAGCATGAGGTCAAGGTTGAGTGGATGAGCTGAGGATTTAGTATGTTTGGTGTTTTCAAAAAGGATTTGCTTTTTTGTGAGATCACACATCCCAAAGAACCAGTGGTTTCACATTATTATGGAGTACAGCTAAAACATCTCTCCTGGTATTCTATGGTATTGATTCTAGTCTTTGAGTGTGTGTGCATTGAGGCTGCATGTCCTTCAATGCTAATGCTAATGCTAAAAGGCTCTTTGTGGGCTTATTACGTTGAAAGCTTGCAACTTCTGGCCTCTTCCTGCACAAATCAGATCAGAGCGAAAGGCCCCTCCCACATGACAGGTGTGGAGCTGCTTCTTGCGCTGTGTTCGTGTGCGTGTTCCATCTCAGAAGAACGTTTTGAAGCCGGGCTCGTCCTGCGTGGGGCTCGTGGAAATGAATATGTTGGAATACAAACGTGTGCTTGTCTTGTGACACCTCTCTGTTTGGTCCCAGAGTGGATGGAGCCTGATGTTAGCATTAGCAATGTACCGATACAGCGGAAAGTCCATACTTGGGCTTCACCATCTGCCAATACCGATATGAACCCACATCTTCGAAGGGTTTCTCAGCTCATCATGAATCCAATTGTGTTTCAAACTAGCAGTAGGTAACAATAGGGCCGCTGAATGAAACCTGCTGAACAGGTGGAAGTCGGAAAATCAGAATATTGCTCAAAATATAATATGACAAAATCCCTGTTTCCACCAGCACTACTCTACCTTACTCTACTCTAGAGCTGGGTAGAAGTGTGGACCTCTTTTTTGTCAGCTTTACTGTCTACCTTGCTGTATCTTTCAGTTGGTGCAATTTTGAGGACCCCCCTGAAGTTGGGGCTTACAGTATCCTCCAAATAAGTAAATGAATAAATACAGAGCAATAGAGCATTGTCCTTCTGTCTACAGTTTGTGTTAGCATTGTTCTCCTGCTCCTGTATACAGTCAGTGTTAGCATTGTCCTAATGTGTAGTCTGTGGTTTCACACAGACAGAAGTTCTTTCGTTATTCACAGCGAGTTTAAAACATAATTGGACAAATGGTAACTTTGTACATAAGTAAAACTTGTGTAACTTCTGAACAACATTCTAATTTCCGCTTTTCCCCATAGGTTTCACCTGAATATGACACACAGGGCTAACAGCAGCCACTAAACACACTTATGACATCATCATGAAGTCCTACTCAAGGTATTGCCTGGACCCATTCCAGGGGCCCGCGTGGGACCCTGGGGAGCTGGGGAGACACATGACTTTGTGGTTGTAGACAAACCCACATGAGGAAGATCCCTGATGAGAACTGTGCTGGAGGCAAAGTTATCGCTGGAGTTTGAAAAGTTTGGATGCACCCCTAACCCATCTGTACAAGCGCTCTGTTTTCAAACTGAGCTCAACGCAAAAGGAGGAAGGAACGTTCAAGTCAAAACCTTCACTCATCAAGAAGACTGAGACCAGAGGACTGTCCCAGGTCCAGACTGAGACCGGAGGACTGTCCCGGGTCAAGACTGAAACCGGAGGACTGTCCCAGGTCCAGACTGAGACCAGAGGACTGTTCCAGGCCCACGTGCTAAGTTATATATATGTATCGCTCTCTTGTCCCTTTCACTCATAATCTGGCCCCAACATGCTCCTGATGATGGTCCTCTGGCATTGCCACGCCCTCCAGCCTGTCCCAGCCTGTCCTAGTCCAGTAGCACTAAAGGGTGGTCTCGTACTCGAGCCGTTCCTGCACCAGCGCGTCGTCCTTGTACTGAAGCCGCGGCGGCGTGAGCGTGCAGTCCACGGCGAGGACGGCTTTGCGGATGCCACGGTCTAGGACGTGCCGCTCCCAGGCTGGATACCTGCTCCGGCTCAGGTCGATGCGGATCACAGTTTCCTCCAGGCGATGCGGGCGAGAGGAGGGCGTAGAGGGGGCTGTGGGGCGCACCTGGAACACAGGCGGGCAGCCGTCACGCTCACACACCTTCTCCCGCGGCCTGCAACAAAAGAGACACATACACACACAACCACACACAATCAGAGAGACACCACCATCATCACACACACCAGACTCATTCTAATGTGGGTGAAGTTTCTTTCCCAAAGACAAAACGGCATTTTACAGCTGCAGCCGCCCCGTACCCGCCAGTACAGATGGCACAATAAACAGCTATTGTGTTCATAAATAAATGTGATGCTGTGACTCTGGACTCACTTGTCGCGCTCCAGTGTCGATAACGACCCCCCACGGTTGGACTTAAGTGAGTTGGTGGCGCCCTCGTGTGGCAGCGTGGAGAAGTGCGCGGTGGGGTCCAAGTCCAGGCCCTGTCCGCTGGGGGAGCGTCCGAAGCGTGGTCCGTTGGGGTGGAAGAAGCCGTAGTACATGAGCATGAAGAGCACTCCGGTGAAGAAGGAGCTGAAGATCAGGCAGAGAGCGGGCACCGCAAACGCATCTGCAGTCGGAGCACGGTACAGGTACCACAGCGTGGAGAGCGCCGTGTTCTCCAGCAGCATCAGAATGTAGTAGATGGAGAGACGGTACCTGCAGCAGGGAGGGCGGATGGAAGAGGGGGGGGGTTATAGGGAGAGGGGTAAAGGGCTCGACACACGGGAGGCGACAAATGAGAGCGATCAGCGAAACTCAACGCTGTCGCTCAGATAACATGACAGACGGGGCGCGATGCGGCTTGACGACAGCGACGAAAAGTTGAGCCGATTTCAACTTTCTGGGATCGCGTCGCTGACCTGCGCGTGCACGATACATGCACGAGCGGGAGGATTTCACACGCACGTTTTTCGCCCGTCGCTGAGCAGGAGGCTCGCTAGCGATTGACGCTATGTCGCGCACGTCCCATTGAAATGAATGGAGGCGATGCGATGTCGCCTCCCGTGTGTCTAGCCCATAAGAAAGAGAGTCAATAGGTGTTTCACACTGCAGACCCGTATTTGTTGACCCGTGTGGAAAGTGGAGACCAGTCGGCCACAATAGGACTCAAAAAACTCCCTTCTATCAAAATAAGTCTTCTTTACAATCACATGACTGTGTTTGCAGTTTCCTTTGGTTCTGCGCAGTGGACGAGCTCTGTGGACGAAGCGCGTGTGTGGCTCTCATGTACATGCACAGAGAGCTCAGCCGCGCTCTGATCAATCAGTTTATTGATGGACTTTTTACGCCATGTTGTTCAGTGCTCCCCGAGGGGGGCGTGACTGTTTACATCCGAGGCCTCTCGGCCCCCACTACCACCTTCCTCCTCCACTCCAGCACCGGGTGAGTACTGTGGTGCAAACACTGACCCCTGTCCGTCTGGCAGTGTAATACCAGTCCTGCCATTGAACGGTGCTTACTCAGCCATGCATCTGGAACTTAACAAAGTAAAACAGAGTTCACTTTTTAAACCAATAGAGACTGTGTGTGTTCCTCGCAACGGCTCAGAAATGTGTTTTAATTTGAATAAACACAAATATAACAGAAGGACAGCAGTTAGACGGTCCAACTCTGGAAATCTAATTCCAATTCTTTGTAGTCAATCAACTAAACCCACTGACACTGACATTATTTTTAACCTTGCTCTGCTTAATGTCAGATCACTATGCAATAAATCCTTTTTAATTAATAATTTTATCTGTTCTTATGATCTTGACTTTATGTTTATGACTGAAACTTGGCTTGACCATAATACAGAAAATGCAGTTTTAATAGAAACAACACCACCAAATTTCAAATTTGAATCAGAAATTCGAGAAAATAAAAGAGGAGGAGGCACAGCAACAGTTTTTAAAGATTGTATTGTCTCCCATAGAGTACCTCTTGGGAAATTTTCCTCATTTGAGTATGTCTCTTTTAAAATAGAACAAAAACAATCTTCTATTCTTATTATTGTTGTGTACAAGCCGCCACAGTCATGTCATAGTTTCACTGATCATTTCACCGAGTTGCTTTCAGTTGTGTGCACAGACTTTGATAGTTTAGTCGTCATAGGTGATTTTAATATACATGTAGATAACGTTAATGATAGATACGCGAAAGAGCTGAGCTCTGTGCTGGAAACCTTTGGTCTCACTCAGCATGTGAGTGGCCCCACCCATAGCAGAGGACACACTCTCGATCTGCTAATTACTAAAGGGGTTAATATCTCAAATGTAAATGTGGCCAATGTTGCTCTGTCAGATCATTTCTGTGTATTTTTTGATATGTGTCTCAATAGTAAAGCACGAGCTGAATCCTCAATTGTTAGAAGAAGAAGACACATAAACAAAAATACAGGTGAACTTTTCATGGGGATGATAAACTTTGATAACACGTTGTGTTCTACGGTGGATGAATTACTTAACTCTGTCACCTCTAGTGTTTTGGATGTTCTGGACACGATTGCTCCTGTAAAGGTCAAAATTGTTACAAATAAGCAAAAGGCGCCATGGACAAAAGCAGACTCTGTCAGGGCACAGAAGAGAGAGTGCCGGAGAGCCGAGCGGAAGTGGCGAAAGTCAAATCTCCAAGTTGACCATGAGATCTTCAAAGATGCATTGTGCAAGTTCAACAGTGTGCTACGTAGAACGAGGGAAACTTATTTTTCCGAAACAATCGAAGGTTGTAGTGGCAATCTACGCGTTCTGTTCTCAACGGTAAATAAATTGACAAATCCCCCTGTTAAGATGCCATCAGAGCTTACCTCCAAAACCAAATGTAATGAGTTTGCAGAGTTTTTTAATGACAAAGTCCAAGGCTTCAAAAATGCCATCACCTCCACAGTAGAAATTACAATCCAACAGCCAGTGAAGCTTTTTGGGCTGACACACTTTACACCAGTACAAAATGAAACTGTCCAAATGATAATTACAAGTCTGAGTTCTTCTACATGTAGCCTGGATGTATTACCTCCTAGATTTCTTAAATCTGTTCTGAGCAGTCTTTTACCTTCACTCACGCATATAGTAAATATGTCTCTTGAATCTGGAACATTCCCAATGGCCCTGAAAACGGCAGTCATCAGACCCCTCCTAAAAAAGAGGAGTCTGGATGCCTTGGCACTTAAAAATTATCGGCCCATTTCAAATCTGCCTTTCATGGGTAAAATTCTAGAAAAAGTTGTCTATCAACAACTTACAGAATTTTTAATAATCAATCACTCTTTTGATATGTTCCAGTCTGGTTTTAGACCCCACCACAGCACAGAGACCGCTCTAGTGAAGGTAACAAATGACATCAGACTTAACACTGACGCAGGAAAAGTCTCAGTTCTTATCCTGTTAGATTTGAGTGCTGCTTTCGACACTGTTGATCATGGTATCCTCATTCAGAGACTTGAGGACTGGGTTGGTGTTTCTGGAACAGCCCTAAGCTGGTTTATATCCTACCTACAGGACAGAAAGTATTTTGTGGAGATCGGAAACTGTGTCTCAGACCATCTGGCCCTGACCTGCGGAGTGCCACAGGGCTCAATCCTGGGGCCTCTCCTGTTTAATATTTACATGCTGCCTCTGGGTAGGTTAATACACAGTAATAACGTGTCCTATCACAATTACGCTGACGATACTCAGGTCTATGTGTCCCTGACAGCAGGAGAACATGGACCAGTGGACTCGCTCCTTCACTGTATCCAACAGATCAGTGATTGGATGCAAAATAACTTTCTCCAGCTAAACACAGAAAAAACTGAAATTATTGTTTTCGGACCTCAGAAACAAAGAGAGAGCGTTATCTGCCACCTCCAGTCTCTCTCCCTGAAACCCTCAACTCAGGTCAGAAATCTAGGAGTAATAATGGACTCAGACTTGAATTTCAATAGCCACATATCATCTGTGACATCATCAGCTTACTTCCACCTAAGAAACATTGCTAAAATTAAAAACATTGTGTCTAAAGCAGACTTGGAGATTCTTATCCACGCATTTGTCTCCAGTCGATTGGACTACTGCAATGGCTTGTTCACAGGTCTCTCTAAACAAGCGGTAAAACAGCTGCAGTACATCCAAAATGCTGCAGCTCGAGTCCTGACTAGAACCAGGAAGTACGACCACATTAGTCCGGTCCTCAGGTCTCTGCACTGGCTTCCTGTGGCTCAGAGAATAGATTTTAAAGTAGCTTTACTTGTGTACAAGTCTCTCCATGGCCTCGCACCAGGGTACATCCGCGACATGTTGGTGCCATATGAACCAACTCGGGCTCTGAGGAGCACAGGGACTGGACTTCTGTTAGTGCCAAGAGTCGGAACTAGACATGGGGAGGCTGCGTTTCAGATTCATGCAGCTAGAGTCTGGAACCGTCTTCCCGAGAGTGTGAGACAGGCGTCTACTCTAGCAGTTTTTAAAACTGAACTGAAAACAGTTCTTTTTAGCTGTGCATACAAGTGAATGATTTTACATTTGTTTTTATCTTTAATCTTTTTAATGCGCTATGATTATTTATGATTATTTATGATTGTAATCCCTTGTGTGATTTTAATTTTTTACGGTTTTTAACTACTTGTGTGATTTTATATATCTTGTGCTCTTAATCTGTCTTTTTATGTTTACTTAAATTCTAATGTTTGATGATTTATGCATGATGTTATATGGGTTGTGAGGCGCTTTGCGTTGCCTTGTGTAGGAAAGGCGCTCTATAAATAAACGTTGATTGATTGATTGATTGATCAGAGCTGCTGATCAAAGCAGTGGTAGAGCGTTGTCAGAGCGGGAAGAAAACGAGCAGTTTGTGGCATTAAAGTGTGGATTTAAAGAAAATCAAAGAATTTAAGAAGAAAAAAAGTTCAGGATGACAAGGGACACTATAACCCCCACAAAATCCGACCTTTATGAAAGCTGTAGGTTCTCTGTCAGCTGAGGTTTTTGTTTACATTGTGTTCGATAGGACTTTTTTCTGGGTATCCCGCGTGAATTTAGTCTGTAGTACCACGGGCGCCCCCTGTGCCCAAGCTAGTAATACCCTATCCAGTTATTATAGATCCATGGGTCAGGCCAACAAAAATTGCTGCTGATATGCGAAGAAAATGTGACTCTTCTTCCGAGTATGTTTGTGCTTTTTTGGACATTTCATGACACTTTGAAGGCAGCTACTGTGGTTAACGTTCTAACTCATCATTCCAACAATGCACAAGGTAGAATCTTTCCACTACATGTTTTGGTAATATCAAGGTTGAAGCCATTGGCACCACGGCGAACGCTGAAAGGAGTCCTTTGTTCGTGCTGTCTCTACCATAACGCTATGGATCCTAATGCGTTATCCAAGAAGGATTTGATTTGCGAGTTTGAAACATACCCGCCAGTTCAGTTCCTGGATATATCTAACTACCTAGTGTTACAATCAAGCTTTTGCACTGCTAAACAAATGAAGGCTTGGATAAAAACAGATGCTGCAACTGTCTGTAGGTTAAGGAACTCAGAGTTAAGGTCCTGAAGGACAAATCCTGCATCGTAAAGAACCATGTAAGTAACGATTGGAATGAATTTATCAGTCTCAACAAAACGATGCGTCCACATGTGCTGTTCATCTAAAACGCCAACTCATACCTGAAAGTTCATTAAAAAACAGATGAGGATGTAATAACTGTGCATTGTGACTGCACGGCTGGGTAAATAAATAATCTTTCGATGTAAAAGTGTTTGCTAGTGAAATGTTAGCGAACCACTTTTACTGGAAAGTAAACAAAGCTAGTTGTGCAAGCAAGCAATAGGCTTCATAATTATTTTCTACTAAAGATATTATTCCACATATAATACATGACAAAATAAACAGTCCATCCATCCATCCATTAATTTTCTTCCCCATAATCCATTTCTGGGTCGGGGGAGTGGCAGTCAGAGCTGCACCCAATCCCCTTGGCACCAGCCCCTCACTGATCCTCCTGCAGGTGGTGAGTCCACATGATCCTTGATCTTTCAGCGGGGGCTTCAGGCAAAGTGGGGTTAAGTGTCTTGCCCAAGGACAAAACGACAGCAGACATCAGAGGTAAACAGTCTCAGTATTGTTATTAAATGACACAAATACTGTAATATTCTCTCTTTAACCTTCAGCACTTTGTTTCTGATCACACACAGTAGTTTCTGCTCCCTCTGTGTAAATGGCTTCATTAACGCCACCTTAACATTTCCACATTGTGAAACGTACAAAATGATGTCAATGATGAGACTGATCTGATCCCTGCGTCATGAGTTTCTATCCCCCAGCAGCAGAAACCGTGAGCTACAAAAAAACACTCTGGTCTTCAGAAGACCAAATGGAACTAGATGGACCCTTTCCACTGGTCCATCTAGTTCAATTCAACCAGGGGTCATCAACTCTCTTTCATTCTAACCAAGTACCAGCACACACACGCACGCACACACGCACGCACGCACACACACACGCACGCACACACACACACACGCACACACACACGCACACACACACACGCACACACACAGACACACAGACACACGTACATAAATATTCTGTACTGTTATAACAATATATCTATAGTTATAACAGTGACTCCACCCACTTCCTCAAGTGGGAGGAGTCTAGTGTGCTCTTATTCGGTTGAGAACCTGGTTGAAACCTTTGGACTAAAGATGCTCCCCGCTCTCACCGTGTGCGGCCCTCCTTCACGTTGAACCAGGAGAAGATGTAGATGATGCCCACTACCATGTCGAACACAATCTCTTCCCACTTGCTGACGCAGTAGTGGGTCTCACAGTGGACGATCCAGAAGGTCATGACGCACCAGTGCAGCACGATGAAGAGGCCGAAGTACAGTTGGAACACGGACGCAAAGAGCGCAAAGGTGATGACGCGCGCCGCCATGGTGAAGAAGTGCCAGCAGAACTGCAGCGTCACGCCCACGTAGCTCATGGAGCGCTTGTCCTGCCGAGACTCCCTCAGGGCCTTCTGGTACGAGGCCAGAGACCAGGCCAGGGACACCAGGGAGGCCGCCGCGGTCATTCCTGCACAGAGACCAGAGATAAACCAGTTGAGAGACCAATGAGACCAAAGCAACCAGAGACATAGTGAGACACCAGAGAGAAACTATGGTGAGACTAAGCCCCGGTGATCCAAGATGGCGCCCTATTCAAATGAATGGTTTGTGCTCAGTAGCGCATGGGACTTCACGGAGACCGGGAGATTAGCAGAACTCGCCTATATTTGGGCATCGTCTGGTCCTCCCGGTTCTGCGCAGTGGGTCATCTCCCATGATGCATTGCGCCAAATACGCGTGTGTGGCTCTCATGCACGTGCACAGAGGGGCTTGGCTGCGCTTCGACCAATCAGAGCTGCTGATCAGAGCAGCGGTAGAGCGGAGTCAGAGTGGGAAGGAAACGAGCAGAGTTTGTGACAGTAAAGTGTGGATTTAAAGAAAACCGGAGGATTCAGGATGACGGGACACTAAAATCCCCACAAAATCCGATCTTTATGAAAGCTGTAGGTTCTCTGTCAGCTGAGGTCGAGCTGTTTTAGTTTACATTAAGTTCTAGGGGACTTTTTGGTAGCCCACATGAATTTAGTTTGCACTACCACAGGCGCCCCCTGTGCCCATGGGTGGGACAGCTGTAAGCTAGTAATACCCTATCAGTTATTATTATAGATCCATGCACAGCAAATCCGACAGTGTATATTTTACACTTTAAGAGTACATTTAACACCAATCTCGGTGTGTATTTGGGTCCAAGAGTTTTGAGTACATTTAACACTCTTCAAAGAGTTTTTTTTTAACACCAAACACAGAGTATATTTATAATCTCACAGTGTTAATATATTAACACCAAGAATTAACACCTGGAGTTAATCCAGTGTTATTTTGCCTCTATTAAGTGTAAATGGTGAAATCAATAGTAAGTGTCAATTAGACACTGTAAGGGGTAATAATGTAATCTATTCTAGTGTTGATTACCTCTTTCAAAATCCCTTTTTTACCCAACTTGGTGTTGCAAATAGTAAAATGCAAAGGTAATTCATGTGAAACAAAATAGGAACACAAATCTTTTAGTAAAATCAAATAAGGAAAAAACTGCATTGAAATAGATTGTCATTTATTTGAAAACTGCAATATTAGTATGACAATCGTTTTCTGCTGAGCATGAAAGTGCTACTGTATCACAAAAATACATGAACAGGAACAACATAATAATCGTTATTGTCAAAGCCATAAGTTGTCTGCAAATCAAATGGCTTAAAGAATTGCAGCTGATCAACTTTAAGCAGCGACGCATGTACCATATCAGATTCTGACACATGGTAGGAATGAAAATGTTCTGCAAATCCTAGAGTCACAAAATCCACTGTTACAAGATGAAACTGATCAGCAAACAACACAATGTCTTTAATTTGAGCGAACACTGGCATTCCTTCTTCAATTGTAGAACAGACCATAAGACCAGAACGATATTCTGTACCAAAACAAGTGACCCAAGAGGTGACATCTATTTGAGAGTCCAGCTCTATGTGTAAACAGTCAGCAATGAGTTCACCATTACTCAAGTTCTCAAGTATGACAGATTTCACAGGCCCACAATCAATACTTTTAAATGGTGACGATTGCCAATGAAATGCAATGGACATTTGGTGTATTTGGGCTAAAGATTTTGTTATGTTCTTGAAGTTTTTTATGGTGTTCTTAAAAAAACGATGCTTGGCTTCAAAACGCATTGCCCAAAAATACAGAATAGGGCCCATTTTTCGTATAACTCTAGGATAATGGATCATAAAATGATGTTTTGGGATCAAATTTCTATTGGGATACAATATTTTAAAAAGACTATGATGTTCCACAATGAGATGCTTTAGGAAGATAGTCATACCCTCGGTTATTTTAGGGGAGAATATTATGTTTATGATTTGTAATAAAAGCAAAAGAAGTCGCCAGTGAGAGTCCCCTTCTTCCACTACATCACCAAAAAGTAAAGGCACATTTCGAACTAGACAAAATGTTTGTATGGCATTGAGGCCAATACCATTTCCAGTTTGCTCCAGATTGATCCTAGTTGGACGGTTCTTCCTTTCCACATAACCAAAGTTGTAAGCATACATCCTGTTTCTAATATCCTGCGGCGTCAAGAGTTTTTTTTCCACAAAGATCCCTAAAAGAAGTTTGATCTCAAATTGTGCCACTCCTTCAAGTACATCATGCATTATGTCGACAGCATAATTATCAGAAACATTGAAGTACTTCAGATCATTTAGCACACATTTTTGCTTAACTCCAAAGGATGAATTGATGGTAGGGTCTTCAACATCTTTGCAGTGCTGAGCATGCAGTTCTTTGCAACGTAATGTTATGTTTGCATCATCATCAGAGAAAATAGTTTGGCACATGTCCTTATCTGTTAGACAAAAACGGCAATAATAGTTTGCACTGAAAGACTGAACATACCCAAGAAATGCGTGCAGCCCCAGATTATCTCCAGTTATCTGAGCAATTGTACCATAAATAGGGCCATTGAAAGGAGGAACTTCAATACCTTTTGTCTCCAAAATTTTCAAATCACTTAACATCGGCTCCAAGACTCTTTGAAATCCATACTTTTTTAAATCGTCACTATGAAAAAGTGATATTAGGTGAATATTCATCAGAGCAGAATTTATCTTTGGAGAAAAGTTTCGCAGAATAAAGTACATACTTCCAATCTTGTGGATACCATGTTTTGATCCAAGTGGATTTGCCGTTTCAAATTCATCAAAAAACAATTGTATTTGGAGTGAATTGTTTTTCTGAGAAAATAATGGATGCCCTTTAAAATATGAACCATCACAAAAGTCTTTGTAAACTCCATCTTCACAAGGTTGAACAATATGATTTTTTATTTCTTTGTTAGAAAGGATAAACTTTAGAGTTTCGAGGATGGGGACATACACAAATGTATCGGTCACAGGAACTTGATCGTATGTTCCTGAATCTCTATTTCTTCTTATGTCATATCTCACACCAAGTGGGATTTCAACAGGGTCTACCATATGACACTTTTCATTGAAGTATTTTTTCCATTTTTTTTCTGTATTCAAACATGTAAATGGGTTTTCAAGACTCTCAAAGTATGATTTCATTTTTGACTGTGTGTCCATATCATCAGGAACCAAGTTTAGGACATCATCTTTTATATTTGAATGAAGTTCATGTACAAGCTCCTCTAAATTCTCAACAACAGATGTTACAACTGTAGAGGGCACACCACTGCTTTTAAGCTTTGCAACGAGAGATGCACACATTTCTTGGGTATTTTTACCATTTTCTTTAGCACTAGTTGAACATTCTGCTTGTTCTGTTATAGAACTAGACACATTTGGTGGATCAGGTGAATTTGGAAAATTTGGCTGGTCAGAAAGCACTTCGGAGATTGGGTCCTCATCACCAATATCATCAATATCAATATTAAAATGTCCATGCTTTGTGTTAAGATGCTTTCTAAATCCTGAATACGTTTGAAATTTCTGACGACAGCCATTTTGGTCACAAATGAGAACAAAACTTTTACCAGGATAAAAAGCATGCTTGAACTTTAAATGTCGAACCAATATCTTAACGTTGCTGAATCTGAACTTGCACACACAAGCACCTAAAGGTCATGACAGGTCTTAACTTAAGACTTTAGCCCGCATGTCCTTCACTCTTGGGCTTTCATGACATTGTCCCATATCAATGTTGTAGATTGTAGTCTGCACAAATGTGTACATGTTGTTAAGGGCCTGGTCATAAGAGATGCCGAACACGTAATGCGCTTTGAAAAGTTCATCAAAGGCAGACAGGGATGACTTAGCCTTGCAAGGAAGGAGTTGCCCGTCCACAGCGATGTAGAAGTCATGGATGTTGTCTCTCGATGTCCCAACCGCCAAGATGTGAGGCTGTCTCCCATTTTCACTGGTCGCTTCCTGAAGGCTGCGACCCGACTGTAAGATAAATATTTATTTATGATTAATAACAATCTTACTCCTATGGTCATATTAGTAAAACATAATTTACTCAATGACTGCCATAAATGTAAAAATATGTCAATTCAAAATGCATTGTTTTTCACTCTATCCCCTCTGTGTCTGTGTCATAGATGTCTGGGGTTTGGCTGTAGACAGTATTTCATTGAGCCAGCAGGTGGCAGCAGAACTCTGGGTGTCATGGTCAAAAATCACTGAGCACTGTGTGCAAGAAACACAGAGGCAAAGCAGGCATAGAGTAATAAAGTCAGGGACAGGCTACATTTGGAGGCAGTTTGAGCAGTAAATGTGTCTCCAGAGCAGACAGGGACCATGTGGAGGGTCAGAGCAGTAAAGCACTCCAAAAAAAGCCACATAAAAAGTGGACTATCGTTAAAACTATCACTGGGCCTGCATCAACAGTCAGCAGCAAAGTCCAGTTATCGCACAGCACTCAAACAGAAAACTCTGTAGATGTAACCACACAAACACATATGAACGCATATACATGCGCACACTAAAGTATTCTATTGCACTTATAGTATATTGTCTGTTCACTTTGCATTGTCATGTATAGTGTTTAGCATTGTAATTTTGTTATTCTCTGATTTACTCTTGTTGACATAAAAATATAGCGGCACCTAATGGATGAATACTGGCCATTCTATCTGGCATAGTTTGTCATGGGCTCTACTTTCAATATGTAAATTTTGACATTTTTGCATGAGTACATTTTGAAACATTCAATCAACACTTGGTGGATGTGTGTGTGCCATATTATTTTACACTACTCTCTCAGAACTTGTTGCTGTTTGTAAGATCCTGGACATGTTTGAGGAGATGCTTAAGTTAAACTAAATAGTGTTAGTCACTTTTCTGCAAGTTAATCTGTTTTCACAAACACCTCATTTTCTCAGCTGTTTGTCACACTACTCTTTTCAAATGGAGATCACAGGAGAACGAAACAAGCTAAAACCACTTCTTTTTGCTGCTATAAGTACAGTTCAGTCTTTCAGATTCTGGCTGGCAGTAAATGAGTTGAACTCTACTCTTGTATTTAAATTCATGATAACAATTATAATTATTTTGAGGAAAAAGGCAAAGAAGGTAACTGCCACCTATTACATTGCTACAATATGAAAAAAAAATATTAAAACATTTTTATGTTAGTGGCATAAAACATACCTTATGAAACTTTATCACATGATCGACAGCTTCCCGGACACCAATCTTTACAGCCCTTTTCTTGCCACCAGGTGGAGGAGGCAGGAGATACACCAGCAGCAGCAGTGAGGACATGTCACTATCCCATTCTTTAGAAAAGAGATTCCAGTCAGATTATGCTATATAAACTAATATAATTTACAAACAACCCAAAAAATACTACACTGGTAAATCCACAAAAAATAATGTTATTTTTCCATTTTGACTTATTAGGTAGACAAGACTTGGCGTCAGGTGCGTAAGAGTGCAAGCTGTTAGGCTACCGCTCACGTCTCACCCTTGTATCATTCAACAAATTGTATTTACCAATATTTTGCTCGCTCTGACCGATATATACTTCAAGGCCAGAGGGACAAACGCGTTTTGTAAATACATAGTCATTAAGAGTGACGTGTGCGGGAGCCTTTCTTGCTAATTGACTTTAGACTTAAAACATTTCCATAATAGCTTATGTGTCAGTTTACATTTAACATTAAATGTGCAAAAAAGGTTTTTAAATACCTAAAATGTGTTCATCTGGGTGCCCCTCTGCAGCAGAGATCAGAGATTCAAGAGTAGGTGTCTTGGTGAGGCTTTTAGCTTGATGTATGACTTTGGTCTTCAGTGATGTCCCCCACTTTTCCAAAAGCTTTGATGAGGTCTCTTCTCCAAAAAGCAATTTGAAATCTTCGAGTAGCTGGAGGGAGGGAGCATGGCAAAATAATGATTTCTACTACAAAAAAATATCCAAAAATCCTGAAAAAGTGGATTCACTGAATTGAACGAGGTAGCCAAAAGTGTTAATTTTCCCAGAGTTGATCAAAATGAATAATAATATTAGATAATTTTGTATTTCAGTCAAATGGCTGAAAGCAGCAGGATTGGGAAAAATATATTTTACTTCTAAATGCGTTTTACCCTATAAGTAGACTTTTTACACATTTCTTTGGTGCGAGTAAGCAAGCCATGTCCACTTCTTTTTGGTCTACGAGTAATACACAGTGACGTCATTTCATTTTGCAATTAACTCACCAATCCCTTGATATTGAGGAACCTGGGAAAAACATTGAACACTGTGCTGGATTTCTCAGGATCACGAATCAGTTTTTGTCTGTACTGGAAGGTTTGTTTCATCTTCATGAAGATTTGCTCTTCATCAGTGCTGTGCTTAAGGAGCGACACGGCCTCTAAACACTGGTCTCCATCCAACTGTTCCGCTGTGGCCACCAATCGTTCAACTTCTGGTCCCCTTTGTTTGGTGTTCTGTGAGGAGCAGCTTCTTCTCTTGCCGAGGCCTAGTTCCCGCTGCATGTTCTTTAACTTCCAGGCGATGTAACCTTCATTACTACCTTCATCAAAAAAATGTTCCTGAAAGACAAAAACAATTGAGGGTTAAGACATGCTTAAAATAGTATGTAATTGTATTTGAACATTTAAAACACTCACATATCCTTTTTTAGAGTACGGATCTTTAAAAGCAGGAAAAAGGGCAACAATGCCCATTGCATATTTGGTCCTAATTGGCATTGGTGGAGTGCTCCTGTGGAGTTAAAAATAAAGTTTTTGCTTCCATTCCATAACAAACGCCCTAAAAAAACCAACTCTAAAACGCCTACCCATGTTTCTCCACCATGTCAGTAACAAGGATGTTGACCAGCTTTCGTCTAAGTTGATCCTTTACTTCACCTTTCTGTTGGTATTCTTCAAGTATTCTCTCTCCTCCCGGTTTGTGCTCCAAAACATTTCTGACAAGCTAAATAATGAACAGAAAAGAATATTATACCAAAAAAATAATGAACATAAATGAAAGACACTTTATTTTGGTAATTAAATCACTTCTTTAGCCTCTAAAGTGCTGTCATCATGCCGAAGCCTTTTTGGTGATGTGAATGCATCTGAATCGGATGATTGTGATGTCACAGACGCTGTGTCAGTACAGAAGGATCGCGCAGGGGAGTCTGAAAATAGAATTGACAACAAACATTATAAAAGATAATGTTGTATTGTAGTTAGTTAGCGTTTACCTGTTACAGAATGTTCACCAGCAATAATCCAAGTCGTTTCTGGATTCTCCTCTACAACATCACCAAACACATCTTCGTCCACTTCAGTTCCGGTTTCATCCAATAAATACACACTGGTTTCATCAGGTATGCCAAACTTTTGTTTTGCTAAAAAAGGAAAAGAAAAACAATTCAACAGTTATGGTGAAAGAAACAGTCTAAAAACATGCAATTTCATAACATAAGAGTGGATTTTATATATATAAAAAGTAATTGTGTACCTTCCTTAAGAAAGGAAGAATATGAAACTCCATTCACTTTTAAATACTTCTTTTTCCCTTGATATTGTATTTTAAACAGCATTGTATTTTCGCTGAAAAACAAAAAGAATTTAATATGATAAACTGTACATTTTACATCTGTGAATTTTTATATCCAGAGATAATTATGTCCTTAAAATACATTGCCAGTCCTCCCATCCATAGACCATCACACCGAACACCTAAACGCTTCAGTGATTCAGATTAGCAATATAATAAACAATCTAAAAATACTAAAAAATACTACAAAAAACGCGTAATGTAAGACCCATTTCTGTTGACCATTAGGCTAGCTACGTGTTAATAGACCTCACGAGTGACATCACAAACATGTGCCAGCCCAGGCTAAGCAAGATATCATTCCATTAGGCTACCATACTTTTTTCCATACTTTATCAAGACTTTCACACAACATTAAAGACTGTAGGGTCTGGAAAAGGGTTTCAAAATTCCATACTCAAGACTTGAGCAAGCACCCTGCTATATAAGACTTGCTCCATGAACTTACCACACCAAGCCTTTACTAATGGGACCGCATGGTCTAGCATTGCTAGCTAGCACCTACTTTCCCCTCCCGAAAAAAAGTTAAGCTATGCTAATGCGCGCGTGATTTACATTTGAACATTTAACTAACTAGTTCAAATCTAACACACATCTCTTGGGCGTTATATTTAGTACCGCGGTAATATTTAGAAGTAACGATTATGTAGTTAAGTCAACCATATTGATATTAAGCTAGTTGCACTTTCCAGAAACTTCCACACAGCAAATTTGAATACCAGCGAGAAAACATTACTATCAAATGCAACGTAACACTAAGAACGCATGCATTCCAACGTGCGCTAAAAATATAAAGCTTACAAACAGTTTATAAAGTGATTACTTACTGTAGAGCCGTAGAATAGTCCGCGGAGACGTAATGGCGACTGTGAAGAAAGCATGAAGACACCGCGAGGGTTGACGCTCTCAGTGGGCGTGGCTAATGACGGAGCACGTACAGGCGCTATGATGCGGACCTTCGTGACTCAACTGTCATATGTACACTGCAGAGTTCACTGAGCACTAAAATAACTCTACACTCACACTGTACACAAGCACAACACCTCGCAGTGTTGCTAATGAAGTACTGAAAGTGTACATGAAGCCCAACCAACTCCACAGTGTTCAAAATTTACTCTGAAAATGAGAACTCTGAAATTTTAACACTGTGGGTTTTGCTGTGTGGGTGAGACTGTAGTGAAACTAGCGACAGACCAGTGAGAGTCCAATGAAACTAGCGACAGACCAGTGAGACAAGAGAGAGACCAGTGAGACCAATGACAGAGAAACTAGGAAGAGACCAGTGAGACCAAAAATAGATGAATAAGATAAATAAACTACTGTGTGTCTCTCTGTATGTGTCTCACCTTGTACAGCCTGCAGCCTGTGAGTCTGTATGATGATACACAGTTGTAGCACCAGTTGTGGTGCGCTCTCTAAGAAGGTGGCGAGCAGGTGGAGCATGCTCACGTCGGCAAACTCATAGAGCATCCTCCAGTGAAGCTGCCACTGCGCTGAGCTGCGGCGGCTACGGACGCCCAGGTACAGGGTGTGTAGGTATCTGCACACACACACACACACACGCACACACGCGCACACACACACACGCGCACACACACACACACACACACACACACACACACACACACACACACACACACACACACACACACACACAAACACACACTTTAATGATAGCCCTGGTCTCCTCCCGGTCTTCAGTCCTGGTTTCGTCCGTCTCAGTCCTCTTTAGCCCTGTCTGGTGACTGGTCATGGTTCTTATCCCGGTCTGGTCCCGGTCATACCTCCACAGCTGGCCCAGTTGCAGGATGTGTATGGCACTCACGCAGCCCCACACACAGCACCTGACGGCGGGCGGCCTCTCGGAGCTCACGGGGGGTGGCTTCTCGGAGCTCACGGTGGTGGTCTTGCTGGTTGTAGAGCTCTGTCTCTTCGGGCTACATGGCTGTCTCTGTGGGGGGCCCGGGCCCTGGACGTCGGCCTGGGACGCGGAACAGCTCAGAAGCTTGTTCCCGTCCAGGGGAGCGCAGTCCGCGGCGCAGGGCGTAGCAGAGTCGGTGAAGTCGTGAACGAACCAGCGGAAACTAAAGAGCTGCACGGAGAAAGAGCCGAGCACCACGAAGAAGAGCGTTAGGCCGAACCACCAGAACTCCCGCCGGAGGAAGTAGTCCACGGACAGCCACACATCCGTGCCCACATCCAGGGAGTACACTAGCACCGCGGCCAGCAGCCACAGTGCGTCCCACAGCGAGAACTGAGGCTCCGTGTGCAAGCAGGACCCCCCGTTCACAAAGTCCACCTCTGGAGGGCCCCCCGGGGCCCCCGCGTGCAGCCCCAGCACTGAGCCCGCGTGCTCCGAGTTGTGCAGCGGCGTGAAGGCCACGTCGCTCTTCTTCATCTTCAGCGTTCCGTCCGATTTAGCGGCCATCATGGAGCTACAGCTAAGAGAGCCCACCGCTTCTGAGCTAACATGAGCTAACACGAGCTAACTCTCCCGCAGCAGCATTAGCCACGAGATGCTAACACAGCAGCACCGCCCTGCAGCTGTCTCCTCCCGCCGCTCATAACACGGAGCCGGTGCAGCGGACAGAGGCTCCTTGTGCCTGATCCCTGGCCCCTGAGTCCGTGGGTCGGCCGGTCCGGGGGGTCACACCGCTGCTCTCAGCATCAGAACACGGACCGCAGCCTCCTCCTCGATGACATCATCCCAACGCCTCTCTCTCCTCCTGTGTGCGTGTGCGTGTGCGTGTGCTGGCGTGTGTGTGTGTGTGAGGTTCCCTGTCAGAGATCTGTCTCTCCTCCTCAGTCTTCACTTCAGCACCAGCTGAGAACGAACAGCTTCAGCACCACGGACAGCTCCTCTCCCTCCTGTCCTCTCCTCTCTCCCCTCAGTCCACTCTGTAGCATCAGAGAGTACAGCTTAAGCACCACGGACAGCCCGTTTCCATCCTCTCTCAGCCTCACGCCTTCTCTCTTCGCCTCCCTCTCCTCTTCAGCTCCTCTGGTCCACACTGCGGCCTCTCTCCCTCCTCTCTCTCCTCTCCTGCACCGCAGACAGCCCTTTCACTTCACATGGCGGGCCCTCCACTCTGTGTATACATGGTCTGTGGTTGAGTCTGTGGTCTGGTGTTTAAGCCAATAGAATAACAAGCTAAAAATACTGAAATAAAGAATGTCTGAGTTGAATCTGTTTAAATTTTGTAGGAATCTGGTGTTTCTCCTTGTCTTTACTCCTGGTCCTTAGTCCTGGTCTTGTCCCAGTCCTCAGTCTTGGTCTCGTCCTTCACCCTGGTTCCTTCCTGGTGCGGGGGGTCTGAGTGTGTGGTCTGTGGTCTGGTGTTTAAACCTATAGAATAACAAGGTAAAAATAATGAAATAAAGAGTCTGAGTTTAATCTGTTTATTCAGTTGGAATCTGAGCAGATCTGAGAGAAACAGGATTACATTTTGATTATATTAATGTCTAAATGTTCAAGTTCATTCTCCTTGTGTTGCCAATGTCCTCTCCTCTTGTGGGCATCTGGTTCAAGACTCCAATAATCCAGGAATATAATTTACACTAGCACAGATAAGGGGGCAGACATCTTGGAGAGACCAGGGGCAGACATCTTGGAGAGACCAGGGGCAGACATCTTGGAAAGACCTGCGGCAGACATCTTGGAAAGACCAGGAGCAAACATCTTGGAGACCAGGGGTAGATATCTTGGAGAGCCCAGGGGTAGATATCTTAGGGACACCAGGTGTAGAAATATTGGAGATCCAGTCTACTACACAACCACACACACCGGGTCCAGGGGTCCGGATGTTGATGTTCTTCAGGACCAGAGCTGGAGGATTTTAAGTAGTGCATGTTTTTAGTGGTAAACTGGAACACCCAGAGGAAACCTAGACAGACACCAGGAGAACATGCAAAGAACACAGAAAGACCCTGTTCCGACTGGGATTTGAACCCAGGACCTCCCGCTGATAAGCCAGAGCGCTGTAAATATGTGAAACTGTCTTAAATGAGTTGAATTCAGGGGATTATTTTACATTTGAGACCAGGATTTATTTGCTTTGGTTACAAGAAATGAGATCTTGAATTTATTGGTGATGTCTGCGACTCCAGGAGCAGGAGGGGCAGGAAGAGTGATCTCAGGGTTTTTTTCGTGGCACTTTGTCGCCCAGAGGAACCTCGTCCATGAGTTTCTGTGAAGGAGATCATGTATTAAACACAGTCAGTGTGTGTGTGTGTGTGTATTTGTGTGTGTCACCTCGAGCAGGCGTGTGTAGAAGGCCAGATTGTCCTCCCCGTCTCTCCGCGCCTCCTCCACCTTGTACCTCCTGCAGGCCAGCAGCAGCTCTGTGGAGGTGAAGAGAGGAGCCGGGTCCAGAGAGCTGCTGTTGATGAGACTGACCAGGTACTCCCGGTAATGTTTCCTGCAAACACACAAAGGACCATCAACCAGAGACCAGAGAGAGAGATCAGAGAGACACCAGAGAGGGACCAGAGAGAGATTAGAGAGAGAGACCAGAGAGAGACATCTGAGTGAGACCTAAGAGAGACCAGAGAGAGAGATCAGAACGAGCACTATTAACTATCCCCAACTTGTAAAATATCATATTGTGTTTTTATGATGGAGAAAAGATACCTTCAAAGAGCCTCAGTCGACTGCTTCATCAGTAGATTCATCAATAACAACCAATGGATTTTGAGAAATCTTTTATTGCAAAACTAGTGACAGAACTAAATCCGGGAACCTAGCTTTAAAGGTAAGTTTGTTTACTGTATGTTAGGGGATAGGCTCGAACGAGAACTATTGTGGATTTATAGCATAACGATGGATTTCAGAAGTAATACAGTACAGACGGAATCTAGGAGGGTCAAGGACAGTGTTGATGATCCAGGACACTCCACATTCAATGACATTTATGGACTTTATCAACATTTATGGATTTTATTTTTGCATTTGCTGTGTTTGAACGGTTTGATTGTCTGATCTGTGTTGGCGAATCAACAGCTTTGTCAAGTCCTCCAAGATAACTACTGTGGGCTATACAAGAATAAATTTAATTTAATTAAAAGTCCTGGCACCGGTTTAAGCAGCAGTACCCTGTTCAGATATTAGAATACTTCAATGGTTGTATCCTGAAACAGCAGCGCTCTGGGGGAAAGGCTCGACGGGGGGCGCCCTCCGGTGGAGCAGGTGTGCACTCACTCGCAGAGGCCGGCGTGTCCGTCCTGCGTCTGGGCTCCACAGGCTGAGTCCGACTGCTGCCCCCCCTCATCCTTCTGCTCCAGGACGCCGCACTGACCTGGCACAACACACACAACACACTCGTTATGTGAAAGGCGTTCTGGAGCATGTGATGTCACATGTTCTGCAGCTGAAGCCTCCACAGAGTGACTCACCGGTCTGTGTCCCGGGAGGAGCCTCCGTGTTGAAGGTCACTCCATTATTCTGGACAGAAACAGTTCATAAGTTTCATCCAAAAACCCAGGATACCCAGGTCTGCAGGTCTAAAGCAGGTCTAAAGCAGGTCTAAAGCAGGGCTAAAGCAGATCTAAAGCAGAACTCAACCAAAGCTCTTATAGACCTCTCCAATAGGAATACACCTGGTCTACAGCAGGACTAAAGCAAGACTAAAGCAGGTGTAACACAGATCGACAGCAGCACTAAAGCAGGACTAAAGCAGGACTAAAGCAGGACTAAAGCAGATGTAATACATGTCTACCTGGAGCAGGGCCTGCAGTCTGGAGGGCTCCCAGTCCCTCAGGTAGAACAGACAGTCTCTGGGGTGATGAGCGTGGAGCCCCGACACACTGCACTCATCCACAGCACAAGTCTGGAGACAACATGTAGGCGTTACTATGAATACTGTGTGTGTGTGTGTGTGTCTGTGTGTGTGTGTGTGTACTTACAGTATGAAAGGGGTTGTTGCAGCCACTGCAGAACTGGTATCTGCACTGGGAGCAGCAGAAATGCATACAGCCGCCTTTGGACAGAGCGTACTGGAACCGGCAGTTTGGACACGCTGCGGACACACACACACATTGTACGTATTCATTTATGTCAATGTATTTCTGCCCTGAAGGCAAGGCAAGTTTATTTGTATAGCACAATTCATACACAAGGCAATTCAAAGTGCTGAACAAAACAAGAAAGTATTAAAATCATAAATAATCACAGTACATTAAAAAGAAAGATAAAAAAGTGATTGTGTATCTCTCTATGGGCCGAGGAGAACACATAAACCCTGGTCTTAAAGATCTATATTTGCTGACAGTGTCCAACAGGATCAACATTAATATTCTGGTCCTAATGTTCAGGACAGCTCCTCACAGACTCAGGACAGAGAGGACAGAGAAGAGTGAGAGGACAGAGAGCAGAGAGAGGACAGAGAGGAGAGAGAGGACAGAGCAGACAGAGAGGAGAGAGAGGAAAGAGAGGACAGAGCAGACAGAGAGGACAGAGAGGAGAGATAGGACAGAGAGGAGAGAGAGGACAGAGTAGAGGTTCTCACTGATGCCGTTGTCCCGCAGAAACCCGGCCAGGCCTTGTCTCTGGTACTCAGGGTCGTTCTCCCTCTTCCAGGTCTGGAACTGCTCACAGGTCAGACCGGTGTGCTGAGACTCCCACTGCACAGAGACAAGAGCACTGAGACAGGGCAGAGAACTGAGAGGAGACCACAGAGACATGGTGGAACACAGAGACATGGGGGAGCACAGAGACATGGGGGAACACAGAGAGGAGACCACAGAGACATGGGGGAACACAGAGAGGAGACCACAGAGACATGGGGGAACACAGAGAGGAGACCACAGAGACATGGGGGAACACAGAGAGGACACCACAGAGACATGGGGGAACACAGAGAGGACACCACAGAGACATGGGGGAACACAGAGAAGACACCACAGAGACATGGGGGAACACAGAGAGGACACCACAGAGACATGGGGGAACACAGAGAGGACACCACAGAGACATGGGGGAACACAGAGAGGACACCACAAAGACATGGTGGAGCACAGAGAGGTACAGAGTCACTGACCGGTTTCTTGCACTGGGCGCAGAAGCTGTTGCGACACTGGAAACATGTGACTTTGAGCTGGTCTCCGTCATAGATGAAGCCGTACGAGCACTGGGACAAAAGAACGGGACGTTCTATTACAAGGAAATAATTTAGGAGGTAGTGAGTTGGGAGGTAGTGAGTTAGGAGGTAGTGAGTTAGGAGGTAGTGAGTTAGGAGGTAGTGAGTTAGGAGGTAGTGAGTTAGGAGGTAGTGAGTAAGGAGGTAGTGAGTAAGGAGGTAGTGAGTTGGGAGGTAGTGAGTTAGGAGGTAGTGAGTTAGGAGGTAGTGAGTTAGGAGGTAGTGAGTTAGGAGGTAGTGAGTTAGGAGGAAGTGAGTTAGGAGGAAGTGAGTTAGGAGGTAGTGAGTAAGGAGGTAGTGAGTAAGGAGGTAGTGAGTAAGGAGGTAGTGAGTAAGGAGGTAGTGAGTTAGGAGGTAGTGAGTTAGGAGGTAGTGAGTAAGGAGGTAGTGAGTTAGGAGGAAGTGAGTTAGGAGGTAGTAAGTAAGGAGGTAGTGAGTTAGGAGGTAGTGAGTTAGGAGGTAGTGAGTTAGGAGGAAGTGAGTTAGGAGGAAGTGAATTAGGAGGTAGTGAGTAAGGAGGTAGTGAGTTAGGAGGTAGTGAGTAAGGAGGTAGTGAGTTAGGAGGTAGTGAGTAAGGAGGTAAGTAAGTAAGTAAGTAAGTTTTTATTTATATACCGCCTTTTCACTGCAGATCTGAGTCTCAAAGCGGTTTACAATTGTTAATTTTTGGGCATTTGTCTCTCACTCCACACAGAGATGGGAGCGGGGTCGCCAGTACAGGAGGCGCATGCCAGAACTATTGGACATATTTTTAGTGGTAGGGGAAACCGGAGTACCCGGAGGAAACCTACGCAGACACGGGGAGAACATGCAAACTCCACTCAGAAAGGCCCTGGTCCGACCGGGATTCGAACCCAGGACCTTCTTGCTGAGAGGCAAGAGTGCTAACCACTCAGCCACCGTGCCGCCCGAGGTAGCTGGTCTTCAAACTCTTGATTATTGGATGTTTGGGGACTTTAACTTGCGGAAACTTTATGCCGGTCACTTCACAGCTCTACTTGACATATTTTTATATGTGGTCTCAGTTTCGGTATATCCTGGTCTCAGTTTCGGTCAGGTCTTACTCACGTGACAGCACCAGAGGAACTTGGGGTCCTTGATTAGAGCCTGCTCCGTGAGCTTCTTGTGGAAGAGCTCGTACACCTCGGGCTCCAGACACTCGCGCAGCTGCAACACAAACACCTCTGTGTCATTAAAGCTGGGGTATGTAACTTTAAAGCTGTAACTGGAGTCAGGTACTCCAGCTTTAGCCAGAGACAGGTACTCCAGCTTTTGCTGTACCTGGAGTCAGATACTTCAGCTTTAGCTGTACCTAGAGTCAGGTACTTCAGCTTTAGCTGTACCTAGAGTCAGGTACTTCAGCTTTAGCTGTACCTAGAGTCAGGTACTTCAGCTTTAGCTGTACCTAGAGTCAGGTACTTCAGCTTTAGCTGTACCTAGAGTCAGGTACTTCAGCTTCAGCTGTACCTAGAGTCAGGTACTTCAGCTTCAGCTGTACCTAGAGTCAGTACCTGGATGTCCAGAGTGGAGAAGTAGCTGTTGAGGGTCTCTGGGTCGTTGATGTCCGGCTCCCAGCACACGGGACACACCATGTCCCGGATGTGTTTGTCCCGGACAGCGATGGTGAAGTGCTGCTGGAAGCACCCACAGCAGACCGAGCATTGGCAGGAGGTCAAGGACTGCATCTGAAGAGGAGAGGAGGAGGTGAGGAGGAGGAGAGGAGGTCAAAAAGAGGAGGAAAAGCAGAGCAGGAGCAGAGAGAGAGGGAAGTGAGGAGCAGAGGTGAGGAGCTGGACTCACTTTACTGTGAGGAAATACCGACAGGCAGATGGGACACTCTTTGGCCAGGACCCTCTTGATGAACTCTCGGTCATGGGACTCCTTGACGGCCTGCACCACATCGTCCAGGGCGTAGGGGGCGCTGTGCTCCAGCAGCAGGGACAGGGCCAGCTCGCAGCGGCCCCAGCTTGGGAGCTCGTACAGTGCCAAGAGGCGGCGACAGATCCGCTGGAGAAACACCACAAGTTCACTAAAGACATTTAGCGAAGACTTTAGGCAAACAATCTATGTCACTAGTTCCTAGCTCTAAAACCAGTCTTGGTCCTGGTCTTGGTCTTGGTCCTGGTCTCGGTGTCAGTCCTGGTCTTGGTCTAGGACTAACTCTTAGCCCTTTGCCCTGGTCCTGGTCCGAGTCGGCTGTGGTCTCGGCCCTGGTCCTGGTCTCAGTCCATGTCTCGGCCCCTGTCTCGGCCCTGGTCTTGGTCACTGTCCTGGTCTCGGTCCTGGTCCTGGTCTTGGTTCTGATTCCAGTCTTGTTCTTGGTCTCGGCCCTGGTCCTGTTCTCAGCCCCGGTCATGATCCTTGTCTCAGTTCTGGTCTTGGTCACCTGTTTATCAAATTTTTCAGCTCTAATGTTAAATGTCTGTAGTGCAGAAGGACAGATTCAGCACAGAGTACTCTGAGAGGGCACAAGCTGGTGCTGATATAAGTGCAACTGCAGATCTCTGATGCTAAGCAGGTCAGTGTGATGGGAGTCCAGTGTGAATGTGGTGGTGAGAGGGGGCTGGCTGTACATGTATACTAGCAGCCTCACTACTGATATTCTGTCCTAGGGCATCTATGGTCACAGTACACAGTAATTAAAGTATTTGTTCATTCACAATGAGAGAGACCAGAGAGATAGAGACCAGAAAGAGACCAGGGAGAGACCAGAGAGAGAGCAGAGAGACACCCGAGAATCTGACATGTTATTACAATGGCATAATGATAATATGGTGGCTCACATCTTTGTCGGGGTGGTGCACGTCCACAGGAGGCTCCGGGGCGTCGCTCCAGATCCGGTCATGAAAAGGCTCCAGTTTGGACCTCTGCAGCAGGGCCAGAGCCCCCCTGAGTTGACCCCCTGCCTGGCTCAGCACGTCCTGCACCTGAGACCAGGTCCACATGTGACATCACTTACATCACTCATAACAGATATGTGAGGTCATTATGAGTACCTGAAGGATGTCAGAGAACCCCAGAGAACCCAACTCCTCCACCTGCGGCAGGAGAACAGGTCACATGACAGAGACGTGAGAGACAGACCAGGGAGAGAGACCAGAGAGAGACATCAGAGAGACAGACCAGGGAGAGAGACCAGAGAGAGAGATCAGAGAGACAGACCAGGGAGAGAGACATCAGAGAGACAGACCAAGGAGAGAGACCAGAGAGAGAGACCAGAGAGAGAGACCAGGGAGAGACTAGAGAGAGAGGCCCGGGAGAGAGAGGGGAAAGTACAGAGAGAGAGACAAAGAGAGACCAGAAAGCGACTAGAGAGAGAGCTGTGTCAGTGTCTGGCTCGGGCTCGGGCTTCATACCTTTGCCTGCCGGTCCCTCAGCGCCTGTGTCGCGGCCCGCTCCACATCGCCCCCTGCTGACAGCCAGGCATGTTTAGCCTCAGCTTTAGAGATATGAATTCCTCGCTCGCCCAGCCCACTCCACTTTGAGTCCTGGAAACACACACAAGTGGGCTTTGGGAAAACATAGGCCGCAGGAAAGAGGACCAAATCAAGACTTGACCCAAAACAAAAACCAGACCAAGATCAGACCAACTACTCCAATATTCCGATGTTCCCTATTCCCCCTGGGCTCTCATTCGGTTCTACCTGCCCAGGCTTTTGATTTTTACGGCAGGAAAAACTCAAATCTGGGGAAATTCCTTGGTAGCCATGGCTTCCAGCAGAACTCTGGCCAATCACTGTCAGTTAGAACACTTTAGTACCAGCTTAGCCTGGATAGAACCAGGACCAAGAGGGACTAAAGAAGGGCCTTAACACCAAATCAGTTAAACGTAGAGTAGAACAAGGTTATTTATTTAGTGGCTTTTACAGTCATAAAGCGCTTTACAATTGTTGTGGGGCATGTTTCCTCTCACTCCACACACACAGTAGATGGAAGTGGGATTGTGCATGCCACCTCTCATACATGTTTTTAGTGGTTGGGGAAACTGGAGCATCAGCGTAGACACAGGGAGAACAAGCAAACTCTACACAGAAAGACCAGGATAGAGTAGAGTAGAGTAGAGTAAAGTAGAGAAGAATAGGCCGCACTCAGTCTGCAGAACAATTTAGCAATCAGAAGATTTTTCTTTTGAGGCAAAGTGCAAAAAGAAAACTTTTCTCCAGTCATTTGCTCACATGAATGCCGTGGCTCCGCCCTCGGTCCGTTGCCGTGGTGACCAGAGCTTGGATCCGGGCCAGGACTCGAGGCAGGTCTGACTTGATCCACTTCCAGGGCTGAGGATCCTGGGACACGCGGAGGCTGGTGTAGACCTCCTCCGGACTCAGGCCTTTCTTCTCCCCCTCCTGAGAACACACAGCTGGTTTGTCATGGGGAGAACATGCAAACTCTACTCTTGCAGTCAAACAGTACAAAAGCAATGACTGCACAAACGGTCAGGAGTCAGGGTTCTGCTCTCACCCGGATCAGCTGTATGAGCCGTAGCCCCTCCTCCCTCTGGACCCTCTGCCGTCGGCTGTCCTGGCTCTCGGGGGCGGGCTCTTTGGATTTGACGGACAGCGCTGGGACACGCCTCACTGGGGAGGGGGGGCGACGGTTCAGAGGAGGGGGCTCCGGTCGGGGCAGGTCACACATCTCACACACTGTGGCCGGGGAGTAGTTCAGGTACGTACAGAACTGACAGACCCACTGCAAGAGACCAGAGGGACAGAAACACAATCCAACATCTTAGAGAAGTGTCTCGGAGTGGAGCCGCTGCTCAGATCTTAGACGGGGGCTACCTGGCTGTCTGGGTCTCCGGGCATCCCCAGCACCGGGGCGGGGGGGCGAGGGGGGGTGATGGGGGGGTGTGAGGGGGTGACAGGAGGGCGCGTGGCCAGACGGGGGCGCTCACACACCTCACATAACACACTGGAGGCGGCGTTCACCACGGTGCAGCTTTTACACTGCCATTCTGCGGAAACAGGACACACAGTGAGCTTCATCCTCACATGTCTCAGGGGAGAGAGTCTCAGAGAGAGCACCGCTGATGGACGAGGGGGGCTTCTCCTCGGCTGCCGGCCCCCCGCTGAGGCCTCGTCGAGGGTTCTCACAATCCTCACACAGGACCTCATGGCTGGAGTTTGTCCTGGAGCAGAGCGAGCACTTCCAGGACGAGGAGCTGCTGCAAAACACCAGAAAGCACAGGTCAAAACTCACAGTCCAAAAATGCTGAGAGCTGATTGGCTGAGATCTGATTGGCTGCGTGGTGATTGGCTGAGAGCTGATGGGCTGCGAGCTGCTTGGCTGAGAGCTGATTGGCTGAGAGTTGATTGGCTGAGAGCTGATTGGCTTAGAGCTGATCGGCTGAGAGTTTGCTGGCCGAGAAAATTGCAGACACTCCCAGTCATTTTGACTGTTTCATTCATTTGAAACTAAAATTCATATTTTGCCATTTATGGTCACTTGCTGGTCCTGGACTGGTTCTGGACTATCCATCCATCCATCCATTTTCTTCCCTTTAATCCATTTCTGGGTCAGGGGGGTGGCTGGACTAGTAACTCATAATTCTGTGCTCTCTATGCTTGCCCCTTCACCTGTGTTTCCTGCTCTTGGCTCCAGGGGGCAGTGTGGCGGTGACTCGGCTCCGCTGGTGGCCCCCTCGCTCCGCTCCGCTGTGGTAGAGTTTGTCGCACTCTGAACACAGACCCTGCAGACACGTCACGCAGTGCACCGAGATCCGGAAGATCCCACAGATGAAGCAGTTCTCTGAGGGCGTCACATACACACCAGAGAGAGAGAGACCGGAGAGAGACCAGAGAGAGAGAGACCAGAGAGAGAGAGACCAGAGAGAGACCAGAGAGAGACCAGAGAGAGACCAGAGAGAGACCAGAGAGAGACCATAGTTGACATGTGCTGACAAAGAAGGGCCAGTTTTTGTTTCATGTGGATTAGTTCAGGAACTATCTGAGACTTTTCTTTTGATACTGACCACAGTTACCACAGTTACCATAGTTGCCATAGAAGAGATGTTTCACTACAATGAGAAACTATCGCTCTTAGGGATGTGTGATGTCACATGAACACAGATTCTAAGAAAGTCGTCAAGATGGAACAGACCAATCACGGACATTGCTGTGACCTCTGTGTACCTGGGTGCTTCGGCTGCATGGACTTGAGGCCCCGCTCGGCCCCTGTGTGGGAGGTGCCCCTGGATGAGTGGTGTTTGGAGGGAAACCCCAGAGATTTACTGTGACCGGAGGAATGAGCAGTGAACTGAGGCCCAACCACATCTGTGTTCAGACCCACGTCCTGGGAAGACAGAACAACCACCAGGCCTGTTTAAAGCTGGGGTCTGTAACTTTAGCCTCATAAATAACACATTTTTAAAGTAGCAATATGTAAGATTTTCATGTCAAGTCATAATTAAATGGCCCTAATATGTCAAAAGGCAATAATAAATCTTGCTCTTTTCTAATACTTCTTTAACTGATCACAGAAGTTCAGTCAGGACATTTGGATTTCAAAATTAGTTTTACAGCCCCTAAATCTTGATAATTGTTTCAATTCTGATGTTTCGCCCTCGACTGTTCGGAAAGTCCGTGATCAGGGTTGCCAGAAATGACCATACCAAGCTAATCTCACAGGTAAAGTAACATGTGGCCGAAGAACTAACAAAGGTTTTATCATGATTCTCAAATTATTCATGAAAAGTAATTAAACCAAGATTTCTATCTTTGTGAAAAAGGTGTTGGTTATAGATTTGTTGTTGACAAAACTCTTTATTCATTATATAATATTATGGTCCCTGTTGAATTTGTCTGCATATCTGGCAACCACTTCGGTCTTGGATTTTGTTATACTGCTCCTTTAAAGATTTGTAACTGGTTTGTAACTTTAGTTTCATAAATATCACATGGTTAAAGCTGGGGTCTGTAACTTTAGCCTGTTAAAAGGTGTTACCATGTGTCTGACCAAACAGGAGTCGTACCTTGTGTCTGAGTGTGGGGATGATCCTCTCATAAAACTCTGGATGTGGATGAGCCTCCTGTGGATTCAACACAAAAACTTCAGTTCAGTCTGTAACAAACTTTTACATACGTCCTTCTGGAAGATTCTGAAGTGTTGTTGTAGTTGTTGTTGTGTTGTGTTGTTGCCATGGTGACCTTGATGATCATCTCCAGCTCCATCCTGAGGCTCATCACCTCCAGAGTCACAGCAGCCACTCGCCCGACGTCCGGAGTCAAGATGTTCTGAGGGAAGCTGAGGCCGTCTGCCTCTTGGAGGGAGTAACCGTAGAGAGAAAGGACGCCACGGCCACCCTGAGACACACACACATTATACACACGTACACACACAGAGACACACGCACACACTCACAGAGAAGCACATACATACAGGACACACAACATATATGAATGTGTGAATTATATATATTTGGCAGGAAAAATAAAGTAGATAAAGTGATATTCAGTGGACACACACACACACACACACACACACACACACAAAGCGGACTCCATCTAGCTTCTATGCCCCCAACATACATAGTGAAGAGGTCAAAGCTTTGAGACTGGTCATGCAGGGACCAGACGGGCCTCAGTGTTGGGCCCCGGACCCTGTGTGCGACACAGACCTGGATGGCGTCCACGGTGGCTCGGAACACGGGGTTGTTGTGCTTCACGGTTCTCCAGAACTTGGGCCGGTTGGGGTTGGTCAGATTACAGCCGTACTTCTCCAGGATGTTCAGAGCTGTGGACAGACGCTGGAGAGAAGCCAAAGTCTGCAGAGAACAGGCCCCAGCCCTGTCAGAGCCACTGTACACAGAGGGACAATGCTAGCTCAATGAAGCCTAGAGAAGTGCTCAAGGTGAGTTCTCCGTTTCACTCTGGCTCTTGACTTATATGTAAAAGTAAGTCCTCTGGCTCGGTAACTGTTTGTGTCACACACACCATTTTAGGCTTAAATCTGTGGTTCAGTGCTCTCTGTGATCCTGGTGATTATATTTTGATATTTTTGTTTTAAATCTAGATATGAGCCATATTAAGATTGATCAATCAGATGCCTTCTTTCATCGGGGAACCTCCAGCTTGGACCTGGTTTAGTTCTGGTTCAGTCCTGATTTAGTCTTTGTAAGAGCCAAACATGTGCAATCATTGGCCTGGGGGGGCGCCTGTGTGTGTTAGGTCTGTGGAGGGTAGGTCTAGCATAAATAGGCTCTCTCTAATGAGCCATGCAGGTGTGCAACCCGGTAGGGGCCAATGGTTTTTGACCGCTACTTTTATGGAGTTTTGTTGTCTTGATTTATGCATAAATAAACATTGATTTTTATTATACAATGAACATCTGTGGACTTATGCACGCTACGGTTAAAGCTGACACAATAGCCATCTGAAGCGCGTCAGCCATAGCGACCGGTGTTTGGGCACATCTCAGTGGCACAGGTACAGGTTGGCCATTACACAAGTCAACAACCAGGCTATTTGGATATTGGATACTGAGAGAAAGAAGGACGAACGGCGCTGCAGAGGCGATTCTTGGAGAAGTCACCGTGAGGATGCGGAGGAGCAGTCTGCTGAAGTTGGAGCGACGCTACTGCTACATGGGAGCTAAGTCAACCTAAAGTTCTTCAGACTGCAGCAGCATCCTGTGAATATCATGACACCCGTGCCTCCTTTGCAACGAAACTGAGGTACTGTTACGTGTGGTTGCCGTTACGTTAGTGATCGTGTGTCTACGTGCGCTTGGAACTGAACTTAAACGTTGAAATCTACTGTCGTCATGGAAACGCGCCGTGCTGTCTCGGAGGTTGCGGCTGGAACTGTTCAACGCTCTGCTACAAAATCTCGCAGTGTAATAGACTCCAAATCACGCACCACCAGTAAACGTGAGATTAAGTTAACAGCCAAGGGACTCGCTGATAAACTGGACAGGTTGCAAAGAGAAAGAAAAGGTTTGCTAAATAAGGCATCTAATGTAAAACGGACAATTAAAAGACTAATTGAAAATTGTGAACATGATGTGGCCCAGGATGCTCTCAATGAACTGGTTCAGGTGTACCATGAGGCTAAATGTGTTCATGAATCTTTGTTAAAGTTTTTACCTGAAGAAGAACGTGATAAACATAATATTTGGTTTGAGGCCAAAAGGCTTGGGATTGATGACTGTATTACTGAGACTAGGACTTGGGTTTTAAGTCACAGTAAGACATATAAGGAAACTAATGATGCTAAAATTCTATGTGATGTTGGGCCCAGTGAGTCTAATATTGGTTGTTCAAGCTTGGCACATAAAAGTGTTTGTGGGGCATCTAACATATCGACTACATCATCTGCTCGTATACTGGCAAGAGCAGAACGTGCTGCACTGGAGGCAAAGGCTGCAGCCTTAAAAGAGCGCCATGTATTGGATGAGCAGGAGGAGCAGTTGGAGAGGAGAAGGTCTGAGCTGAGGAGGAGAAAGGAACAGCTGGACATGGAGGCTGAGATAGCCTCTGTTACGGCTAGGTTAGCGGTGCTGCGAGCTGCAGAGGAAGAGTTATCAGAACTGCAGAACTATAGAATTAAAGGAACTGATCATGTTCCTTCTTTTAATCTTCTGGCAAATGAATACCAGCCTACAGCTCAGACACAAAGTACAAGAGCCACAGAAGTGGAGGCTCAGACTGTGTTCTCACAACATGCTTCTTATGGAGGTGACATTTTTAGCATTATGCAGAAACAAAATGAAATCACGGCTGCATTGGTGCAACAGCAGCTTTCTCTCTCTCTACCACAAAGAACTATTCCCACTTTTGATGGCGATCCATTACGTTTCAGATCATTCATGAAGGCATTTGAACATTTAGTGGAGAGGAAGGCTGGACAGGCTGACTGTTTGTACTTTTTAGGGCAGTTCACTCGTGGTCAGCCACATGACCTGGTGCAGAGCTGTCAGCATATGAATCCAGAAGAGGGTTATCTCAAGGCAAAGGGACTTCTTCAGGAACATTTTGGAGATCCATTCAAGATTACCTCTGCATATCTGAAGAAGGCATTGGAATGGCCTACAATTAAGTCAGAGGATGCCAATGCTCTCCAGGACTACTCTCTGTTTCTTCGTGGTTGCTTCAATGCAATGAAAGACCTTGCATATATGGAGGAATTAAATCTGCCACAAAATATGCGGACTATTGTTTCTAAACTTCCATTTAAGTTGAAGGAGCAATGGAGGGAAACTTCATATGGAATAATAGAAGACAGTAACAGAAAGGCTATGTTTGAGGATTTGGTCATATTCATTGAGCGTTGTGTTAAGATTCTTTCTGATCCAATATTTGGAAACATTCAGGAATCTCAGTCTTTCTCCAGAACTAGCGCTCAGTCTAGAAGTGGAGGCAATAGACATGTGTTTGCCACCACCGTGACTTCTATGGGTCAGCAGGAGAATCCTGTCAATGGTACTGGTGGAGTATGTATCTTCTGTGGTGATGGTCATTCACTTGAGGAGTGTGGGACATTCAAGGAAAAGCATCATAAGGAGAAGATTGAGTGGCTTAGGGAGGAGAGACGGTGCTTTGCATGTTTGTGTGTTGGTCACATTAGTAGGCAATGTGAGCAGAGACTGTCATGCATAGTTTGTGAACGAATGCACCCCACTGTCCTGCACAGAACTGTAAGATGCAGTGCCACCCGGGAACCTGAGGAGGATCCCAAAACATGTGGGCATACAGGGGCCGGTGCAGGCCAGTGTGCACTTTCTATTCTCCCAGTGAAGATTAAGGCTCCAGGAGGAAAGGTTATTGAGACATATGCCTTTTTAGATCCTGGGAGCTCCGCCACTTTCTGCTCAGAACAGCTGATGCAGAAGCTGCAGTGCACGGGTAAAAGAACAGCTTTTCTCCTGCGCACTATGGGCCATGAATCCGTGGTCCCTGCCTTCTCTCTCTGTGGCCTGGAGGTATCTAGTGTGGAGAACAATTACTTTTATCCTCTTCCACAGGTATTCACACAGAGCAAAATGCCTGTCACTGTCAATAGTTTAATAAGTTCTCAGAACTTGTCAAAGTTTCCCCACCTTTCTGAAGTGAACATCCCAAGCATAGATGCAGATGTAAACTTGCTAATAGGCACTGATGCCCCTTGGTTGGTGGAACCACAGAAGGTGATTAAGAGCAAAGGAAGTGGCCCATACGCAGCTAAAACACTACTAGGATGGGTTGTTAGTGGTCCTCTGGATAACAGTTTTTAGTGTGATATTCAGGTGAGGTGGATTGAATGCAATATGAACTGTAATGTGTATGATTTATTTGGCTCTTTGTGTGTAATGATTGTAATTGTTATGTTTTGTTATCATAATCAATTAGGGGCCGGAATGTAAGAGCCAAACATGTGCAATCATTGGCCTGGGGGGGCGCCTGTGTGTGTTAGGTCTGTGGAGGGTAGGTCTAGCATAAATAGGCTCTCTCTAATGAGCCATGCAGGTGTGCAACCCGGTAGGGGCCAATGGTTTCTGACCGCTACTTTTATGGAGTTTTGTTGTCTTGATTTATGCATAAATAAACATTGATTTTTATTATACAATGAACATCTGTGGACTTATGCACGCTACGGTTAAAGCTGACACAATAGCCATCTGAAGCGCGTCAGCCATAGCGACCGGTGTTTGGGCACATCTCAGTGGCACAGGTACAGGTTGGCCATTACAGTCTTGGTTCATTGTAGGTTTAGTCCTGGTTAAGTCTTGTTTTAGACCAAATTTAATCCTTGTTTAGTCCCTCACCGCTGTGTGGTTGCTATGATTGCACTTGTTAGTGGCTCCACCTCTCTGTTATTGCACCTTTGATTGCACCTCACCTCCTTGCGGTTGCTGCCCTGGCTGTTCTCCGTCACCAGCGCCTCCGCATGGATGTGGTGGTACTTGTTGCCGGGCGGCAGTGGCAGGTTGGCCATCGCCATGACGCCTGCCCACACCTCCACCTGTCGCTCGCCCGAGTACAGACACACCTCAGTCTGAGTCCGCATCTGCTGCAGCTGCTCCGAGAGGGACCTCATACTGAAACACACAGGGAGACACAGAGAGAAAGAGAGACACTCTGAGAGAGAGGGAGGGGGGGAGAGAGAGAGAGAGAGACACACACATACACAAACATAGAGAGAGAGAGAAAGAGAGAGACACACACCCACACATGGACACAGATAGAAAGAGATACACACAGAGAGAGAGAAAGAGAGAGAGAGACACACACACACACACACACAGGGACACAGATAGAAAGAGATACACACAGAGAGAGAGAGAGAGAGAGTGACACACACACAGGACACAGAGAGAAAGAGATACAGAGAGAGACAAATATACACGCACACACACGCGCGTGCACACACACACGCACACACTCACATAGAGTCACATAATAACAGGACTGCTGTGTTTCCACGTCCCAAATAACAACAACTCCGAGGGAGACAAGGCGCATCCTTCCCTGTTGTTTGCATGGCATAAACTGTCTCCCCCTTTGCTCCTCTCTCATCTCCCCTCTCTTCACTCCTCCTCTCGTCTCCCCTCTCTCCTCTCCCTGCCTCTTCTCCCCTCTCCACACAGCGACCCTCGACTCCTCTACAGCCGCTGCAGAGGAGCCAGAGCCCGGCATCACCATCAGCATCCTCCCGCTCACACAGCCGCATGTGGACTGCGTCAGATCACGGCTATTTGCGCACGACTCTTTGCGTACCTACCGGATAATGAGCACGATCTCCACTCACCTGTCCCTGTCGGTGTCTGTGTCCGCGTCCACGTCCGCGTCCGTGCACCAGAAGCAAAACACGGACCACCCAGCTACGCATGGCCATGACGTCACACCCCGGGGGCAAAGACGGTGCGGTGAAAAGATGATAAAATACTGTAATAATATTAATAATGATAAAAAAACCACATCGCAGTAAAAAATATATAACATTGGAATTTAATCAAAAAATAAGATGAACCTTTAGGTGCCGAAAGACTACTTTGTATACAGCGTCCTGGCTTCTCATTCACGATGTTCGTAGGTACATAGACATTTATCTCTTATAGTCAGTACAACTTTCACTGTGTGCAAATCCCATAAAATACTACAGAAGCAGACTGAACCTCTCTGTTCGGAGAGTGTAGTCTAATGTGTTAGTGGGTCGGCCTCTCTCAGATCTGAAGATGTGATAGAACAAACTGCATTTGTTTATTTTGTTTACCGGAAGTGGGATATATTCTAGAGCTACGGAAAACGAGCACAAAGCACACAAGATCAGCCGGACTCAGGCCGTGGGCCACATCCGGGCCACAAGACCATTTTTAGTGGCACCTGAATTTTTTTTTAAAGGTCCCATAATATACTTTTTTACTTTTCTCTGCTTTAAACATAATTTCAGTGCTATTATATTAGTCTTCATACACATGCCCACATTAGAGTTTTCATTGATTCCCTGAAGCTTTAGAGTGTAATCTTTGTCTTTGTCAGCAAAACAGCTTGTTTCAAATTGTAACGTGGCACCAATCTGTGATGTCAGAAGCCCGCCTCCAGGAGGTGATTGACAGCTGGAAAAAACTGAAACAGCGAATCAGCGCAATCTATGATTCAGATTCAGATTCAGTTTATTTGCCATTTGCAGTAAAAACACCACATTTGAATACATTAGCAAAAGTCTCCAGTGTGCACAGACAAATACAGACATAAAACAACATTAAAAGACAAAAATAAAACAAATAAAACAGTAAACAAATGTCACTGTGAAATCGATCGACTAAAATGGTTTCAAAACAAGTGCAAATCATTAAAGTGATCTGTTCACACTGATAACAGCTTGTGGATAAAAACTGTTAGCGTAACGAGATGTCCTGCATCTCAGAGAGCGATATCTTCTGCCAGAGGGAAGAAGCTGGAACATGGCTTTCCCAGGGTGGCAAGAAGAGTCATTGACAATCCTAAGAGCTTTGTTTAAAAGTCTGGATTTATAAAGAACCTCCAGAACAGGAAGCTCACAGCCCACGGTCCTCTTTGCAGAGCGGAGCACCTTGTTTAAAGCTCTCTTTTCTTTATCTGTGATGTTTCCAAACCACACAGACACAGAACCAACAAATAAACTCTCAATGGTGCAGCGATAAAAGTTAAGCAGAATCTTAGAGTTAGTGGTAAATTCTTCATAGCGCATGCAGCCTCTCTCCGAATCCAGCGTCTGGTCCATTGCCTGTAAATAGTATGGTCCTGTGTCAACCACCCATAGACTGTGTTAGCATCATGTCAACTTGGAGAAAATGTGTTTTTGGATGAAAATATGTGATGATAGTATTTGGGCCGAAGACGAGTTTTGAGTGTTGTATGGTGTATCATCCAAATTATTATCACACTTATGAAGAAGAGATGAATGTAGGACCTTTAACTTGCAGAATTTATGGTATTAGATGTCATTAAAGCTGTTCAAAGAAAAACACACATCAAATAATTTATTACAAAATAACAAGTTAAATAGGACAATCGAAGTCTTACAGTATATATAAGTCATTAATCACTTCATGGTATTATTCTGAGGCCTTGCCCTGATTAGCTTCAGAGGTCTCCCATCACAGTCCTGGCAAAGTCATGCACTGCTTAGCCTCTGAAACAACAACAGGGTGGTTTAAGTTGAACGAGTCCAGCACTTAAACCACCCTCTAACCACCACAAGCACTAACACAGTGGTTAGTGCTTGTGCTTCACCTCAAAAGGGTATGGGTTCGATTCCACTTCCAGACAAGGCCTTTCTCTGTGGAGTTTACATGTTCTCCCTGTGTCAGTGTAGGTTTCTTCCTGGTCCTCAGGTTTCCCTTATCACTAAAAACATGTACTTTAGTTCAGAGTGTTTGTGAGTGTGCGATTGTGGGACTACGAATGCAAATTAGCTCAAGGTGCAATCCAGAGGGTGTGCTCATTACAACCTGAGCCTCAGCCTGACGAAGGGCCCTGTCCTGTGGAAGAATACCTACCTACACCAATGCCCTGTACAAGAAGGGCCAAAGTCACCTCCACCTTCTGAGGAGGCAGCGGTCCTTCAGAGTGATTCTTTATGCTCCATTGTTAGCTCTATAAAGTTTATCTTATATTAACATGTACAAATGTACATATATATAAATTATAACAAATGAATAAACAGGTGACATGATTTTAAAGCACTAATTTCTGTGTTGAAATTAGTGGAGACAGAGAGACCAGAGAGAAAGACCAGGGAGAGACCAGAGAGAGACCAGAGAGAGACCAGTGAGAAAGACCAGGACACAGCGTGTTTCAGTGACGCGTTTATTGAAGAAAACCATACATTGTGTTTTAAACTGTGCGCTCACATTTTCATTCAACACGACGCTAACGACAGAAACATCTAGAACAAGAAACTGTTAACTAAACATTATGAGAAACTGCTTCTGACCCGACGAGTGAGGAGTTAAAGTTTGCCGTTCCCACACCGAAACAGAACAAAGGAGCAAATAAAACGATAAAAGAAGAGACACATGTTTCTGTTTGCAATTATTCAATGTTTTTGGCTCAAATCCAACATTTTGGGCTTTTCCCAGAACTTCCTCTGTCCTTAGGACACTGAAATACTATGAACGGAACATAAGAGAATGAAAAAGTAATAAAGTGGGTCTAAGATTGGGTCCTGGCCTGGTCTGGGGGTAGGTCTTAGTCTGGGGTCTGCGTCTTTGCCTTGTCTGGGTCTGGGCCCCTGGTTCTCGCCCTGGTTCTCGACCCTGGGTCTCAGTCCTAAGGTTGGTCCAGATGCTTGGATGGGAGACCTGTTTGTAAGGCATTTCGTCGCTTTGAATGAAGACCAAACAAAGTCTCCTCCAAACTTGGACTGAAGTTTAGTCTACGACATGTTTCTAATAAGATGAAGATGTTGGAATACTTTTAATGTTACATACCCCAGCTTTAATCCAAACATGTGTGTGCGATTCTATGATCATTTGAGGACAATTCAACAGATAAAGTCCAACCAGGCCAGACCAGTCTCGGACCAAGATCAGAACAGGACCAGACCCAGGCTAGGACCAAGCCAGATCCGGACCAGGCCAGACCAGACCCAGAGAAGTTGGATTCTATTGGACGAAATGTCCTCCACGTCCATATTTCAGAGATTGTGAAACAGAAACAATCGTCATTAGTGGTTTTGCCAAGAAGAATGGGCAGCTTAACCATCAGAGAGAGACCAGAAAGACCAGGGAGAGACCAGGGAGACCAGGGAGAGACCAGAGAGACCAGGGAGAGACCAGAAGTATTGCAAAGACAACAGAGAGATCAGTTTAGTGCTATCTGTGATCCTGGTGTTTATGTTGTGATTTTGTCTTTGTAAATCCATGATGAGGCATATAGGAATTGACCAATCAGGAGCCTTCTTTTGCTGGATATGGCTTTAGTAGCAGAGTTCACACACAATTTTCAAAAATTAGAGCAAAGAGTGAGAAAAGGGATAAAGTTTATAATTTCACAAAATGCAGTAATTTCAGGAGTAAACTTCACAGCACATTGTTAATCATACGTCTTTAAACTCTTTACACTTAGAACTGTGCCAAACGTTTGGCGAGGGGGACTTGTCCCCGTTACACGGCGGCCCTTGTGTTACAGACGCATCATTTCAACATACTCTTAAAAAAACATAACACAACAATTCTAGACAGGGACACTCAGACGTGTAGTCGCTCTGATGTCCGGTCTGGTCTGGTCTGGTCTGGTATTGTGCATTTTCCCTGTAACAGAAAGAGGCCTCTCGAAGACGTGTAAACTCTTACTTGATCTAGTAACCATAAGCAGTCCTTTGGTCTAAGTGGCATCTCTTATGGAAAGTTCAAACCACTTTGGACCCACTCGTCTTCTGTATTATTCATTTAAAAGTATTTCTATTGTTTTTGTGGCCTGCAAGCCTTCCGTCCCAAAAGGCGGCGTCACAATAACCTTGTGCTCGTGTCACATTTGGGTCTCACAGTGGTTCCCCCGCCTCTCCTCACTCTCTGCCGCCGCCTCCGCCCCGTCCACAGCTCTCCTCTCCTGGGCACAGTTGGTCTTGGAGAGTGGGGTGCTGCTGCCTGAAGCGGTGGGTCGGTCCAGGTGGTTCCTCCCCGGGCTGAGGGCGGCTGTGTCCCCCTCGTGAAGCGCATGCAGCGAGGACAGCGACGCTGTCTGTGCCGTGCTCTCGGAGAGGCGAGAGTCCGCAGAGGTGATGGGCGTGAGCACGGCAGTCAGCAAGTCCTCCTGGGTGGAGATGTAGTCCACTTTGGAGCGCGCAGGGCCGGACCTCAGCGCGCTGCAAACGCTCTCCAGTGTGGGCTCCACGCCGACCCGAGAGCCAATCTCGTACACGCCCTCTTTGATGGTGCCCATGCCTGCTTGCGGCCCCTCTGTCTGAGGCTCCAGGGCGCTGATCTGGGTCAGGTCCAGAGGAGTGGGCATACGGAACCTGCCAACAGCAAATACTCAATACAGTCATTTATATTCAGAGAGACTAAAAAAGAGACCAGAGAAAGACCCGAGAGAGAGACCACAGAGAGACCCGAGAGAGAGAGACCACAGAGAGACCAGAGGGACCAGAGAAAGAGACCAGAGAGAGACCAGAGAGAACACAGTCTCCTGTTGTTTCCTGGGTTTGGTCTCCTTTAATCTTTTAGTGGGATGTCTCCTGATCCCTAGATCCGTCTGTAAAAGTCCTCACCTGCTGTTGGAGCTTCTCCTCTCTGAGCTGGACCCTCGTCTGTTGGCAATGCTCATATCGGCGGACGACAACGCCCTCATCTCCAACTCGGACTCCTGGCCTTTTTCCGGACTGCTTTTAGTCGACCACTTCCCCCTCTCCGGGGACCCCTTCTGGGCCACCTCCTTGTACTGAGGCTGTGCACGCCCGGGACTGGACTCACAGTTTGAATAGTGCTTGTGGTAGCTCCAGCGGCTCGGCGAGAGGTTGTTCTCCACTGTGAGCAGCTCGTTCTCCTCTTTCTTTTCCACCAGAATGTCTGTGAGCTCCATGCTTCGTACAAAGGCATCTTTGACATTTATGGAAACGATGCTCCCGCTTCGTTTGGCCCGTTCCAAAGCTTCTCGCCGCTTAATCGCCTTCTCCTGCCGCTTTTGCTCGCGGTAAAACTCTGAGAAGTTGTTGACGATGATGGGAATGGGCAACGCAATCACCAAGACGCCCGCGATGCAACACAGACCACCAACGATTCTCCCGAGTAACGTGTTCGGGTAGATGTCCCCGTATCCCACGGTTGTCATGGTAATGGTGGCCCACCAGAAGGAGGCAGGAATGCTTGTGAATTTGGTTGAGTCTTCGTCTTTCTCCGCAAAGAAGACCAGGCTGGAGAAGATCATGATGCCCATGGCCAAGAAGAGGATGAGGAGTCCCAGCTCGTTGTAGCTCCGCCTCAGCGTGAAGCCCAGCGACTGCAGCCCTGTGGAGTGGCGCGCCAGCTTCAGGATCCGCAAGATCCTCATGATCCGGAAGATCTGCACCACACGCCGCACGTTCTGGAACTGCAGCACGCTCTTGTTGGACTCGGTCAAGCACAGGGTGATGTAGTACGGCAGGATGGCCAGCAGGTCGATGATGTTAAGGGGAGCTTTGATGAAGTCCCACTTGTTTGGCGCAGAGACCAGGCGCAGCAGGTACTCCATGGTGAACCAGGCGATGCACACGGCCTCCACATGTGCAAGGCTCGGGTTGTCGTTGAACTGGCCGAACTCGTCCACCACCTGTAGCTCGGGCAGAGTGTTCAGGGACAAGGAGATGGTGGAAATGATAATGAAGAGGATGGAGATCATGGCCAGGATCTGTCACAGAGATCACAGAGAGAGAAAGTAAGGAGACAATTTTAGACCATTGTAGTGCCCCCTGAACTGTTTTTTAATCATTGCTATATACGTGCAGAATTGAACCAGAATTCTAAAATGTGAACCCAACACAGACACAGACACACACACACACACATACAGAAAGATAGAAACAGACACACACACAGATATACAGAAAGATAGACACAGACACACACCCACACATACAAAGTTTTGATTTTTCTCTTTAGAAAAATATATTTATTGGGAAACCGAAAAGCCCAGAGAAGACCTATGCTGACATGGGGTGAACATACAAACTCCACACAGAAGGGGCAAGGCGTGGGAGACGTAAGCCGCTTTAAGCACAGCAGGTGCAGAAGCGTGAGTGATTATCAGTGTGAGATTACAGCATCCTCACAGTGACCTTTCCTGTCCAACTCGTGTGATGTCAGTGGTCAAGACAGGTCACATATCAAGGGGGTGTGGGGTCAACTGGGCCTGGAACAGGTCTGGACTGGGACCTGACCGGGTTTGAACTGGGTCTGGAATCGTCTACTCTCACATGCTTGATCCTCTCCTATTGCACTTCCTGCCATTGCCTCCATCTGTTACACACCATTGCTGCAATCAGTCTGCATTTCAACAAGCAGCTCGTTCTGCAACCCTCCTCCTCCCTATCATCTAACCCTAACCTTCCCTCTACTATGCCTAGTGTAAAATCAACATACCATACATTGAGTTGAATTTAATTCTACATTTAAATTCTTCTCAATGTATTCGAATATCGCCCTAAATCACAACAGCATTTGTCTCAGAGTACTTTACAAAGTTGTGGATTCACCAACAACAGATCAGAGAATCAAACAGTTTAACACAGGAAATGTAATAATCACACATAGGAACCATTGGTCCTTAGGGAGCAGGATGACTACTATCCAGAAAGGGCACTAAATGTCCTTAAATGTCCCATATCATCACTAAGGAACCCCTCAAAAACCCACTGGTCCTGGTTTAGCCCTGCTTCCACCCTGGTTCAGTACTGTTTCAGTCCTGGTTCAGCCCTGGTTCAGTTCTGGTCCACTCTCTTTGGTGCATTAATCTCTTGATCAGATTGAAGCCTGTGCCAAAGTCTTAGTCTGAGTTCATCACAGCTCCACTTCAGTCCTGATTCAGCTCTGGTTCAGTCCTAGTTCAGTCCTGGTTCAGACCTGTAGCTCATTCAGCAGCAAACACTTGCATCCACTACAGAACATTTGTGATAATTCGTGTCTTACTCAAGGAACCCTACATCCGTGTTGGTCAATAGTGACTTAAAGTTGGGGTACACAACTTTAAGTCATGGTGTCTTCATCTCAATATGAATCATCACTATTTTAAAAGGTCAAAAGCCATCTCTAAAGAAGGTCTAAAGCTGAACCAAAGCAGGATCAAAGCAGGTCTAAAGTCGGGCTAAAGGAGGTCTAAAGATGTCATTGTTTGTGTAAGAAAGCGTGTGGGTCACAATCTGACTCTTTGGGCTGAGATCTGACGGGCTGAGTGAGGGTGGTCCTCTCTTTTTCACTTTACTGTCTGAAAAAATATTAGAGTCCAAAAATACATGATATGAAAACTAGTGATAGAAGCAAATTGTTCCTGCAAATCGTTCTTGAGACTAATTAACTACAGATATGAGTTCACACACACACACACACACACACACACACACACACACACACACACACACGACTAAATGACGAGACTTTGATGTAGAGAGTGAAATCCTCCTCCCTCCCTATGCAGCTGAGGGGGCGTGTCTTCCCCCTCCCCCTCCTTCCCCTCGTGGAGGGGGCGGGGCTGTGCCCTCTCTCTGAACAGGACACCGTTAAGAAGCCTCTAAGTGGATTGTGCTAAAGTTAGATGCGGATAGAAGTTAGTCACTGCAGAGTGTGGAAGGGAAATCTGTAAACTAATTCTGCATACGTTAGCATCAGCTCCAGGTTAGCATCATGGACTGTATATATTAACGGACAGAGTCACGCCTATCTCCGCCGTTCAAACAAATGGGCCAAACATTGTGCTCTACTGGAGCTATCCAAAATGGCGGCAAGTGGTCCCGCCCACAAGAAAATTGTGAAAAAACGCATCTGTGCATGCGTCAGCCGATGCGAGCCCCATTCAATTAACGAGTGCTTTAAAAAATTCACAGCGACTGAATCAGAGTGGTCCAAAAAAATTCACTCCCCTCAGCATTGACACACATGTGGAATGGAGCTTTGGGCCAAGAGCCGTCTTTAGGACCATCCTGTAAAGGTGTTTTCGAGAGGTAAGAAGATGCTATATGTTAGCATTGGCTAATTTTCATTCCGGGTCCACCCCCATCGGCCCGGGGTGGTATTGTAAGCATGTCAGCACACGTCATTTTGGCCACTTTTGAGCCGGGACCCGCCCCCACTGGTTAGCATCAGCTCGATGTTTGCATCAGCTCCAGGTTAGCTCAAGCCCCAGCGATCCAAGATGGCGCCCTTTTCAAATGAATGGTTGTGCTCAGTGGCGCTTTGTGACGGCATGGGGACTGAAAGATTAGCGGAAGTCGCCTGGAACTCGCAAAGATCTATGGGAAACTCGCCTGTATTTGGGCATCGTCTGGTCCTCCCGGTTCTGCGCAGTGGATGATCTCCCATAATGCGTTGCGCCAAACACGCGTGTGTGGGTCTCACACCGGGTCTCACGCACGTGCACAGAGGGGCTCGGCCGCGCTCTGACCAATCAGAGCAGTTCATCAGAGCGGGAGTTAGAGCGAGAGCCAGAGAAGCAGAGTTTGTGGCACTAAAGTGTGGATTTAAACAAAACCAAAGGATTTAAGAAGAAAAAAAGTTCAGGATGACAAGGGACACTAAAATCCCCACAAAATCCGACCTTTATGAAAGCTGTAGGTTCTCTGTCAGCTGAGGTTGAGCTGTTTTAATATGCATTGAGTTCTATGGGGAAAATTTCTGGGTAGCCCACGTGAATTTAGTCTGGTTCAGTCTGCAGTACCGCGAGAATCCCCCGAGCACATGAGTTATTCAGCTACAAGCTGGTAATACCCTATCCAGTTAATATAATACATCCATGGGTTAGCTTCAGCTCCAGTTTAGCTTCAGCTCCAGGTTAGCTTCAGCTCCAGTTTAGCATCAGCTCCATGTTAGCTTCAGCGCCAGGTTAGCTTCAGCGCCAGGTTAGCTTCAGCGCCAGGTTAGCTTCAGCGCCAGGTTAGCTTCAGCGCCAGGTTAGCTTCAGCGCCAGGTTAGCTTCTGTCTGCATCTGTGATCAGTGATGTCCCTGTTGGAGCTGTGAGTTTGGGCAGACAGCCGAGTCTTTGTAGATTTGCAGTGGGCCAGGCTCTTTCCATGTCTGAATGGATTGATCAATTATCTGAGATATTCAAAGTTTCGAAAAGGTTTGCAAAACTGAACCCTGATTTCTAACCTCTCTGGTGTGCTCTTTAGCTCTAATGATGCTGTTTCGTGACCACCAGCTTTGAGCCCTTACAGCCGTCATTAAAATGAGAGCAGATTACACACAGAGAGAGACACGAGAGAGACAAGACCAAAACTATATAGACCAGAGAGAGACTTGAGAGAGACCAGAGAGAGACCAGAGAGAGACTTGAGAGAGACCAGAGAGAGACTTGAGAGAGACCAGAGAGAGACCAGTGAGGGACCAGAGAGAGACCAGAGAGAGACCAGTGAGGGACCAGAGAGAGACCAGAGAGAGACCAGAGAGAGACCATAGAGAGACCAGAGAGAGACCAGAGAGGGACCAGAGAGAGACCAGAGAGAGACCAGAGAGAGACCAGAGAGAGACCAGAGAGAGACCAGAGAGAGACCAGAGAGAGACCAGAGAGAGACCAGAGAGAGACCAGAGAGAGAGGGACCAGAGAGAGACCAGAGAGAGACCAGAGAGAAAGACCAGAGAGACCAGTGAGGGACCAGAGAGAGGGTCCAGAGAGAGACCAGAGAGACCAGTGAGCACCCAGAGAGAGATAAACCAGAAAGAGACCAGTGAGGGACCAGCGAGACCAGGGAGCCCAGAGAGAGACTAGAGAGACACAAGAGATCAGAGAATGAGAGACTAGAGAGAGACCAGAGAGAGACCAGAGAGAGACCAGAGAGAGACCAGACAGAAATGTTAAAATTAAGCCAAGTTTAATTTTGCGTTTACTTCAGTCTTTAAACACAGTGAAGCAGTGAATTGAGTTGGACCTAGAGGATTGTAAGCCTCTGTAAGACACAACAACATGACCTCTGACCTCTGAGGACCTTTGTAAAAGTAGTATTTTTTCAGATTTGACTCTTTATATGTAGTGTGTAATCCGTAAATGTGGCCTGCTCTCCTCACCAGGGATTATCTAAAACAAAAGTGTCCAGATGGGACCAGGTCTATGCCCAAGTCTGGGACTGAGTCTGGGGCTGAGTCTGGGGCCGAGTCTGCGGCTGAGTCTGGGGCCAAGTCTGGGGCTGAGTCAGGGGCTGAGTCTGGGGCCGAGTCTGCGGCTGAGTCTGGGGCCGAGTCTGGGGCTGAGTCTGGGGCTGAGTCTGGGGCCGAGTCTGCGGCTGAATCTGGAGCCAAGTCTGGGGCTGAGTCTGGGGCTGAGTCTGGGGCCGAGTCTGGGGCCAAGTCTGGGACTGAGTCTGGGGCTGAGTCTGGGGCCGAGTCTGCGGCTGAGTCTGGGGCCAAGTCTGGGACTGAGTCTGGGGCTGAGTCTGGGGCCGAGTCTGCGGCTGAATCTGGAGCCAAGTCTGGGGCTGAGTCTGGGGCCGAGCCTGGGGCCAAGTCTGGTGCAGAGTCTGGTGCTGAGTCTGGGGCCGAGTCTGGGGCCGAGTCTGGTGCCGAGTCTGGGGCAAAGTCTGGGGCCAAGTCTGGGGCTGAGTCTGGTGCCGAGTCTGGGGCAAAGTCTGGGGCAAAGTCTGGGGCTGAGTCTGGTGCTGAGTCCCGGGCCGAGACTGGGGCTAAGTCTGGGGCAGAGACTGGGGAAAGTCTGGGGCTGAGTCTGGTGCCGAGTCTGGTGCTGAGTCTGGGGTCGAGACTGGGGCCGAGACTGGGGCCAAGTATGGGGAAAGTCTGGGGATGAGTCTGGGTCCATGTTGTAGAATAGCCAATACAACACTATGGGAGAGAAAGACCAGAGTGAGACCAGAGAGTGAGACCAGAGTGAGACCAGAGTGAGAAACCAGACAGAGACAAACGAAAAGAGAGAGAGAGAGAGAGACAAAAGAGAGAGACCAGAGAGAGACAAGGGGGAAACCTGGAAAAGTCAATAAGAAACGACATGAATGGAATGAGTAGCACTTCTACCATGTGGTAGAAGTGAAAAATGATCGGATTTTCTTCTGAATCTCTCATCGTGCGACTGCCACAGTGAAGCAGTGCTGGAAATCACCTCTCTGTTTTAATTAGGGCTCGGACAAGGAACATAAAATAATAAGAATAATAATGATAAAAAAAATCATAACAATAAAATAAAATGATAATAATTGTAAATAGAAATAAAATATATAATACAAATACATTCTAAAAGTTGAATAAAAAAAACCTACATAATTAAATGAATTAAACACATTTAAATTTCTGAAGCTTTGTGTTGTTGCCAACTAAAGGATTCATGCGATTCATGGACAGTACCAGCTTTTAAAACAGGTCTGTACAACTTGTACAGGGGGCCAAACCCGGTCCTCAAAGCAGCTGCTCTGGTCCTAACACAACACACGAACAACAGGTGTTTTCTCACGTTTTGAATTGTACCAGTTTAAATCTTTTTGTCATACCCCATTATATTTTCACAATCTTGTTTGTTTGTATCATCTCGTAGCAGTCTCTCTGTCTGGTCTCTCTTTCCCTGGTTTCTCTCTCTGGTCTCTCTCTCTCTGGTCTCTCGCTAGTCTCTCTCTGTGGTTTCTGTCTAGTCTCTCTCTCTGGATGAGTGTGGGGAAATGTAACAACAAAGGGTGTATAAACTACGTATGAAGCAGTGGACACAGATGACCCTCTCTCACAAACCACCTAAACAGTAACACACAGACCTTGGCGGCCACAGACGACCCGGGCTTCTCGAGCAGGTCCCACAGCTTCTGCCTCTGCTCCGGACAGCAGCCTTTCTCCTCCTCGGGCATTTCCTGGTCCCTCAACGTCTCGGCCTCTCGCCTCAGCTCCTCATTCATCTGCTCTTTCTTCTGGTGGTACCTGGCCTGACAGCAGGACTCCAGGTAGATCTCATCCACACCCCAGTAGTCCAGCTCCTGGCCGAAGGAGAGTGCACACATCTCCTCCATCATGTGCAGTTTGCCTGTTCGGTAAAAGTTTAGGATGGAAGAGAAGGCCATGGGGTGACGGTCGAAGAAATACTCGTTCTCTGGCAGGTTGTAGTCATCGCAGACCTGTGGGAGACCAGAGTCAGCTGTCACACACCTTACATGATGCATTGTCTGCACTGAGCATGATTCAAACCTGGGATACGTCATTTTGAAGTTGGGGTATGTAACATTAAAGCTGGGGTGCGTGAATTTAAAGCTGTGGTGAGTAACTCTCAGAGCACACCAATAAAACACTGTAATAAACCCATGTCTTTCGTTCCTGGCTCTAAAACGGTTCTATGTACGTTTTAGTTGAAAGCAACACAACCTAAAACAACCACAACAACGATTGTTAATTTAATCCAACATTAATGGGTCTGACCTCAGAACCATCGTCAACAGACGTCATGTGTGCTGGGTTACCTTCAACAGGGACTCCTGGTCCCTGGTCTCTGGTCTCAGGTCTCTGATCTCAGTCCCTGGTCCTTAGTTTCTGGTCTTACCTCCAGCAGGGACTCGTGGTTGTTGCAGTCCCGCAGTTGTCCCAAGCGGGTCCGGGGAAGGCGGTCCAGGGTCCTCCACAGAACCTCATGCGTCAAGCCGCCCACGTTCAGGTGCACGCGCCGCGACCGCGCCTTGGTGCGGATGATGTCGATGGGGTCCGGAGGGAGGAGGGGGGCGGCGGAGGAGCGAGGGGGAGGGCGGGGGAGGCTGCCGCACTCCGTCATGGCGGTGGAGGGTCAACACAATCACACGCCTCTCAAGACCCGGGACGTTCTGCTTAAAGTCATGTCTAAAGGAAAACACAACATGTGACATCAGAACACATGGAGAACATGCAAACACAGACACAGAGAGAACACACAGTAGATTCATACTTTGGTAAAAATCTTTAATCATCTTGGTCACTCAAAGGCCACTACTCTGGGGCAGGGGTCCCAGAAGCCTGGTCCCAGTCTCCAGTCCCCGGTCCCTGGACTCTGGTCTCCAGTTCCTGGTCCCTACTCCCTGGTCTCCTCTCCCCAGGCCCCAGTCTCCAGTCCCGCTGTGGTTGTGTAACTTCACAAATCCGCCCTCCTGGTCAGTCGGTGGTAAAGTCGGGCTTAGGGTTAAATATAGAGCGTCTATCTGCGGGACAGCTCCAGGACAGAGGCCTCACGTTATGCAGCCGTGCGTCACAGGTGGATATGGACGGGAACTTCCACTGGTGCAGCAATTTCACAGACTTACACGTTTTTACATTAAATATGAGATTTTTATGTGACACAGCAGCTGCAGGTTTCCAGAGGTATATTCACATTCTAAAACTACACTTTTGGTCAAATGAGTCTTTATGAATTTGGACACAGCCCCTCACTCTGACAGGTTCAGTTGGAGCCAAAATGTCACTTTCCACTAGTTTCAAAAGCTCTTGTGGATGTACAGCTCCACCATCTGTCCCAGGCCCAGATAAAAATAGATGCACTCATTATTTTGACACTGCTGAGGTAAAACACTTAAAACATCACAAAGGATCCAGTTTGAAGCAGGAGCCACAACAGTTTCAAAGGGTGGTCCCAGGTCTCAGTCCCAGTCCCAGTCCCAGTCCCAGTCCCAGTCCCAGGGCAGTATGTTGGATCTTCTAATGCAGCCCTGTTGAAATAAAGTTGTCTAAAGTGTAAAGACAACGCTGTTAGTTCCACATTGTTTGCGTAATTTCTGTGTTCAAAGTGAGTGAGTTTGCAGACTGACCGCTGACCGTCATTAGAATCAAGGCCAATTAAAGCATCAGAACTACTGACAGTACTGCCTGTCTCTTTCAGCGTCTCGTGGCTTCTACTCAATGTTCTACTCAAACTGAAATGATTTATGATTGTACCTAATCTATCTATGTATCTAATTTTGAGTTGCTCTGTGCATAAACTGTGCTATACAAATAAACTTAATCTCAACGTTAGTGGAAAGAACAGATCAATGTGCCCATTATAATCTCAGCCAAAGGATTACAGGACTCCACGCTCTGTTTGAAAGATAAGACACAGGTAAAGTTTTGGATCGGTCTGAGTAAAGTCAGCTGTGATTTCACTTCTGTCAGGAAAAAGATGAATCTCTGGAACTTTTTTAACGCTCACTCCGTTCTATTTAAGCATGTTTAAAGACAATTAAAAGCAAAAATGTACGCATAATTCGTCTAATGAGTCAAATAATAGAATAGTTTTGACATCCACAATAAATTAACCGAGATTAAAGGTAAAAGTCAAATCGATCACAATCAATCACTGAGGCTTCAATCGGACACCCGGGTTTGGGCCACGGTGCCCGGGCTCAACCCTGCCACCCTAAGGCCACTTACCTGCGGGCAGAGAAGTGCTGTGTCTCCTGGGGACTGCGCCACCATCGCCGGCTCTACTGCGCGTAAAGGGCCCGCGCGTAAAAGTGCCAAGGACTGTGCCAAACTGTGCAAAGATCGCACTCACATGACCCTCGAGGTTTGGAAAAGAGTAGACAGAGGCTGGATGGGCTGAAGAGGGTGTGGAGGGGAGGGGGGAGCCGGGGTAATCGGATTGGGACGTATGCGCAGCACCAAGGACAGCGCCATTACGCACGAGGCGCAGAAGGAAGTGTGGGCGTCAGAATAGTTTGTTTGAGAGCCAACTGTACATCCGACTTGGCACAACAAGAGCTAACATTATATCTGACCTGGAATGATTTCACTGAGAAATAAAATTCATTTAGTGGCGAAACTTTCAAAAGGTCCGTCCATGACGTCCTGGCTGAGGATGCATAGTATCGTCTAAAACAGAACATTTGGTCGTACGCATCCCCACGCACTTTTGGGGATGCGTGCGTGGCAAAAGTTCATGATATCAGTGCCTACCACAACTGCAAGTCTGAAACTGATGAAGAGTAGTGACAGTGAGTATGTTTATAAACTGAACACTACTCTGCGTTATTTCCAAACCGTCTGAGAGAGAAAGGCCAGAGAGAGATGAGAGAAATTAGGGTGAAAGAGACAAGGAGTTGGCACAGAACCCAAAACAAACCATTAAAAAAGTGGAAAGGGACTGCGCTTCAGACATGACCAACATGAGGGTGTGGCCAATATGATCCAGACAAATGCGATGGGACAAAAAAATTGTTTTGTCAGCTACCAACTGTGCAAATCCTAATATATTGAAATATGAGAAGTCTGTAATGTTCGAAGGTTTCAAATAAGGCCGCACATCCCTGTAGTCTGAACTAGCGTGCTGGATTCAAAAAGTAAAAAATGTAAAAACAGTGAAAAATCCGGACAGCTATGTTGCTCCCGATCAGTGTATTTTATTTACAGAGCACGTTTCGGGCTGAGGTCCTTCATCAGACATGGGTTAGGTGGGTTGCACATCTTTACAAGGTTTTCACGCTGTTGCTGGTATTTTGGCTCATTTCTCCATCTCACCATACATGAAGCCATTTGTTCTTTCCTTTTACACAAATCAGTCATCCTGGGCCTTTTGTAGAAACAAAAAAACTTCGGACGGAGGTACACGGCCGGACACAGCAGCCAAAGAACACCAAACCCACAGTGGAGCAGGTAGAGTTGGATCTGTGCTAACATGGACTTTTTTTCACCTCTTATAACCGCACAGGTTATAAGATGTGCAGGACAACTCTGGGCTCTGGCTGGTAAATGTGGTGATTGTGAAGCAGATGTGGCGAGTGAGAAGAGAAAACATTTGATTGACACCGTCCAAAAACATTTTAATGTTTTTCCACAATTTGACAGATTCCTTCTACATCCATAATATACTTTATACACTTGTGCATCATAATGAAACGTGTACATTAAGACTTTACTGACGATAAAACATGCACCTTTAAATAACAGACACAAATCACCTCTTTTTACAATATTGTACCTCTTTTGTCAATAAAATAACTAACTAGCTAACGAGGAAGAGCGGTAAACATGGGCAGCGGAAAATGCCTTAAAACAGGACCAGTGTGGCCCCCGCTCATGGTTTTGACGGATTAAAAACAGATGAAAATCTAAAGACAAATAAAACAACTGCCCTGAACTTAAAACCGGCTCAGAACTGATGCATAGACCTCGAAGTGAAGGAACGTCCAACGGAAGTGTGTTCATGTGTGTGTGTGTCTCTGTATGTGTTTGTGTGTTCATTTGTGCTGCAGTCTGAGGAGTTGCTCTCTCCCATTGATGGTCATTGACCTCAGCTGACCGTCCTCCTCCACCTCCACACGCTCCTGACCGTTCTCCACAATTCTGAAAGAAGAACAGAGAGTTAATTAGAGAGAGAGAGAGGACCGGGGCCCTCAGCGCCCTGAGAGGACCGGGGCCCTCAGCGCCCTGAGAGGACCAGGCCCTCAGCGCCCTGAGCTCAGCTACCGAGACTGTCCCAGCTTATTTATTCATTTGAATGGGACAGTGCACATTAAATCAACATGTGTCCATGTAAAATTGCCAGATTTAGCCATAAAGGCCAGTTTTCATCTGTAGTTGAAGATCCTGGTTTGTTGAAGCCAACAGAAAACATCGTCTGCCAACAGCAGGGGTGAAATCCTGTGGGTCCCAAACCCCTGGCCCCTGTGGGTAGTCAAAGGCGCCCCAATGCAAACACAGATCTGTGACACTGACTGCCTTAGCCCCAGGAGCACGTGCTCTCTGTGAGGCCCCTCACTGTGTGTAACGAACACACCCTCATCCAGGACTCAACACACAGCAGGTACAGACTCGACAAGAATGACATCCTGACATATATAGTTATATTCTCCAGCTCCGCTCTAATCAGCTCTACTGTCAGTTAGAAAACTGTAGTACCAGCTCGGCCTGGATGGAATCAGGACCAAGAGGGACTAATGGTGCTTTCAGAACGCCAACGCACATTCTCTAGTTTTCAGACGCAGGAGTCTTCAGACCAGAAGTCCTGGCGCGCGCCGGAAGTTCCTGAAGTAGCCGGCGGGCTCTGATGCTAACAGAGTTTAGCTAGTGGCTTCTTGTGTAAAGATCTTCTCCAATAATGCAGCTTTGAAACGTGTCTCTGTTCAGAGACCTTCCACAGACTTTATATAACAGTAGTATGTGTTCACGGAGGTGCGCAATAAGTTTATTCTATTATCAAACTGTACTTCTGCATCGGCGAACACACTCGAAGCAGTTGCATAAAGTCACGGGAGCATGACAACTCACATGTTAACAAGCACTATGTCCCCCATTGTCAACCCTGGTTTAGTCCTGGTGTAGCTCCTGTTTTGGCTATTATTAGCTAGTATTTTCAGTCTGCTCGCTCAGACCGCTAATGTCCCCGTGACCACTTTGCGGCTCTCTGATTGGTTCCTGCACGAGCGTCCCGAGGAATGGTTCAGCAAAATTAATCTCCTGTGTGCGTCGATTTTCCGCTCCTGCTCCTCCACTTCGACGCAGTCTGTGCGTGCATTCCGAGACGCTTGAAAGCGCGTCACCATTGACTTTGCATTGAAAGCCGACGCAACCAGGGCCGGCCCTAGGTCATCAGGCGCCCCAGGCGAAAATATATTATGGTGCCCCTTGCACACTTGTAGAGGGCATCACAGTGAACAAGTGTGCTGTAAATGTAGCTTGGCGGCTCATTCCCGCGGCTTCTCTTTCCTCTTTTATGTAAGAAACAGCCTAAAGGAGGCGACAGCCTAAAGGAGGCGACCGCCTGAGTCGCCTATGCCCTGGACGCAATGCATGATCTGGTCTGAACGCGGCATAACAGCGGACCTGGTTCTGGCTAAACAGGGCTGGTGGAATCAGGCTATAGTTGGACCCGTGTCCTAACAAACCTCTTAGTGGTGATCTTCCTCCCGTTCACAATCTTGGTAGATGAAGAGACGGAGCGGAAGTTTCCCATCCCGGCGGCGCTGCCTCCGAACGAAGTAGAGGAGAAGGAGGTGAAGCCAGCGCCTCCCAGACCCCCCATCCCCCCCATGCCCCCTCCCATCCCCAACCCTCCACCCAGGCCGTTCAGGCTCTGCAGGTGTCCCATATGTCCCATGTGACCCATGTGACCCATATGTCCCATCGAACCGAATGCTCCGAAACCTGAGGACGAAAGCACAGGGTTAGAGACGCAAACAAGGACCCAGGAGGACCGAGGAGAGAGAGCAGAGACCGAGGAGGACTGAGGAGAGCGCGCTGAGACCGAGGAGGACTGAGGAGAGAGCGCTGAGACCGAGGAGGACTGAGGAGAGAGCGCTGAGACCGAGGAGGACTGAGGAGAGAGCGCTGAGACCGAGGAGGACTGAGGAGAGCGCGCTGAGACCGAGGAGGACTGAGGAGAGAGCGCTGAGACCGAGGAGGACTGAGGAGAGAGCGCTGAGACCGAGGAGGACTGAGGAGAGAGCGCTGAGACCGAGGAGGACTGAGGAGAGAGCGCTGAGACCGAGGAGGACTGAGGAGAGAGCGCCGAGACCGAGGAGGACTGAGGAGAGAGCGCCGAGACCGAGGAGGACTGAGGAGAGCGCGCCGAGACCGAGGAGGACTGAGGAGAGAGCGCCGAGACCGAGGAGTACTGAGGAGAGCGCGCCGAGACCGAGGAGGACTGAGGAGAGAGCGCCGAGACCGAGGAGGACTGAGGAGAGAGCGCCGAGACCGAGGAGGACTGAGGAGAGAGCGCCGAGACCGAGGAGGACTGAGGAGAGAGCGCCGAGACCGAGGAGGACTGAGGAGAGAGCGCCGAGACCGAGGAGGACTGAGGAGAGAGCGCCGAGACCGAGGAGGACTGAGGAGAGAGCGCCGAGACCGAGGAGGACTGAGGAGAGAGCGCCGAGACCGAGGAGGACTGAGGAGAGAGCGCCGAGACCGAGGAGGACTGAGGAGAGAGCGCCGAGACCGAGGAGGACTGAGGAGAGAGCGCCGAGACCGAGGAGGACTGAGGAGAGAGCGCCGAGACCGAGGAGGACTGAGGAGAGAGCGCCGAGACCGAGGAGGACTGAGGAGAGAGCGCCGAGACCGAGAGACGAGGACGAGAGGACTGAGGAGAGAGCGCCGAGACCGAGGAGGACTGAGGAGAGAGCGCCGAGACCGAGGAGGACTGAGGAGAGAGCGCCGAGACCGAGGAGGACTGAGGAGAGAGCGCCGAGACCGAGGAGGACTGAGGAGAGAGCGCCGAGACCGAGGAGGACTGAGGAGAGAGCGCCGAGACCGAGGAGGACTGAGGAGAGAGCGCCGAGACCGAGGAGGACTGAGGAGAGAGCGCCGAGACCGAGGAGGACTGAGGAGAGAGCGCCGAGACCGAGGAGGACTGAGGAGAGAGCGCCGAGACCGAGGAGGACTGAGGAGAGAGCGCCGAGACCGAGGAGGACTGAGGAGAGAGCGCCGAGACCGAGGAGGACTGAGGAGAGAGCGCCGAGACCGAGGAGGACTGAGGAGAGAGCGCCGAGACCGAGGAGGACTGAGGAGAGAGCGCCGAGACCGAGGAGGACTGAGGAGAGAGCGCCGAGACCGAGGAGGACTGAGGAGAGAGCGCCGAGACCGAGGAGGACTGAGGAGAGAGCGCCGAGACCGAGGAGGACTGAGGAGAGAGCGCCGAGACCGAGGAGGACTGAGGAGAGAGCGCCGAGACCGAGGAGGACTGAGGAGAGAGCGCTGAGACCGAGGAGGACTGAGGAGAGAGCGCTGAGACCGAGGAGGACTGAGGAGAGAGCGCTGAGACCGAGGAGGACTGAGGAGAGAGCGCTGAGACCGAGGAGGACTGAGGAGAGAGCGCTGAGACCGAGGAGGACTGAGGAGAGAGCGCTGAGACCGAGGAGGACTGAGGAGAGAGCGCTGAGACCGAGGAGGACTGAGGAGAGAGCGCTGAGACCGAGGAGGACTGAGGAGAGCGCGCTGAGACCGAGGAGGACTGAGGAGAGAGCGCTGAGACCGAGGAGGACTGAGGAGAGCGCGGTGAGACCGAGGAGAACTGAGGAGAGAGCGCTGAGACCGAGGAGGACTGAGGAGAGAGCGCTGAGACCGAAGAGGACTGAGGAGAGAGCGCTGAGACCGAAGAGGACTGAGGAGAGAGCGCTGAGACCGAGGAGGACTGAGGAGAGAGCGCTGAGACCGAGGAGGACTGAGGAGAGAGCGTTGAGACCGAGGAGGACTGAGGAGAGAGCGCTGAGACCGAGGAGGACTGAGGAGAGAGCGTTGAGGCCGAGGAGGACTGAGGAGAGAGCGCCGAGACTGAGGAGGACTGAGGAGAGAGCGCCGAGACTGAGGAGGACTGAGGAGAGAGCGCCGAGACCGAGGAGGACTGAGGACTGAGGAGAGAGCGCCGAGACCGAGGAGGACTGAGGAGAGAGCGCCGAGACCGAGGAGGACTGAGGAGAGAGCGCCGAGACCGAGGAGGACTGAGGAGAGAGCGCCGAGACCGAGGAGGACTGAGGAGAGAGCGCCGAGACCGAGGAGGACTGAGGAGAGAGCGCTGAGACCGAGGAGGACTGAGGAGAGAGCGCTGAGACCGAGGAGGACTGAGGAGAGAGCGCTGAGACCGAGGAGGACTGAGGAGAGAGCGCTGAGACCGAGGAGGACTGAGGAGAGAGCGCTGAGACCGAGGAGGACTGAGGAGAGAGCGCTGAGACCGAGGAGGACTGAGGAGAGAGCGCTGAGACCGAGGAGGACTGAGGAGAGAGCGCTGAGACCGAGGAGGACTGAGGAGAGAGCGCTGAGACCGAGGAGGACTGAGGAGAGAGCGCCGAGACCGAGGAGGACTGAGGAGAGAGCGCCGAGACGAGAGAGAGCGCCGAGACCGAGGAGGACTGAGGAGAGAGCGCCGAGACCGAGGAGGACTGAGGAGAGAGCGCCGAGACCGAGGAGGACTGAGGAGAGAGCGCCGAGACCGAGGAGGACTGAGGAGAGAGCGCCGAGACCGAGGAGGACTGAGGAGAGAGCGCCGAGACCGAGGAGGACTGAGGAGAGAGCGCCGAGACCGAGGAGGACTGAGGAGAGAGCGCCGAGACCGAGGAGGACTGAGGAGAGAGCGCCGAGACCGAGGAGGACTGAGGAGAGAGCGCCGAGACCGAGGAGGACTGAGGAGAGAGCGCCGAGACCGAGGAGGACTGAGGAGAGAGCGCCGAGACCGAGGAGGACTGAGGAGAGAGCGCCGAGACCGAGGAGGACTGAGGCGAGAGCGCCGAGACCGAGGAGGACTGAGGAGAGAGCGCCGAGACCGAGGAGGACTGAGGAGAGAGCGCCGAGACCGAGGAGGACTGAGGAGAGAGCGCCGAGACCGAGGAGGACTGAGGAGAGAGCGCCGAGACCGAGGAGGACTGAGGAGAGAGCGCCGAGACCGAGGAGGACTGAGGAGAGAGCGTCGAGACCGAGGAGGACTGAGGAGAGAGCGTTGAGACCGAGGAGGACTGAGGAGAGAGCGTTGAGACCGAGGAGGACTGAGGAGAGAGCGTTGAGACCGAGGAGGACTGAGGAGAGAGCGTTGAGACCGAGGAGGACTGAGGAGAGAGCGTTGAGACCGAGGAGGACTGAGGAGAGAGCGCTGAGACCGAGGAGGACTGAGGAGAGAGCGCTGAGACCGAGGAGGACTGAGGAGAGAGCGCTGAGACCGAGGAGGGCTGAGGAGAGCGCGCTGAGACCGAGGAGGACTGAGGAGAGCGCGCTGAGACCGAGGAGGACTGAGGAGAGAGCGCTGAGACCGAGGAGGACTGAGGAGAGAGCGCTGAGACAGAGGAGGACTGAGGAGAGAGCGCTGAGACCGAGGAGGACTGAGGAGAGAGCGCTGAGACCGAGGAGGACTGAGGAGAGAGCGCTGAGACCGAGGAGGACTGAGGAGAGAGCGCTGAGACCGAGGAGGACTGAGGAGAGAGAGAGCAGAGAGCTTACACAACACATTTAGCAAAATACTCCTCTTTAAACCACAGTATGACACAGTTTATCAGAAACTGCAGTTGTATTTAGATCCATCCATGCTGGGATAAAACCCATGTCTTCTTTAACCAACAGGTCTGTGCTTAGAACATGGTGAAAAGAGAAACTGTTGATTTCACAAAATGTGTTTTAGGGACCTTAGGCCTGATCCGTGTGGAGACAAAACAGCATAATTTTCACATGGTATTCTGGAAAGACTGTCTGAACCTGGACATGTGTGGGCTCTGTGCTCCAGGTTGAGGACAGAGAAAGTGTTAGAACCTGTATATGGGCGCTCTGTGTGGATGAGAGCTGAAAATCTCCCGCTGGACAGGGCCTAAGATAATGACATCACCACTCTGGACACGTTTCCACAGAGAGACAAAGTGAGCGTGAGACCTGGGTCGAACGGGGAGAAGCCTCCACCGAAGGGAGGGAAGCCCATGAAGCCCCCGAAGAAGGAGCCTCCAGTCCTGGGCCGAGAGCTGCGGCTGTGGGAGCGAGTGGCGCCGAAGAACGGGTCGTCGAACACGCTCGGGCCTGAGGCGACAGACACGACACTCATATTTAAACATGTTTTGTTTTTTTTGGATTTCATGTCCACATTAGAGCAAGGCGGAAAAGAGAAAGAGCAGAAAGACCAGAACGAAAATATATGAGAGAGAGACCAGAGAGAAGAGACCAGAGAGAGAAGAGACCAGAGAGAGGAGACCAGAGAGAAGAGACCAGAGAGAAGAGACCAGAGAGAAGAGACCAGAGAGAGAGAGACCAGAGAGAGAGAGACCAGAGAGAGAGAGACCAGAGAGAGAGAGACCAGAGAGAAGAGACCAGAGAGAAGAGACCAGAGAGAGAGAGACCAGAGAGAGAGAGACCAGAGAGAGAGAGAGAGACCAGAGAGACACCATAGAGAGAAACCAGAGACCAGAGAGAGAGAGAGAGACAACAGAGATAGAGACCAGAGCGAAGAAACCAAAGAGATGGAGACCAGAGAGAGAGACGGAGAAACAGAACTGACCAAAGAAGTCTGCGAACGGGTCTGCGCCGCCGAAGAACTCCCTGAAGACGTCCTCTGGGTTCCGGAAGCTGAACGGCTCCTGGAAGTGATCTCCGTTATGGAAATGGTCTCCTGCAAAACACAAGCAACAAATGTCAGAAACACACAATGCATCAGAAACACACACACACGCACACACAACTGCAGGGACAGACTCAGCACAGAGCGTTCTGAGAGAGGACCACCACAAACGACGCTAGTATAAAGTGTTTTATGATCTTATACCTCTCACCTGCACTTATGAGGGTTTACATATTTTTGAAGCTTATAAAGATTTGTTATGCATCATTTTATCTTTTTGACTACAGTGTCCCTGGTTTTTTATGTTAAAATATAACGCAGTGTATAAGGTGTGTGTGAGGCTGTCAAACACCTCTCACACGCTTTATCCACTTTTCTAACCAGTGTTGGACAAGTTTCTTTGAAAAAGTAATTAGTAGTAATTAGTTACATTACTTGGTTACTTCTGCAAAAAAGTAACTATGTAAAATTACTTTTGGGTTACTTTGTGTCACATAAAAAGAACATGATCATGTTTGTAAATTTGATTTATAAAAGGTAATCTAAATAAAGGTAAATTGCAAATACGTTGTTATTGCTCAAATGGCAGAGCACAAACATGAAAGTAAATGTAGCCCTGACACTTCCTGCTGTAGAACTTCTCCAGACAGTTGTGACGATGAGTTGGCTCACATATAGTTAAAATGGTGCATATCTTTTCCACCGGTAAAACAAAACAATCTCCTCACGTTCTCAACGTGACATAAGCACCAGCAGCACACGGTCTGTAGTTCTCCTGTTTTCCTCGTTTGCTCGGTGCTTAGCTATTTTTCTGCCCACGCAGTAAACATCTGATCCTTTTGTCACGGCCTCGTACTTAAAGTAACGCCGGTGTCTCCATAAATGAAATGCTCCGTGGTCGTTCTCACTGTCATGCTTTAATGTTTACAGTTCATCACGTGGCAGCGCTCGCATCTCTCATACGACATTCATTAGTCATGAGTCAAAAAGACAAAAAAGTGACACTGCTTATGTTACAAGCAGTGTTAGTGTATTATAATCACATTACTTTTTTTTTTTTACAAATAAGTAATAAATAATCCCTTACTTTACAATGACTCAGATTACAGTAACTTTTATCACGTCTGACTAACACAATTTCTAACCACCTGAACTCATGACTGCTGAAGTGTGATCCCAAAGATATCAAACCTGTCGTTGTAGGAGCTGCTGCAGCTGTCAAAAACAGTACATGTGACCTACACATAAGTATGTACCTGTCAATGTCTTTTACAACTACGACACACGTAGCCGGGCCTTAGCCATCCGTACACTCCACTCAATCATCATTTCACTGCATGTAACGTCTGGGTCTAGTCCCTATGTTAGCGATTACAATCGCTTGAATTTCGACCAACCATTCAGAGAGCGCGGAAGGCGGGTGTTGTAGTAAGTTGTGGGTGATTGTAGGTTGTAGTTTGGTAATGGCGAAAAATGCGATAGTAAAGTAATCCGGTCTGGTTCTATTGAAATTGAAGCCGGAGCAAGGGTAATGTTTAGGAAATATAATCGCTGGAAAAAATTGTGGCGTTACTTCGCACGGGCTCTGTTAGCAGCAAAGGATATGGCTAGGCTAAATGCTAACGACAGACTCGGGCGCATTACATATGTCACAGTAAACTCAGATCCAAACGTTTCAATCTGCAAAAGGAGTTAACCCCTCCCACCTGTTCACGAAGCTCAATGGAGCAAATCCAGACCTTAGTACGAAATGTCATTTGTACTATGGTGTGGTACGACCAGGCTACGACACACGGTGTATGGATGCACGTACCTCTGCCTCTGTTGCCCGTCAGACCTTCTTTCCCGTAGCGGTCGTACAGAGAGCGCTTGTGGGCTGAAAGCACAGGTCACTCACATTAACTGGACACTCTCAGTCATATCTGGTCCCGTCACGTATCATTGTAGGGAGTACTGACCGTCAGACAGAACCTCGTACGCCTCCGACAGCTCCTTGAACTTCTTCTCTGCTTCCACTTTGTTGTCGGGGTTTTTGTCCGGGTGCCATTTCAGCGCCAACTTTCTGTAACTGAATAATGACACTTTGATATTGGGAAAGGAGACATAAAAACAAGCTTTTCAGAGTCGTCATTGACCCTGTGGCTCCTTAGAGTGTAAATAGAGATAGAATGATGAGTTATAAACGGCCAGCTAAGGACTTTGTATGTTGTATATGGTTTGTCTTTACTTTTGAGGTAAACCTGAGGTACTTAACACATGTAGTTTGTCAAAACAGATACAGAAAGTAAAATATAGTGACCAAATCAGACCACAGCATGCTTTCTTTGTGAAATATTTTCTACAAGAAAGAGTCCAATAAAGCACTAATTCTCTTTGGGCTGAGAGCAGTATTCTTTGTCACTTTTCTGAAAAGCTGTTCTAAAGATAAGTACAAATGTAAAAAACTAGTAATGGAAACAAACAGTTCTGGAGCCAGGAACCTTAGACAGTTACATACCCCAGCCTTAACAAACATGGCTTTACTTACGCTTTCTTGATGTCGTCCGCTGAAGCTTCTCTCTGGACTCCTAACACCTGGTAATAGTCCATCATGTTTTTACCACATCAAGGAGCGCTCCGTCTCTGCTGTTGAAACCACAACCACATGTTACACAAGTCGGCCCTCAGTTTGCAGGAGTAACACCAAACGCCCCCTGTTATTTAACAGCGAAGTCCCACTGAGGTTTCAGAATCTCTGAAGTGCTGGTCCCAGAGGGGTCAGGGAGGGGGTAAGGACCAATAACTCCTATGCGTTTGTTATTATTGCATTTCTTATGCTTTGTTTATAATGAACAAATCTAACTTTAAAAAACTACTGGGTAAAGGCAGATACTGTAAGTCTTTAGAATACTTCACGTACTCTTAAAAAAACCATAGACTTTAATTTTAGAGAAAACGCACACTTCTGTAACTCCGCCTCCTCTACGTCACGAGCAGGAAGTATTATTATACAATATTTAGCACATTTCAAATCTATGTGAAGCCAGATGAACGTGTCCAGACTTGGATACGTTTCTCTTTCAGTACTTTCCATTTAAATTAGTCATGTATTGAGTTATATGCGCTTTAATCATATGTAGGTCAGAAAGACAGCGCAGAACTAAAACTCCTCTCGGTAATGACTGTGTTGATCTGAAGAGGCTTTTCACACTGTGGTCCATGAAGTGTTGTATTCAGACAGGACTGTGTGACGAAAACACGTATGTCATGTCAGCAGCTCCTGCCAGCATATGTCTGCGGGTATGTGGAGTATGTGGCTATGCTAGCACGAAAACAAGCAATGCAGACAAAAGAAAAAGGTCGAGAATTCACCCGAATAGCGTCAAAGTGACTGCATAAATGTGTGTTATAAATACTGTTTGAAATTAACACGGCGCCACTGGTTTATCCCTAAAGCATTCCTCCAGAACCTTTGTGTACGTTTGCAGATATGATCGTTAGCATTAGCATTAGCTCCTCCGCCGCGCTCACCGACCTCTCCCGCCGCCTGTGCACTAGGTCTTGGGGGGCCTCTCGGGGCAGGCCGAAGCCCAAACAGCCTGGGTCCCGCTGGGGGGGTCGTGGGGAAAGAACTGGAGCTCAGATTCCTCCGTTCATCCCATCAGCTCGGTGCTCTGTGGCCGTGTTGAGGCTGCGGTGGGCCGGGTAAACTGGTGCTGTGTGGAGTGGAGCTGGACCGTGACACCTGCGGGTGGTTCACGGTACTACAGCAGGTGTTGAACAAGCTGTGGTCCGCGAGCCATACGCGGCCCGCTGACAGATGTTACTCGGCCTTCCAGAGTATTTAGGCTCATTCCCAATGAGCCAAAACCAGTGGGGGCGGGTCCCTGCTCAAAAGTGGCCAAAATGCATGGATCTATAATAATAACTGGATAGGGTATTACTAGCTTAAAGCTGTCCCACCCATGGGCACAGTGCAGTACTACAGGCGCCCCGTGGTACTGCAGACTAAATTTATGAGGGCTACCCAGAAAAAAGTCCCATAGAACTCAATGTAAATTAACACATTAGCACAACCTCAGCTGACAGAGAACCTACAGCTTTCATAAAGATCGGATTTTGTGGGGATTTTAGTGTCCCTTGTAATCCTGAACTTTTTTTTTTCTTAAATCCTTCGTTTTTTTTAAATCCACACTTTACTGCCACAAACTGCTCCTTTCCTTCCCGCTCTGGCTCCGCTTTCCGCTGCTCTGATGATCAGCTCTGATTGGTCAGAGCGCGGCAGAGCCCCTCTGTGCACGTGCATGAGAGCCACATACGCACGTTTGGCGCGACGCATTATGGGAGATATCTCCCATAATCCCATAATGCTAACATATAGCATTGGCAGACCTCTCAAAAACGTCTTTACTGGATGGTCCAAAAGTCGGCTCTTGGCCCAAAGCTCCGTTCCACATGTGTGTCAATGCTGAGGGGGGTGAATTCTTTTGGTCCACTCTAGTTTACTTGCTGTGAATTTTTGAAGTGGATCCGTGGTTCCAAGCGGGTGTGTTCAGCCTTCTGTGAACTTCTTCCTTCCTGCTGTTCATAATTGAATTACTCGCACACCACAGGAACTTTTCACTGTTGTCAATTTCCCTCTAATGTATTCTTCATCTTCGAACTACAACAAGACACACTTATCTGCCCGCCTCTTACACTTAAGTTATTCAGGAATTCTCAGATTTCCTGGCGGTGATAGTTACTCAGACCGGCTTTTAATCGTGGGCGATGTTAATATTCATGTTTCTGTGGCAACACCAAACCACTGGTTAAGGACTTTTCAAATGCTGTTTGCTCCTTTCTCCTTCAATGTGTGGCCTCGGCCCTCGTTCTACAGCCCGAGTCACTTCACTGGCTCCTTGTCACATTCAAGGTTGATTAAGAATCTGATATTTGTTTTTAAATGGTTGAGGTTCATGAATGTGAGACACAGACTTTTTAAGCCAGATTTAAACAACAGCAAAGACAGAGGCTAGATGTCGGCTACACTATTTTGAGCCTTTCTTCCAGGTTTGCATTACTTTTGTATAAATTCAACTCAAAATTTAAACTGCTTTATGCATCAAGCAAAACAAATGAGCAACACATTATGCGTTATGAGCCATAGGACAAAATCAAACACTGCCCTCTTGTGTCAAGCAAGATTTGATACTATCTGAGGCTAGATTTTCAATGTTCTCAAATCACACAATATTACAATATTTCATTGGTTAATCAGCAAACTAGCATTATCTAAAATCATAGCATCAAATTTTGAATTAAGGAATGCTGCTTAGCTAAACATCAATGTATGTAGGCCAAGAGGCGAACTCATGGATCTGTAATAATAACGGGCAAACTGCACAGAGCGGTCTGTGGGCTATGTAATGATGAGGCCTGGCCTCACCTGCCTCACCTGCCTCACCTGCCTCCCCTGCCTCACCTGCCTCACCTGCCTCACCTGCCTCCCCTGCCTCACCTGCCTCACCTGCCTCACCTGCCTCCCCTGCCTCACCTGCCTCCCCTGCCTCCCCTGCCTCACCTGCCTCCCCTGCCTCCCCTGCCTCCCTGCCTCACCCTGCCTCCCCTGCCTCCCCTGCCTCACCTGCCTACCCTGCCTCACCTGCCTCACCTGCCTCACCTGCCTCCCCTGCCTCACCTGCCTCACCTGCCTCACCTGCCTCACCTGCCTCCCCTGCCTCACCTGCCTCCCCTGCCTCACCTGCCTCCCCTGCCTCACCTGCCTCCCCTGCCTCACCTGCCTCCCCTGCCTCACCTGCCTCCCCTGCCTCACCTGCCTCACCTGCCTCCCCTGCCTCACCTGCCTCCCCTGCCTCCCCTGCCTCACCTGCCTCCCCTGCCTCACCTGCCTCCCCTGCCTCACCTGCCTCACCTGCCTCACCTGCCTCACCTGCCTCCCCTGCCTCCCCTGCCTCACCTGCCTCACCTGCCTCACCTGCCTCACCTGCCTCACCTGCCTTACCTGCCTCACCTGCCTCCCCTGCCTCACCTGCCTCACCTGCCTCCCCTGCCTCACCTGCCTCACCTGCCTCACCTGCCTCACCTGAGCGGCTGTCACTGCTCTGTCTGCTTCTGTCAGATCCAGATCCATGGTCAGATCACTGAGGTCAAAAAACAAAGGTTACATATGTCCAAACTTAAGTTAGCGAGTTAGCTTTGAATTAGCGGTTTAAAATAGTCCATTTGTATACAATCCATGGTCCCTTTATAGACCTACTTCCCACAGTAGGGATTTTCCAGTGTTGCAGTGCACAGCACAGTGGGAGACAGAAGGTGTAAGTTACATTTACAGCTTTATTAGATTCGGTGCCACACACATCAGTATTATTATCGTCAAAACTCCACTGTTCTGTCAGAAGGTGCAAAAGTCAGCGCTCATTTGAGCAGCTTGGCGGTCGCCATCGACGTCATGGTAGTCATGGTCGTCATCGCAATGTTGGGGACGGGGATGTTTCTGAAGATGGGCTGAGCGAAGCCTAAAGGGGGCGCTCTGTTCTCGTTCAGAGTGCCCACGATCATCTGCCGCATTTCTCTGCTGGCATCTCCACGGACAGCCAAGAGGGCCTGCACATGCTCCTCCCTGAAGGACACAAGCGAGAATTACATCAGCAAGCAGCGTTGGAGACCCAAGTGCGCCTGCATGTGCTCCACCCTGAAGGACACTAGAGAGTTACATCTGCAAGCGCCATCAAACGGTGGAGCCCTGAGGTTCCAAATCAATAAACATTTAGTCATAAAGTTTAATGTACAGACAAGTAAATCATACAGCCAGTGTATAGGAAACACAGCCTGACTCTTGCCAGACCCTTGTAGTTCCACCATGCTCCACCAGAGACGTTTTGCTGAACACAAGGGTCTGGGATCAGGTGCTTTGCAGACTCCTTCAGGAGATAAAAAAATAATAGGCCAATCAGGATTGCCGGTGCTACGTTGGGTTTGCACCGCCTTCTCTTGCGTCTCAGCGTCTTGGCCAAATCAAACCAAGATGGCAGACATAAAGTCCGTGAATTTAAAAAAAAAAAAGTTTAAATACGAACGAATTAAGACACGCATGTCACTTTTAATGCAATTTGAGGCGAGATGTTGATGGTTCCATGTTATAAGTGTGTTTTAAGAATACAATTTTAAAGTGTTATGTTGCGTAAAGTACTTTTTAAGACAAGTGCTAATCACAACACTACACAGCAGGGTTGCTGGTTTCCCGCATATTTTTGTTCCAAGCGTCTTCCATCCATCCATCCATTTTCTTCCCCTTAATCCATTTCTCGGTCGGGGGGGGTTGCAGTCAGAGCTGCACCCAGTACACATAGCACCAGCCCCTCACTGATCCTCCTGCAGGTGGTGAGACCACAGGAGCCTTGAAATTTCAGCGGGGGCTTCAGGCAAAGTGAGGTTAAGTGTCTTGCCCAAGGACACAAAAGCAGTCATCAGTGGGAGTCGTCTTGTGGTGGGCTCGAACCCACAACCTTCAGGCCTAAAGGTCATAGCTCTACCAACTGAGCCACTGTCGCCCCAAGCGACTTGTAGGTAATAAATAGACAGTAAGACAAAAACAAAATCATGATAGCCCAAGTTGATTGCATTACGTTTTTAGCCAAAAAAAATCATTCTGGGTGGATTTTTTTTGCCGGCATTTGGCAACCCTGCAACGCAGTGTGCTGAATTGTGTGCTTTGATGTGAGTGGTTGAAGGATCACGTCATTTAAGAAAACAGACAAGTGGTTTATCCAATCACATACAAGGATTTTTTTACAAGGCCCGGCCTTCTGAAATTCATACGCTATAAAGCAGACCCAGACCCAGACCCTTGTGTGAAGCTCAGCGAACTGCAAGGGTCTGGCGAGAGTCAGGCTATAGAAAACACACAGCATGTGTAACTTTGTTTGAAACACAAAACTATCCTTCTATGACGTTAAAAAACCCTTTTTACCCTCGTCTCACTCTTCTCTGGTCTCACACTCTCTCCTCTGGTCTCACACTCTCTCCTCTGGTCTCACACTCTCTCCTCTGGTCTCACACTCTCTCCTCTGGTCTCACACTCTCTCCTCTGGTCTCACACTCTCTCCTCTGGTCTCACACTCTCTCCTCTGGTCTCACACTCTCTCCTCTGGTCTCACACTCTCTCCTCTGGTCTCACACTCTCCCCTCTGGTCTCACACTCTCTCCTCTGGTCTCTCACTCTCTGGTCTCTCACTCTCTCCTCTGGTCTCTCACTCTCTCCTCTGGTCTCTCTTCTCTGGTCTCTCACCCTTCTCTGGTCTCACTCTTCTCTGGTCTCACTCTCACATAGAGTTGTATTGGCTCCTGCTGAAATACTGAAATACATCTCTGCAACACGTACCTGATGTCCGGATACTTTGACACCAGCGTGGACACCTCCAGATAGAGCAGCGTGGGGTCGGTGAGTTTGAAGACTTCTGCGATGGCAGCGATGGCTCCACACAGACGGTCTGTATCCTCTCCCTGAACACAATAGCACAGAATAATGCAATCTGATTGGTCACACCTTTAATGGCTTGTATCTGGATCTTCAAAGAGAATAGCACAATATAAACACCAGGTTCACAGAGAGCACTAAACCACCGATTTCTAAGCCCAAAAAGGTGAGTGTGAAACAAATGGTTACCAAGCTTCTTTTACATGGAATCTCTGGATCTGAGATGTTTTGATCGTTAATGATGTATTTGTCTGGTGCACATCAAAGACTTTTGCACATGTATTCCAATGTGGCCTTACTGCAAATGGAAAATAAGATTAATCTGATATAAGCCAATAGGAGCCAGTTGGGCTTCATTGAGCCTCTGTGCACAGTTTGTGGTGTAACCGGGCTTTGGTTGCACCGAAAACCATATTCTCCTTCTACTTCCGTTTAATTTGATAAAAGACACATGCAGCTGACATGTGGAGAAACAGTCAGTTTGAAGGAGCTGGTGCATGTCACTGTGGAAACCAGACTCATATGAGACACCGGGCAGATAAGCATTCAAGAGCACAAGGAAATGACAAGTTTGTCTGCAAGTGTATTTTACAGTGTATGCACAGCTTTTGAGACCAGAGAGCAGCTACTTCAAGGATATATTGTGGGTTATTTTTAGCACATTGTCCATGTGATAAACCAGGGACCACTGTGCTCGTCAGACCAGTTAGATGTGTTTGTATTTGTGTGCGTTGGAAATGCTGCCAGATCCCACTGCTCAGACCTAGTGTTGCAGACTCACCGCAGACAGTTTCTGGAAGAGGAACCGGAATTGCTCGGCCTCTTTGATCATGCGCTCGGCTCCGTCTCGGCGCTCGTCTGCATTTTTAAACGTCACACGCTTCTGCATCACAGCTTTGAGGTATTCTACCACCACACGTCGCAAAGCCTCTCCGGTCATCTCCTGCAGCCAGAGAACACAGACCAGTCCAGCAAAATGAGACAAAAGAGACCAGAGAGAGCGAGACCAGAGAGCGAGACCAGAGAGCGAGACCAGAGAGCGAGACCAGAGAGCGAGACCAGAGAGCGAGACCAGAGTGCGAGACCAGAGTGCGAGACCAGAGAGCGAGACCAGAGAGCGAGACCAGAGAGCGAGACCAGAGAGCGAGACCAGAGAGCGAGACCAGAGAGCGAGACCAGAGAGCGAGACCAGAGAGCGAGACCAGAGAGCGAGACCAGAGAGCGAGACCAGAGAGCGAGACCAGAGAGCGAGACCAGAGAGCGAGACCAGAGAGCGAGACCAGAGAGCGAGACCAGAGAGCGCTCACTCCCATTGTCTCTTCGAAGCACAGACCTGGTTAAACGGGTTCTTGATCTTGTTGAAGTCGTTGAAATAGTCCTCCACCGTCACACAGATGGTGTCCACCGCGTGAGAGCCGCCCAGCCACTTCCTGGTCAGCAGCTCGGTCAGGTGGTTCTGAGAAAAAAGCATGGAGGGTCAAAGGGATATCAAGGACAGGGCTCCACACTAGGGTTTAATCCCGGGACACGGGATTCTCGGGAAATCTGATCAAAACTATTTCCCGATTCCCGGGAAATGTTATGACAGGAAACGGGAAATGAAAGTAAAAAAAAAAATACAGTGCGCTCCTATTATAGAGCACGTTTATTGTTGTTGTTATTGTTGTCTACAGCGGAGAAGATGGCTCATAAATTGTGTTTTTGACAACAAATATGGGTCTTAATCGCGCTAAACCACGACTTGTAATGAGGCCAGCCTCAGGGTACGGGGCACATGTGAGCCCAGAATTTGGTTACGTCCAAATCTATCAGAAAGCTCCTTTCTTTTTTTTCCATCTACTAAGGGCAGCAACAGGTTTGGCTATCATACATATAACACATTTTAAGATCATATAAAATGCATTTAGGGTAATGTTCTGCTTCCAATGACGATAGGAATGATAAGGAAGAGAGGAGAAGGGTAAGAAGGTTGATATTAGAAATTGGATGTGCCCGAGAGCCGGCTGCAGCGAAAACACAGAGGAGTTTATGGAGGTGGCACCCGTTTTGTTTTACGCTTTAAAACTCTTTGGGCTTATTTCTAAATGGGGGATTACATATCTGCCCTTAAACTATTATCTGGACTTAAACATGAAACTGGTCTGAACTGAAGTGGTCTGTGCTGTTCATTAATAACTAAGGTAAGACCCATAACACAATTGGAAATGTGCCTTTTACGAACGTTTGCGTTTTGTTTGAGCAAACAATGCGGGCCATGGAAAACATTCTGCTGTAGCCAAAATAATTGTGAATAAGCCGCTCTGTAGGTTCTGTTGATTTATATGAAATATGTTCATCTGATTGGGCTGAAGTCAGTGCCTCCAAACCACAACGCACGTCACTGGTCGACAAGTGGATTGCGCAGACATTTAGAATCTCATATGAGTGAAATTCCTGAAGAAAGCCCATCAACAAAACGTCTGAAAACGCTATGGCTACTTTAGAAAAGCTAGCAAGTCGCTTGGTGAAACACTAGTGGAGACGGCAGCTTTTGTTGGATTATATATTTGAGTGATGTCATATATTACTTGGGCTAAAAACAACAACTACAAACAACAGCTATTTCCCGGGAAAGGCGTCGTCTTTTCCCGGGATTTGATATGTCTCATTTTCGGGAAAAATATTAAACCCTACTCCACACAGGGACAGGGCTATAACAAACACAGTGGGAGCTGTAGTGAGCTGACCTCCAAGTCCAAGAACACCTCGTCCAGCAGGTACTGACATCCTTCTTTGGCCACTTCGTTTAGAGTTTTCTCGATGGCGGCGTCGCTGTCTGTGTGCTCCGGGTTTGCACTGTATTTCCTCTTCAGGCTGTTTATAGACTCCCTGTGGAGAACAAGCAGCATGAGAAGTGGGGTACGTAACTTTCAGACCACACCAACGGAATTTTGTAATAAATCCGTCTCCAGTTCCTGACTCTTATACGCTTCTATCCATAGTTTTCATATGTATTGTATTGTTATTTATGTCTTTAAGGGCCTCTGTACCTGAAGGTCTGGCAGTTGTTGATGATGGCGATCATGTACTGCACGTAGCACTGAGGCAGTTGTCGGTCCCGGAGGTGTTCCTCTTTGAACACAACCACCTCCTCTCGGTAACTGAACACACACAAGTTTATTTACTGTTATTATGTTGTGTTCATGTGACATCAAACCCAGGCTATAGATTCATTTTGAGGTAGAGCGCCATTGAAACATCTCTCCTGGTATAGTTAATATGGTAACTATGGAAACTAAGGTCGGCGTCAAAAACCAGGTTCTAGCCTCAATTCTTTGCTAATTTCTCGAATTCCTGGAACAAACCACATCTTTTTCATGCAACGTTCCGAAAATGCCTCTGGTCTCTCTCACGGGTCTCTCTCTCGGGTCACTCCGATCATGGTTTTTGAACCTCGGGTTGACCTAAATGAGTATGATAACTCTGGGAGACGTACCCGGTCTATGTTAGCGAGGGGGTGTGTGGGGTCACAAAGGTTAGAATCCAGTCAGGGTCAAGATTAGGTCATAGATAAAATCAACAGTGCTCTCACCGTAGGAGGAAAAAGTTCATTTGTTTGAGGCAGAGCTTGAGGACCTGTTCTCTGAAGTCTCCATCGATCTGAGCCGCGACCTGCAGGTTCTGCTCAAACATCTGCAACCGAAACACACATTGTCACCAGACTGTAGAGAGGGATAATGCTAACACAGACCGTATACAGGAGGACAATGCTTAATGAAGCTTAATGAAGCCCAATAGGGAAGTGCTCATGGTGAAGTTTGGCTCCAACTTGCTCTGGCTCATATTGACGTGCATGTAAAAGTAAAGTACTCTAACTCAGTAACTATTTGTGTCATCACGTTGTCTTTGTAAATCCAGATATTAGCTCAAACAACTCAGACCTGCCGACAGTCCTGATTGGCTCTTCATTCTTGGTCGCTACTCAAAAATTGCCTCCAGATTCCATCTCAAATAGCTTGTTTGAGTTGGCTTTTATTTTCCGGAAAAACTGTGTGAGTTAGCTCTAATTCTAATGGAGCCTGTGTGAGTTAGCTCTATGGGTGAGGTCAGCTCTGGGTCTGTGGCTGGTACCTGAAAGACGATGGCTGGCAGTGTGGTCTGGTAGAACCCATCCTGGTCCGCCTCGGGCTCCGTCTCCTTCTGCCAGTCCTTCTTATCCGTCTCCAGAGCCTTCCGCAACCAACCGGTGATGTTGGACTGCAAACAGAGAAACCAGAGGATATGAGGAGTCGAGGAGGGAGGAGGAGAGGGCAGGGGGGAGAAGGGGAGGTGACGGGAGACAAGGAGAGAGGAAGGGGACAAGGAGACATGATGGGAGAGGAGGAGAAGTGTGAAAAAACTACTCAGTGTTCTGGACATCACACACATAGACATGTTTTACAGACTGCACCAGTCTGGGTCTCTGCTAGATGGAAAGCAGCAGAGTGACCAAGAATGGACCAAAAGCTCTGGTCTTATACCCTGATAATTTGAAACACATGAGACCATTTGGTGACAATATGACCTAGGTGAGAAAACCAATCTCCTCTCATCAGTCAGGAGTCTTCTTGTCACAACACAGATGTTTTCTGCCTTCATGCTTTGTTTACTCTGCTCTTTCACGCTTACCTGGGGGATGGGAGAGAATGCTCCATCCCACCACACAGTAGGTTAACCCAAAGCTATCTAAACTTTGAATATATTCTAATTCACTTTAATGAAAATCCAACAACTCTACTAACATTCCCTCCTTTTTTTCATTAAAAGAATTAATCACATTCAATGTTTAGTAAACCAACTTAAAGATGGAACACAATGAAATTAATACAAACACAGTATTACATTTGAATCCAAGTTGTGTCGACTCAACTTAGAGACCCCTCTTGACATGTGTCTTATAAAAATCACATTGGTTACAGAAACACACACAGAAAAGAACCCAAAAAAGTTTTTTAGAGATCATTTCATATGTATAGAATTACTCCCCTATAAACCATATCTCCCCCCTGTTTGAGACATTAAAAATGGCTCAATAACTAAACATAATTCCTAATTATTCATGTGTATGAAATGAAAAAGACACAAATACCCAATTTACTCATGTAAATTAATGTAGCATCAAAATGTATAAACTAAACGTTCATTACTGGAATGTTTTCACCTGAAATGTATTAACTTGAAATGTGTCAACTTTGGTTAGCAAATTAAACACCACACCAAAAAGCCTATTGTCCAGTAACGCCTGTTGTAGAAACGCCTCCACACCCCAATGTCTTCTGCAGCCAGCAACGTCCAGCACCATCCAGCACAGCCCCATCATGTCCAGAAGCCTCTGTCCTGTTCACACACTTTAGAACTGACAGCAAAAACTGGAAACCTCCAGTCCTCAGATCTTTGCACAAAGGTGATGTCTTCGGTCGACCCAGTCTTTCAGATTTTTTGGAAATCTGCAAAATGTCCCAAAAACACACAGAGTCAAGTTGTTGATTTGAGTCTGACCTCTGGATGACCCTTTGCATCATTGCTTCTGTCGTTGCAGCATTTAGCTGTTGGGTTGGCCTGCTGGTTTGGCTTAGTTTGGCTTGGTTTGGCCTGCTGGTTGATGATTGGTGGGGGTGGGAGTGGGCGTCTCCTTCACAGGAATGAACTCTGAGCTTTTTGAGCATCAAAAGTGGTGTTTAAGGTGTTTCCCTCAAACAAAACACACAAAGTACACATTTGTTAATACATTTCAAACTTAGTTCAGTAAACCCAAAGGAAAACCTTAGCAGTTAATGAAAACTGTTGCTGAAAACAGTCCTATTACTGTAATTTTCTTGTCTCAGAAATGAAAACATCACAATTAACTATTGAAATAATGTATAACTAGTTATATTCAGAATCAAACAGATTTACATTTCTTTGATGTAAACATTAAACATTCTACAGTAACTTCCCTTACTGTTGAATTTAAACCTTTCAAATGAAACTAAACATATTTATTATTCAAATCTGAAAAATTAAACTGCTTATTTTCAGAGTGTTTTCCACTTATCTGATTGTTCTGAGTCAGCATCAGTCAGAGAGGACTTCTTAGGCGTCTGATTCGTCATTCCCAACCACAGCACATGAACTTGTAATTGATCTGTGAAGTTTAAAACACTCTCGTGCCCAATGGTCAAAAGAACCACAATTAAAGCAGATACGCTTCTTGCTGCCAATGCTTCGCTCCCTCCTCCCCATCTGGATGCGCTCTGCTCCCAGACCTGTCTTCCCGGTTGGAGTGGAGTGAGGCAGTGGCTGTGAATGGATCTGTGGCTGGGAAGGACCAGACCATCTGCCCCCAAGTGTCTCTCTTTGACTGGCTGTGATGGACTCAGAAACAGAAGAAAACATTAGTGTTGACTCACTCATGACTTCTTTGCATTCTCTCATCTTAATACATGCATCTAGAAACTTCTTTTGCTGTTTCAACATTTTTCCCTGCACATCTAAAATGTTTTTTAAATCACTCAGCTTTCCCGAACTGAGTGAAGCCATGTGTTCTTCACAAAAATCAAGTGTTAATTCTAACCTGCTGTTAACATTACAATTATCCATTGCTACTTCGTTAGTCTTTCTCCTAACATACTCAACACTTTCTGTACAATCCCTCTTCCAGTGTCCTCTCTTGTGACATTTTAAGCATAAATCATTGCTTCTATCTTTACTATCACCCTTTCTTTTTCCTTCCTGAAACTGACTCCTCTCTCGCTCTCTCTTCCCACCTTTCCTATTCATCTTATAAGACAAACAGTTACATGCAAAACCTGAAGTAACAAACAAACAAATACTACTCACATAAGAGGAGATGTTAGTCTGTTAAATCTTACACATAAAGACAGTTACTCACAAAACAAACAAAAACTCCAAATCAAACCCAAAAATAAACATAAAAGTCTACTTGTGTGTACAAAATACCAGCTTTTGTGATCATAAGCAAACAAAAATCAAAAATCTGAGCAAACTTTGAGTCTTATCTATCATCAATCTATTTCAGCTTCAGCCTAATCCTTTTGAGCTTGTACCAAATGTTGTAACTTTAAAATTGTCCAATCACAAAAATTTCACAGCTCAAGTCAATTCAAATCTATCTATGATTCTCTAATCTCATTACCAAATGTTTTCACCAGTAAAATGTTTATCACTGGTTCCACCCCTTTTTAATTATTTTTGTTAATGTAGCTAGCATTAACAAAAGTAGTTAAACTATAACAAACTTACTACTCCACTCAACTAGAGTTGAGCAGACTGGAGGGACCGAATTGGGAGCAAGGGAGCAAGGGGGATGAGGGGAAGAGGGGGAACAGGGAGCAGCAGAAAGGGAGGAGGGGGAAGAGGGGAAAAGGCAGAAGGGGACACAAAGGATGCACCTCAACCGTGCACGCACACACACACGCACACACGCACACTTTAGGCCTTTATATCTAAATTTCAATTTCCAATTTAAATTATTATTTAGAAAAATTGTTGTCGTCTTATTATGCAGGCTACCACAAAGTTCTACCAAAAAGTCACTAATCGGCTGAAGAAAAAATCACCACTCTCAAAATGTTCCATTTTTCCCTCAAAAATGGCCAGATCTGGTTTTCCAACTACACGTATGCGTCCATAGTGCTGAATTTGTTTTCTCTTCTCTGAGGATGTTTATTCACCCAGTGGATAGAAGTTTCATCTATTCTGTCGCTTTGTTGGTACCGATGAACTAACCAATCAGGGACTTTCACCCTTTTAAATTCTCCACTTTCTTAGAAGTGCGTGATATCTCACTGCCCCAATGCTTTTTGAGGAGATAAATTGGATTTCCGGCGCAAGAAGGACCAAAATATGTGAAAAAACTACTCAGTGTTCTGGACATCACACACATAGACATGTTTTACAGACTGCACCAGTCTGGGTCTCTGCTAGATGGAAAGCAGCAGAGTGACCAAGAATGGACCAAAAGCTCTGGTCTTATACCCTGATAATTTGAAACACATGTGACCATTTGGTGACAATATGACCTAGGTGAGAAAACCAATCTCCTCTCATCAGTCAGGAGTCTTCTTGTCACAACACAGATGTTTTCTGCCTTCATGCTTTGTTTACTCTGCTCTTTCACGCTTACCTGGGGGATGGGAGAGAATGCTCCATCCCACCACACAGTAGGTTAACCCAAAGCTATCTAAACTTTGAATATATTCTAATTCACTTTAATGAAAATCCAACAACTCTACTAACAAGAAGATTTGTGGAGCCTGAGTGAAATCCCTCTGATCGCAACAGTGGTGAGTTCGGGTGCTTAGAAAAGTTCATAAAGTCTTAAAACATACAGCTGGTACTTCAAGGATTTCGGCTTGTGACAGATGCGTGTCAATGCTGAGAGGAGTAAATATATTTTTTGGACCAGCCTAGTTTAATCGCTGTGGACTTTTGAATGCACTCAAATGAATGGGACCGTACCGGCTAATGCATGCGCAAAAGTGTTTTTTCACATTTTCCTGTAGGAGGTGAAGCCTGCAGCTGTTTGAATCTGTGGCACATACATTTAGGAAATAGGCGTCACTACGTTTGTTAATATTAACAGTCTATGGGTTTTTTCATAGAACACATCACTCCAGCATAAACCAGGGAAACTAAACCAAATAACTATCGGAGGAGGTTGGCACTGACCCTGACATTTTTTGGGGGAAAAAAGTTGTTTTTAATTGTATATTTTGAACTTCATTTTTGGCCTAAGCCATGTGTACATCTACTGTGTTTATTTTTAGTGTCTTGGCTTCATTCAGTTGCACTAGGTTCCATTATTACCCCTCAGCCCCCATGTACTCGTATATACCCTCGCCCTGAGACCATGTGTTGTGTCCTCAAAGTTACAGACCACAGCTTTAACCCTTTAAGCGCCAGAGGTTGTTTTCTAAAACGCTTGATTTTTACATCTTATTTTCCTAAGGCTATAACTTAAAAGTGATAAAGGCTTTCTGTAAATTAGAAAATATTAAGGATGGCCCAAAGTTTATGTAGGGAATATCTAACCTGTCTTCGGACCTCCCAATGACTGCCCTGACCCTGAGGAACACTGTTCCCACTCTGTGTTTGTGTTTGGTGCGGTACAACACTCGCACGCTGCTTCGCAGCTGCATTCGCAGCTGCATTCGCTTTGCTATGTTTTCTGCTATGATTCAACGCGGTCTTGCTCGATTATTTTGAATGGGAGCATGACGTTTTTGGGCCAGGGAGGTAGTCTGACATGTCTGCCAACTAGTGGCAGGGAGTATGAATGAATTTTGACACTTTGTTGGACACACTCTGCCGTTTTAAACAGTATCGCAGCGTATTAGCGTTTGAGAGTGAGGCCTCACAGTGAAGGTCTGGATGTAATTGCTGAGCAGCTCGTCAACCACTTCTTGAGGGAGAAGCGGCTCTAGTGTGTTCACGTCACACTCCGCACGCAGCTCCGGGTGGCCCATCATCTCTGAGCTGCACACAAACAGGTGTTTAGTCCAAAACAGAGCTGCACACAAACTAGTTTTCAGCCCAAATCATGTCCCTCATCTGAGAGGGTTCAGTACCTCTTGTAGGTGTTCAGGACCCAGGTCAGCAGGGACACAATCTCGTTGGCCTCCAGCTCCTCTGCAGCCAACTCTGTCACCCGAGTGGAGACAGCACAGTGGTACAGGCTGAAGAACCTGAGGAGGAGCACAGGGACATGAGGAGAAGCCCACAGACATGAGGAGGAGCACACGGACATGAGGAGGAGCACACAGACATGAGGAGGAGCACACGGACATGAGGAGGAGCACACGGACATGAGGAGGAGCACAGGGACATGAGGAGGAGCACAGGGACATGAGGAGGAGCACAGGGACATGAGGAGGAGCACAGGGACGTGAGGAGGAGCACACAGACATGAGGAGGAGCACACAGACATGAGGAGGAGCACACGGACATGAGGAGGAGCACAGGGACATGAGGAGGAGCACAGGGACATGAGGAGGAGCACACGGACATGAGGAGGAGCACACGGACATGAGGAGGAGCACAGGGACATGAGGAGCACAGGGACATGAGGAGGAGCACACAGACATGAGGAGGAGCACAGGGACATGAGGAGGAGCACAGGGACATGAGGAGGAGCACACGGACATGAGGAGGAGCACAGGGACATGAGGAGGAGCACAGGGACATGAGGAGGAGCACACGGACATGAGGAGGAGCACACGGACATGAGGAGGAGCACAGGGACATGAGGAGGAGCACAGGGACATGAGGAGGAGCACACAGACATGAGGAGGAGCACACAGACATGAGGAGGAGCACATAGACATGAGGAGGAGCACACGGACATGAGGAGGAGCACACGGACATGAGGAGGAGCACAGGGACATGAGGAGGAGCACAGGGACATGAGGAGGAGCACACAGACATGAGGAGGAGCACAGGGACATGAGGAGAAGCACACGGACATGAGGAGGAGCACACAGACATGAGGAGCACAGGGACATGAGGAGGAGCACACAGACATGAGGACCATTTTAGCTTCAAGGTCCCTTTCTTCAGGTGGTTAGAATTTGTGTGTATGAAGTGCGTGTGAGGCTTTAAAACCATAAAACAGCTGCTAGTTTATTTCACTTAATGCTAATGAGGACACAGGTGCAGATGTTGTACCGGTCGAAGGTGTTGTAGTGCGGTGGGAAGCACTGCACCATCAGGTTCCTCACGACAATGAGGTCGTCCAGAACATATTTCCTCATGATCTCCAGCAGCCGCACCAGCCACATCTTATCGGCCTCCCGGGTCACGGCCTGAGTCCCCTCAATACGGGTGCTCACCGTGCCCTCCAGGACCTGTGCAGAGAGACCAGAGGGAGACCTGTTCAGACCAGGACCATGACCAGAGACCAGAGACAGACCTGTTGAGAGAGATCAGAGGCTAGAGGGAGAAATATACCACAGACCAGGACCTGTGCAGAAAGATCAGCAAAAGACCTGTTTAGACCAAAGAGAAGAGAGATCTGTTCAGACAAGAAAGCAGGAGCAGGGAGAAGGACCACCAGAGACAAGAGAGAAACCTGTTCAGACCAGAGAATGACCAGGATCAGAGACCACCACCAGAAATCAGCACCGAGACCAGAGAGAGACAAAAGATACAGAGCATTTTAAATTCACATACGATACATTTCCAAGTGCACAGAATAATTCCGAAATTCCTGCTCAACCTCTGTTAACAACTCTGACGACTCAAAATGATGCTATCATTAAGCAAAGTACATGGTGTGACGTGTGTGTATAGTTTTAGAACCTTCTTCCGCTGAGCTACATGTGAGATTTATATTGTGTCCAAATTACAGCTGTTTTATCCAGTGTTCTCCAAAATACTTGGTCACAAGGCGGGTTTGGATGCCGAGTAGTTCTGACACACCAGCCTGTATTCTCGGTGTGGAAGAAGGGGAAACCCAGGGTTATGGGCTATGCTCCCCTGTTTTTCTACATTATGTGGTGGTTTTCAGTCCCTGACCAGGAGGCTCAGACCTGAAACATCTTGTCCTTCCAGCGCTTGGGTCTTCCTGGGGGGATGAAGCCCGTCTGCTTCTTGCGGTCCACCATTCTGCGGTCGATCTTCTCCTCCCTCTCGATGATTCGGACCGCAGACACCAACATGGTGGGATCTTTACGCACTGTCCCCATGGCCCTCTGCAGGACCATCCACAGCTGCTTGGCCAGTTCATCTGACAGACCTTGGACCTGAGAGGAGAGAGACATGAAGAGAGCTTCACCAGAGAGGGAGAGAGACATGAAGAGAGCTGGGCCAGAGAGAGAGAGAGAGAGACATGAAGAGAGCTGGGCCAGAGAGAGAGAGAGAGACATGAAGAGAGCTGGGCCAGAGAGAGAGAGAGAGAGAGAGAGAGACATGAAGAGAGCTGGGCCAGAGAGAGAGAGAGAGAGACATGAAGAGAGCTGGGCCAGAGAGAGAGAGAGAGAGAGACATGAAGAGAGCTGGGCCAGAGAGAGAGAGAGACATGAAGAGAGCTGGGCCAGAGAGAGAGAGAGAGAGACATGAAAAGAGCTGGGCCAGAGAGAGAGAGAGACATGAGAGCTGGTCCAGAGAGAGAGAGAGACATGAAGAGAGCTGGGCCAGAGAGAGAGAGAGAGAGACATGAAGAGAGCTGGGACAGAGAGAGAGAGAGAGAGGGAGAGATATGAAGAGAACTGGACCACAGAGGAGAGAGAACCGAGAAAGAGGGAGATCAGAGAAAGAGAGAGAGAGACATGAAGAGACCATAGAGAGAGACCAGGCGTGTTTGTAATGGCACAGGACGTAGGGAGTTTACTTATTATTATTAGGGCAGAAGCAGAAAACTTGTTTGCCCATTACATATTCATGTTACAATAAAAGTTACCATAACATATTTCAAAGAATAAACACTTAAGTTCAATAAACGCAAGTTCAATAAAATCATTCAGTTTGATATCAGTCCAGGATAGACAGTGACCATTTTTTCTTCAATACAAAAGAGGATTCATGAGGATTGTTCCAGGAACTACAGAGAAATAGTGACCAAACTAAGACTAGAATCTGAGTTTTGACACTCTAATATTAGACTAATATTTATTTCCAGTTGTGAAAGCAGAGTATTTGCATGTTCTCCTCACGTCCTCAAAGTAGATGTTGATCAGCTGCATGTCTCTGGTGTTCCTGCTGTCCATCCTGAACTGCTCGTACATCAGGTCGTCTCTGGAGCTCTCCAGCTCCATTAGCTTCCGGTGCGCCTGGAGGAGGTCCGCCTGCTCGATCAGCTGCTGGGTGGAGGCCACGATTTCAGGAACTGAAGACAGAAAGACAGGCACGTTACAAAGTAGAAAGAGACAGAGTCCAGACTAGCCTGGTCGTACCACACCATAGTACAAATGACATTTTGTACTAAGGTCTGGAGGCGCTCCATTGAGCTCCGTGAAGAGGTGGGAGGGGTTAACTCCTTTTGCAGATTGAAACGATTGGATCTGAGTTTCCCGTGACGTATGTGATGCGCCCGAGTGAGTCGTTAGCATTTAGCTTAGCCATCTCCTTTGCCGCTAACGGAGCCCGTGGGGAGTAGCGCCACAATCTTTGCCAGCGATTACATTTGCTAAACATTCCTCTTGCTCCGGTTTCAATTTCTTGGTAGAACCAGACCGGAACACTTTACTATCGCATTCTTCGCCAAACCACAACTGGCGCAAACTCTTGACGTCACCTGACGCGCTCGCTGATTGGTCGGTCGAAATGTAATCGATTGTAATCGCTAACACAGGGACTAGACCCAGACGTTACATGCAGTGAAATGATGATTGAGCGGAGTGTACGGATGGCTAAGGCCAGGCTAAGTGCAGACTGCTCTGAGCTCCAGTCGGACTACTATCAGGTCTTAGCTCTCAAACTTTGGAACAGTGATTGTAATAAAATATCTCTCATATATACTGTTGCACGCCAGAGAGGGACCAGAGAGAGAGAGACCAGAGAAGGAGACAACAGAGAGAGACCAGCGAGAGAGAGTCCAGAGACAGAACAGGGAGAGAGACCAGAGAGAGACCAGAGAGAGAGTCCAGAGACAGAACAGGGAGAGAGACCAGAGAGAGAGTCCAGAGACAGAACAGGGAGAGAGACCAGAGAGAGAGATGAAAGAGTCGAGAGACGGACAGGAGACAGAGAGGGAGCAAGAGAGAGACCAGGGACAGACAAGAGAGAGAGAACGAGAAACCATAGCGAGACAAAAGAGAGAGAGAGACAGACAAGAGAAAGACCAGAGAGAGAGTTCACCAGAGTTCACCAGAGTATGGTGAATAGGGGCAGTGGGCTTTCACCAGAGAAGATGTTCTTGAGGTTCTCCACTGCAGAGGCCAGCTGAGAGTGCTGCACCACGGCGTCCTTCACGTCCTTCAGACTCTCTATTGTGTTAATGCTCTGTCTCCAGTCTTTGCTCACGTCTCCGAGAGAGCTCTGGATCTCCTTCACATCCACTAAAGCTGTGTGCAGCTGACTGAGGCCGGTACGGACCCCATCGAGCTGGGACTGGATTGCAGCCTGACAACACACAAGAGAAGTTCAAAATCAGAGGAAAAAAACACATTGAAGGACCTTAAAGCTGGGGTATGTAACCTTCAGACCACAACAATTAATCTCTAATAGACCTGTCTATCTAGTTGCTGGCTCTAAAAGAGTTGTTCTATCACTAGTTTGTATTTAGTTTTTTTTTTTTTTTTTAAGAGTTTTTCCTTGTCGATGCAGGAGGGTCTTGTTGGACAGTTAGTGTCCAACAGAAAGGATTGGTGATGATCAGGACACTTTAGCATTCTACAACATGTATGGACATTTTCTTCTGTGTGTGCTTTATATTCTTCATGTGTTTTAACTGTTGATTCTCTGACCTGTGTTGGTGATTTCAATGGTTTTGTTAAGTCTCTGAGATGACTTCTGTTGTGACCTAGGGCTATACAAGAATAAATTGTATTGTATTGTATTTAGATCAGCTGTAGTTTAAAGTGTAAAATGGGGACTCAAAATGCTCTTATTTCCACAAAAGATAACATGTTTTCTAATTAAATTGGGACAGCATGTTGTGTCTGATTTGTATAGAAAATTTCACATTACGTATATATTTCATCCAAACATTCCAGAGCTGGGGGGTGGGTCACCTTGAGCCTGGCCTCCACAGATGCCTTCTTACGGGCCTCTCTCCTCCGGTACTGATCCACTTTATCGAGCTGGTCGGAGCGCTGCAGCATCCCAGCAACCCTCTGCACAGCTGTGGCCACGGCCTCTCGGCTAGTCTCCTCCATCCTTCACACTACTCCACAGACAAACACAGTCATATATAAAACATGTTTATAACATAATATTACTGCCTTAAAGTGCAGGGGAGTTAGAACTGTCGTTATTATTAGTCAAAAATACTGTTTTTCAGGAATAGATCTTTTTGTCACATATTTAACTATAATGACCATTCTAATTAGTTACTTTTGCAACTAGAGTCACACTGTTGATGCTATGGACCAAGTCACATTTCCAGAATCTTTCCAAAACCTTTCTGGGCCTGGAAAGAGGATTTCTCAGAATTTTCAATTACTTTTCTAGGTTTTCCAAGACTGTATGAGGCCTCTGAAAGGACACCAGCTGAAGAGTGGCTAGAATGCAGAACGCAAAGCTCTTTTGTACAATTCCTTTACCGCAATGGTTTAAGAACCGTGGTTCTAGTCAAAACATGAGCCAGAAACATGGATACAGGAGCTAACGTTAGCAGCCGAGGCTAATGTTTATGTTTTGACTGCACACATAAGACACTTGTGTTGAAATGTGATGAAAACTATTTAATCTGCGTTACGTGATGAAGAGATGCCTTTAAAATAATAGGTGGCCTAACGTTAAACAAATGCATTAAACAAGACTAAAAGAGGCGAGATGGCCTTACCTATCTTTTGAAGCCGCAGATCAATGCTTACATGTCTAAACACGTCTTCTCATTGTAATAGTGTGTCGTGCTTTCATTTAAGGTGGAAATCCGTGTATTTGGAGCAGAAACCGCAGAATAGCGTTTACTTCCTACAACCGATGGAGCACGTGATCAAGCAGCGTCTACGGTTGCATCCAAATTCAAAACACGAGACCCCTTCCGCGTCCATCCTATCCAGTCTATGGTCCGTCCTTATGCTACTTTTCTCTTCAAAATATATTTAACAAAGTAGCTGCAGGTTCAGTGTATTTAAAGAATATTTCAAGTGTGATTTAGGATGACACGCCAAGACACGGTGTTTTTCTGAAAATTGAATGCAGCCTCTACATAGCACATACAGGGCGTAATTTTAACCCAGACTCAATATTGAACACGTAAACCTTCAAAACAGTGTTCTTAAATACTTTCCCATAAAATATTGCCAATACTCGCATAGTAAGGCCGTTTTCGAATGTTTAGTGCTCATGCAAGTCCAGGTTAGACTTCTCACAACCCAGATATATTTTAGATTTAGTTAAATTAAAATCTTTACTTTTAAAAATAAAAAGCGCCATGTTTGTTTTGAGGGAGATAAGCGTTTCGTGAAGTATGTCACAGTCAACAGTGAAGCCATGGACACTACATTTCCCATTCATCTTAAAACTGGATTATCTGGTGTAAAGTGTTGATCGCAGCATTATGAGGGCGGGATAACCGTGGTAACAAGAATCTACTGACGGAGGAAAACACACAACTCATCAGTCTCTTTGACCGGCTCAATCTCACGCATGGAGCGCACCGCGTCATTTATTGGGTACAGACATACACTTCCGGTTTGACCCTTCAGTGTAAGAGCATACACACACACATATATATATACACAGATACCTACAAGGCAACACCCCCACTTGCTCTTAACACGGCAAGAAAAATACACAGGCATATTTACATTACATTTACACATTTACACTCCAAACAGAAAATTTGCGAACTTTTCCATTCTAACTTTGCTCACTGATTTAGTCATTACATCAGCTACCATGTCTGCTGTTGCACAAAATACAACATTTATTTTGTTCTCATTTAGTGCAGAACGAATGAAATGGAATCGAATGTCAATATGTTTACATCTTTGTCGGTTAATAGGGTTTTTGGACAATGCAATTGCACCCTGGTTATCTGCATACATGGTAACAGGTAAATATTGCTTTTCTGAGTCCAATCCTTTAAGTAGTTGTGCAAGGTATAAACTCTCTTGTACTGTGGCGGCCATCGCCATGTACTCCGCCTCACACGTTGACAAAGCTACCGTAGCCTGCTTTCTGGTTTTCCAACATATGATAGGCCCACTCTCAGATAGTGCAAAACAGTAGCCTGTTGTACTTCTCCTGTCACACAAATCTGTGGCCCAATCTGCATCACTGTATGCTATAAGGCTAAGGTTACCGTCTGCCTTTCTATAACATAGCTCTTTGTTTAGTGTCCATTTTAAGTAGCGTAGCACATGTTTTGCTGCTGTCCAGTGATGTTCTTTTGGTGCAGACAAGTATTGTGATAGTTTACTCACTATCCAACTTAAATCTGGTCTTGTGGATGTCATTAAATAAATCAGGCTGCCCACTAGTTCTCTGTATCTACCAGAATCTACTAGTTCACCTTCTACTTCGAAGTTTTGTTTCAGCTCACAAGGAGTGGAACGTGGCTTACAGTCTGACATGTTAAATCTTTCCAGTATTTTTGTTATATACCTGGTTTGATTCATCTTTACTCCTAGTTCGTCTTGTGTACAGTCAATCCCCAAAAAATGTTGTAGCTTACCAAGGTCTTTCATTTTGAATCTCTTACTCAACATTTCCTTTACATTTTTAAGAGAATTCTCACACTTTGCACCAATAATAACATCATCAACCCAAATAATAAGAATTACAGTCTCGTTCTTAGTCTGTCTACTATAGACACAATGATCTACAGGATTTTGATGAAAACCATTTTCACATAAATGATCATGTAACATTTTATTCCAGTTCCTCCCTGATTGTTTCAAACCATACAATGATTTATTCAACTTATAAACTAGCTTCATACCAGTCTCTGACTTAACTTCGTAACCATCTGGTTGCTCCATATACAACTCACAATCAATAGGCGCGTGCAAGTAAGCAGTTTTTACATCCATTTGGTGAAGTTTTAAGTCGTACTGTGCTGCCATCTGCATTAAACAACGAACTGACGTCATGTCTGCAGTCGGCGAAAATGTTTCCTTGAAGTCAATCCCAGCTACTTGGCTGTAGCCTTTAGCAACATATCTGGCTTTAAATGTCTCAGATTGGCCTGGGCTCTCCTTTTTTGTATACACCCATCTTCCCCCCACTGCGTTTTTACCTTCTGGCAATGTGGTCAGGGTAAAAGTGTCATTTTCTTTTAGCGATCTCATTTCGTCCTCCATGGCATTAGACCAACACCCGGACTCCGGAGAGTGCATAGCCTCATCAAATGTCTTTGGTACGCCGTACATCAACCTGTAACAATAGTCAATGTTCATCAAAGTTTGGTCATCATCCGCATAAACATAGTCTTTCAAATATTGTGGAGTCTTTCTATCTCGTCTCGGATATCGTCCTTCAGTGTTTTCACTGTGTTTCTCCGGTCTTTGTTCACTGTCACTTGTCACATTGTCCTGTGTTTCAGTGTCCGGCTCTTTTGTCTCTTCCATACTTTTATTGATTGTCTTGTCCAACCTTTTACAGTATATTCCAACTGGTTGAAAATCATCTTCGTCCAGAGTCTTTTCGTTCTGGCACTCATCTCCACTTGTAGTGAGGAACTTAACCAATCTGTGTTTGAGAACTCGACCCGTTTCTGGATAATAGACAAGATATGACGGACTGTTTTTATCGTATCCCACAAAAACTCCCTCATCACATTTTGCGTCTAGTTTTTTTCTGTTTTGTCGATAACTGAAACAAACTGATCCGAAAACGTGCATTTTAGACATGTCAGGCTTTCTCCCTGTCAACAAATAGTAAGGGGTCTGTCCTGTGCGTCTGTTGTAACACCTGTTGCGAATCACTGCAGCAGTCATAACAGCATAAGTCCATAGTCTTTTAGGTAAATTACTCTCAAGCAACATACAACGTGCCATCTCAAATAGTGTTCTCCAATTTCTCTCGGCCGTCCCATTCTGATGGGGTGAGTACGGTGCAGAGGTTTCATGTCTTATTGCGTTCTTTCTAAGTAATGATTGAAACTCTCTGGAAGTGAACTCTGTGCCGTTGTCTGATCTGATTCTTTTCACTTTCCCATAGGGGGCGACATCTGCTAGAAATTTCTCAATCGCTTCTACAGTGTCACTTTTAGCTTTCAAGAAATAAACAAAAGTTGTACCTGAATAGTCGTCAGTAAAAGCTATAGAGTATCTGAACCCGTCTTTTGCCTCTGGGTCAATCGGTCCCGCTAAGTCAGTGTGCACTAGCTCTAACGCCGCTTTTGCTCTCTCGTCAGGCTCTCTACTTCTGGTTTGTATAAACTTTCCTTTAACACACACTTTACAATCTTGCTTAGCTTTCCCTTTGATCTTCATACCCATAGTAACATTTTCTAGTTTAGACAAATCTTCATAATTACAGTGTCCAAGAATTCTGTGCCAAGTTTCAATATCATGACATCCATTGCATTCATCATAGTCATTGTTTACCTCAACTGTACTCAGGTAGTACAAGCGTCCATATTCATTGATGTCGAACCTTGTACCATTCTTGTGAACAAGTTGGTTGCATCCTTTCTTGAATGTGACTGCTGCTCCGCTGGTCGTCGCTGCCTGGACTGAGAAGATGTCCTGTGGATATGAGGGGATGTAAAGTGCTCCTTCCAGCGTTGCCTTTACACGGTGTCCCTCGCTGTCCTGCAGGTAGACTTCTGCCGCTCCTCTCTTTAGCGCGACACCACTCGCTCTCGTCCCGTCCGCCAGCTCCATGAAGTGACTTTCCGGTGTGAAAGCATCGTCAAACCTTTTGAAACTTTTAATGTTCGTTACAATGTGAGACGTGGCTCCTGTATCGACCATCAAGCCTCTCTGTTTCAGCCCCGGAACATTCCAGTCATTTACTTTGAATGCAAAACTATGATCTTCAGAATCTGCAACATGTTTAACATTCGTCTTTTTTTTAGTCTACAATTATTGTCTTTATGTGTGGAACTGTTGCAGTAACTACACCACTGCTTCTCCTTAGACTCAGGTCTGTCACTCTTCGCATAGCATTCACGTGCAATATGACCTTTCTTTCCACAGTTGTAACA